ACTTTAAAAAGAACACAACATAACTCAAAATGGCAGAAAGCAAGAAGAGGCTGTAGCTAGCTCATGTATCCATTACAGACTCATGACATACACATGGTTAGCCGCTGTAGCTGGTGTGTGAGGGATGTAATTAGGCTGGAGGGAGTTTAAAGAGGAGGGAAATGGGTAAATATTGTATATAAATGAGTGTTTAATGGGGGTAATGTTACAGGTGAAGCTAAAGCAACAGCACCGAGATGCTCCAAACAGAGGGGAATATAAAACTTAAAGTTTCTAGAAAGTGCTCTAACGCGGAGGGATATTTTAGACTGGTGTTTTTTTATGAAATAAGGGATGATTTTGAGGAAGAAAGGGGGGGAAATGTTGGGATTTTTTGCGGGATGGAGACAAGAAGAGGGATAGGGAAGGCGCCACGCATCGCTCACACTGCGTTTCTCCCCGGGAACATATTCACCAACAGAATTAAGCGTAAAAACTGAGAATAACCATCACGCGTCTCTAACCGTCGGACTCCACGCGACACAGTAAACATGTGTATTCTTCCGGCCAAATCTTAGCACCGAAACAACGTTATATTTCTCACCATTAAAACTTTGGCAGCGCTTTCCAGCTGTGTGATCACTTCTGGTGCACCGACCGCCGCCATCGTTTTCGTCCCTCTCCAATGACGCGCCATGCGCTCTGCATTGTGGGATAACAGTCTGTAGCAACCAGGTAGCAACAGGCAAAGGGGGTTTAGAGACCCAACGGTTGCGGGTTCGAGTCCCGACCCGCGTGCATGCTGAGCGCGTGGAGGCAGCAGAGGGTCGTGTATTTCAACCATAGGATTTCAACAAAGGCAAGGTAGGTTTATTACAGCAAGAAGCTAATTCAAAGTGCTTTACACAACGCAAATGCAACATATAAAGACATCAACAAAGTATTATAATAGCAGAGGTGAGGGTAACTAAGAACATTAGATCAACTAAAGTACCATTTTGAGCTACTTTACTAGAGTATTTCCATCTTATGCTACTTTATACTTCTACTCCACTACATTTAAAGGAGAAATCATTTCATTTCATAATGTATTTTTTCTCCACTACATTTATTTATCAGCTTTAGCTTCTTTTAACAAACGTTAAAAATAGTGGACTACTAACTCTTTAATTCACCAAAAAGTCAATCAGACCTTTGGTTTGTTTACAACATTGCTACTTGATGCAACAATATTATCTAGAAATGTCACATATATAATTATACACACACATAAAGGCCTTTTTTTATACAATGATTACTTTGACACTTGTTATACCTTTTGTACTCTTACTTAAGTACGATTTTGAATGCAGGACTCTTCCTTATAATGTATACTTTTACACAAGTAAAGCATCTGAATACTTCTTCCATCACTGTGTATTAGCATAGATAAAGCTACTCAGCAGTACAAAGTAAGAAGTGATTACGTTAAACACAAAGCATGTTACCAGCTGGCTGCAACATGCAAGGAGTACTTTTACTTTTGGTACTTCAGATATATACTTGATGCTAATATTAAACTTCACATTAGTTCAATACACTGTGGCATTGCTTCGTTTGAATTCAAGTCAATTTTAAGTCATATTAAAATAAAATACTAGAAATAGACAGTGGTGGAAATAAATTGCATTTACTTAAAGGTGGGGTAGGTAATTTTGAGAAACCGGCTCGAGATACACTTTTTGTTATATTCCATGGAATGCTCTTAACATCCCGATAGCAATGAATATCTTAAGTGCTTTGACAAAAAATCCATAAAAAAAAGTGTATTTTCAAATTCTAGCGATCTCGAGCCGGTTTCTCAAACTTACCTACCCTACCTTTAAAGGTGGGGTAGGTAATTTTGGAGAAACCAGCTCAAGTGCGCTAGAATTTGAAAATACACTGGCCGTTTCTCAATCGCGAGTAAAGCTGCTGCAGAGCCACTATTTCAAGCATACTACGTCATCGAGTGCCGCCGAAGTACTGTTCCAATCTCCAGCATACTTGGAAATCTACCGAGTCCGGCGTACTTCGTTTGGAGAAATATCGAGGCTGCACATGAGTAGACTCCGCGGTCTTAAAATCCCCACAATGCTTTGCGCACGGACCAATTTCCAAAATCTGTGGCGGAAAATGTAAGGCGAGGCCTCTCATATGACGCACACCTGCACACTTGCTAGCGTGTTCCACACTTCGTTTTCCGAATGCCAGGAAGTATTCTTGACTCGCTTCTGAAGCAAGATGCTCGGCAGACATGTGCTACCAAGCAAGCGTACTCGCGATTGAGAAACACCCACAGCCGGAAAAAATCTGCCACTTCCTTACAGAGCCCCTCCTCCAACACACACAAACGTGCACATGACCAATGAGGGCACGAGATAAGTTTGTGCACAGATGGAAGGCTGACAGGCAGGTAGGCCATCCAATTATTTTAGCCGGGCCGGCTAAAATGATTGGTCGTGCTTTTTACAGTACTAAGGCTTCCACAGATGACATTTTCCACAGATGAATTTTTTTAATGGATTTTTTGTCAAAGCACTTAAGATATTCATTGCTATCGGGATGTTAAGAGCATTCCATGGAATATAACACAAAGTGTATCTCGAGCCGGTTTCTTACCTACCCCACCTTTAAGTACAACTTTAAGGGAATTTACTTAAGTATTTCTTATATTCAGGAAGAGCCATTCATTGTAATGGCTCCTCATACTTAAAGGTCCCATGTTATGCTTTTCCGGTTATTACCCGTCCCCTTGTGTGTTATGTAGCTTTTTCTTCACGTAAACGGTCTGCAGAGTCACAAACCCTCAAAGTACACCCTGTAGCGAGTAAAACTCTAACACAGAAAAGACCCGTCTATGCTGCCCCAGAACGCCTCGTTGGAGATTTCTTTTTCTTCTTGGGTACAGTGACGTGCCCATACCCAAATGGACCAATCCGTGGAGCCGTTAGGTTACACACACACACTCAATCTTTTCTCAGCTGCAGCTCTGCCGATTTCTCCTCCCTGAGACGGCGGGACGCGGCGAGGCTGTGAGTCGGTGTGTGAGCACACACACAAACTCCCAGCCAGGCTGTGTGTGTGTGCTCGGGCTGGGTTTCGCTGTGTCTCGCTGTCTCGCAGACGGCCACTGGGCTCAAGGGAGGGGGGGCAGGAGCTCCAACAAGCCGTGTAGGACAGAGTGAATACACATACTATACAGAGATGCTGTATGAGAAACCAATGTGAGTTTGGAACATTGCACAATATAAATCTATTCTAGTAGACCTCAACAATGGAATTATGATCAGTAGAAATGGCCATGACATGGGACCTTTAAGTATTTTTTTTATGATAGTATTGTGTCAAATACTTATTTTAGTGCATGTTTTGGCTGCAAGTGATTTTTATCAGCAGATAAACAATTGCACTTTCATTTCTTTGGAACCCCCTTTAAATTAAAGTAAAAAACTGTCCTCTTCCATTCACACATTGATGAACTGAAATAAAGCACAAGTCCAAGAAGTTGGTTAATTTAATTTATACATACATTTTACACACAAAAGGACTGTGAAAGCATTTTTACAAATTCTCAATTCATACATAAATGTAAAAAAAGAGATAGCTGTCCACATTACATCATCGATAATACTGCGTAGACATGGTTTTTTGAACATTAGCACAAGGGAAGTTGAAAAAAAAGGGAAGGAAAATGATACAAAAAATATGTATATCTGTATAAATATAAATTCAAAAGTAACAGAGTTGTATCATACATCAAGGAGCATCAGAGACAACGAGAGACTCCTTAGAGTAAAATACAAAAGGATACACAAGTGAAGAAATCAGAAATCAACAGTAAAAGATTGTCAGTCATCACTCTAACCTCAGAAACACCTCACACACTCTGCAGAGACTCTCCTTATAAAGCTATGTTTCACTGTCCTGGTCGACGTGGATTGGCAACGAGGGGTTTGGAGAAGTGGACGTCTGGACCACCTGAGAGGAAAGCTGCATGGTGGAGCCCTCGAGCAAGGCACTTCATCCACAGTGGATTATCTGAGAAACTCACAGGCAACACTGGCTTTGTTTACATGCAGGACACTAGCTTTAGTACATTTAAAGCAGGGGTGTCAAACTCAAGGCCCGGGGGCCAAATCCGGTCCGCGACTTCATTTGATGTGGCCCCACAAGAGCTTGCAAAGAATATAATACATTTAGTATACGGTTACATGCTACTTTACAGAAGCACGTTGCCCATAAACGACATGTCCCACAATGCATCTCAAATTTGACTTTTTCTCAGAATTTATTTCAAAATGTCACTTTTTTGTTTTTCCAGAATGTGGCTTTTCTTTTAAAATCATATTGTGACATTCTCACCGAAGAGACTTGCAATTATTTGCCCTAGACTTCTGCTTTCAGACTTAGTTAATTATGAAGTTATTACCCTATCCGATAATAATCCAATGCAGAGGCAATCATGTAATAGAATACATTATTTTATATATATATTCAATATTTATATATGTCTTTTTATATAGTCTTAAAGTTACAACTGGTCCTTTGAGTGCAACCATAATGCTGATGTGGCCCGTGATGAAATTGAGTTTGACACCCCTGATTTAAAGCCACTGTCAAAACACATTTATGGCAAAAATGAAATTGTTTTTTGGTGTAATAATATGTAACAAACATATGCAACAAATATGTCATTCTCTGATGTTAAATGTAACATTTGAGCTTTAGACAAAAATGACCCAAGTTGCATTATTTTAGAGTGTGGAAAACCCCCTTTTTCACTTTCCTAAATCATTATTTTGAAACAATATATGATAAGTTACATTAAAATGGCACCTTATTTATTATGTCATTAAGTAATTTACTGTTCTGACCACTTTCCTTAAAAATCTATTTATTGTAAGTTACTGAATGGAATAAAAATAAGGTTGTTGATGCATGTAAATAAAGCCAGTGTTGATGTAAAACTTCAATAAACGAAATAATAAAAACAGGTAAGAGAGGATTGTGAAAAAGATGATAAGGCAATATTTTAAGATTGTGCTGCTCACACAAGGCACGGCACATTTACAGAAAAACAAACTTTCAATACATTGTCAGGCAAGTAAAAAAAAAAAAAAAAAATCTTCTGTAACAAATCTGATCCTCACATTTTCCATCATCATTATGCTTCAAAAAATCGCTTGAAAAAGTTCAGACTTCTTGAGCATTCCCAGTCTTCAAGGTCAAATTCAGAATACTGAACGGTTTGGTGTTCAAACGGTTCGACACAGAGAGCAGTCACCGTTTAATGATTGTCAATAAGCGAGAAGGTACTGGATGATAGCGTCAAAACAGAACATGGCACAGGTCTGTAGTAAAAGATAAACAACACTCACACTTGTGGTCATTTCGGATAAATAAGGAAAATGTACCAAACACAAACTCTTTGTTGAAATTGTATATAAAACAGAGAAAGCTATTTGTTCTTTTTCAGATTACATTTCCTGAAGCCATCCTGCCTCGCTCCTCCTCGAACTTTTATCTACCAATTTCTTTCTGAATACCTCCTCTCTTGCGTTAAGGACCAGCCCGGCAGCAGGAGAGGAAGAGTCCGCCATCTTTGTTCTGCAAAAACACTGATCGTCATCTTCATCATCACCTTCGTCATCGAGCGGCGACACACACTCCCAACATTCAATTAGAAAAAAGGCACACGGCTCATTACTTTCAAAACCCAAGCACACTTCTTTAAGCCACAACAAAAGAAAAACAGGTAATAACAATTATAATAATAATAATGTAAATAATATTAACCACAATAATAAGCAGCATGTTGTAACTGAAAAGAGAAAATATATATATAAACCAATATATTTGTACATTTCAGTACAAAAAAAAGGATATTAAGTGTTTAGACAACTATATATAATGTATTTTTTTGTATTGCACATAGTCATACTATCACATGTTTGCTGTTGTAAGAACATGTTGCACGTTTGTGTTTCCCTCAAGAAGATACGAGGAGGCGGGTTAAGTTACAATGCAACTCATCTTTGCAAAATAGCTGTAAATGTGTGTGTGTGTGTTAGAGTTTTGATTCTCAGTGAGAAACCAACTCAGCACCATCTGACACGGCAGATTCAGGCCTGGCCGGGTCTGGCTTTGATTTCTCTTAATTAGGGTTACACCTAACCCTTCTTTCTACTCATCAGTGTGCTCCTTAAAACAAAGCATTGGGTGTTCTCTGCCCCCCAAAGTAAACAAGAAGTATCATTTTAAAAACGGGTTTCTTGCTTTCTTGATCCAATTCTTTGTGTGAAGTCCACTGAACGTCAGGTTCAATAAACACCTCAGTCTTTGATCCGACTAAAACCGAATTAGGCTTGATTTTTTTTTAGCCTTATGTGAAATCTATACATGTTTTTTGTAGGATCAAATGCTTTTGTAGCCGAGCTTTGAAATGGTTAGTTAGAATAGAGGATCAGTAACTTGAAGCATCTTAAAAACACAAAGATATTTGTAACAGTAACCTCTTAGGGAAGAAGGATCAGGCTCCGTCTTAAGGACAAAACACGGTGAAATACAGTTGGCACAAAATGAGGCAGCTGTGGATATACAAGATATATGTAACCAAACACATTTCATTTAGTTAATTCCAATATTTCAAGATTGATCTGCTACAAAAAGCAGATATCAAGATGGCCGTCTCTCAGAGGAATCTGAAGCCAACTTCTTGAAATATTGACACTGAAATCTTCCTGCAGAGATTTCTTCATCCACCCCAAACTGTACTGATGCATGTGTGTGAGTGTGTGCACGTGAATGCAATGTGTCTTTGTAGCTTATTTTGCAGCAGCTGTGAAAGAGGCGTGTTGCTTGTTCAGTCTCCCCCTACTTCACTGTCTAACAGTAAACTGGCGTCACAGCGCGTGTGTCCGATATCGGGGTGTGAAGCAGCTCCTGTGTCAGGAGATCACCGCGGAGGTTTTTCAGTCGTCCGTAAGACACGAGGGTGGAAGGAATGGGACAAGAAACCGCTGGAAAGATCCAGAAGCAGTCCTCGAATTTGACATCTTGTCTGTGATCCAATCATCCTCACGTTCTCAAGATTCAATCCTTTCATCCTGTAAAATCCTTTCTAACCGATTCACCCTTTGTGAACACAGAATGTCGTTTCTTGGTCCTGGATGAGGGGAGTTTTGTATTTGAAGTCATTGTGAACGCACTATAGTTTCCACAAGGGGGTGATGTTCACCAATCCTGCTCCTGTAACAATCACACATGGCAGATATGCATCAACACACACAGACACACCTGTGTATGCACGCCTCTTCTCACACACACACACACACACACACACACACACACAGGAGAAGAGCAGTGATAGGTGGCAGTGTGACGAGCTAAAAAGACGCTCAGAAAGTCAGTCTGCAGCTCTACACGTACACCGGCTCACACCCTTCCCCCTGCTCTCCTTCCTCGTCGTCATCCTCATCATCATCCTCCTCTTCTTCCTCCTGTTCGTCCTCCTCTTCCGGGCCCACGCTTGGCGACGCCTCGCTGACCTCGGGGGGTTTCGGGTAGCGGAAGGGGCAGCCGTTGTCGTCGAAGAATCTGCGGAAGGTGAACTCGTAAAAGGCGTGCTCCGGGTGTTTCCCGTTGGGAGAGCAGAGGATGTCCAGCGCCCGGCTGCTGTCCCCGCTGTCGCTCCACGCCCCGGGGCCGCAGTCGTCATCCACGGGGTCGAAGTTGGAGGTGTCCATCGAGTGGGCGATCTTGGGCCGGTAAGGGGCCGGTTGCTGCCGCAGATTGCTGGTGAAGTCCACCTGGGAGAAGAAGGGGTGAGCCTTGATCTCGCCGGCGCCGTTCGAGCCCACTCGATTCTCCGCGGAGCAGCAGAGGCGCCCGATGATGTCCACGGCCTCCGGGCTCAGTTTGACCTGAGCAGGAACCTGCAGGGTGCTCTCCCAGTTAATCACCTGCAGAGGGGAGGGACAGAACACATGAGGTTACAACAGATACAGTCATGTCAGATCTCATACTCAATCTGTTGGATTCACACCGACACATTTCATTCATTACCCTCCAAACAGTCGTTGACTTACATCTTTTCAACAGGGGTCAACAATGTGACACAATTACTGGACATAAAATACACACCGTTTTCACACACACAACCAAATATGTATATATGTTCATTTTAATACATTTCTTATTTTATAGTTATTTATCATTTATAATTTTTATCTTTGATTTTATCCTTAATTGTATTAATCTGTGTGATCTCATCATCTGCAAAGAAGTTAGTGGTTTTCAAAGTCTAACAATGTGGGCCTCCCCCTTGGCAAAACTTGGAATAAGGTGCCCTCTTACCCTTCCTTAGTTTACTTCCTAAGTTCCAGTTATCTCACCCATTGACAGCCGACCATTAAGGCAAAATAGCGTTTCATTGCCGTTTGTTTTCCGACATTATCAATAGGTGAATAATTAAATATCTAATTCAAATCTATATGGATATTTCTCTTCCTCACTGACCTTGATCTGAGTCTCAGTAGGTGTGGGGGCCAGGAATGGCGGCTGTCCCACCAGCATCTCAAACAGGATCACTCCCACGCTCCACCAGTCACACAGCTGGGTGTAACCTGCAACACAGAACACACATATCAGATTCATCCTCAAATGCAAATACTGCAAAAAAAAGATATAATTATGTATTTGTACAGTCACATACTTTTGATTTGAAATGAAAGAAAATAAATTGTGCGATACATATTTTGTTCAACATGGCCAGTTTGAAATGATCAATTGGTTAATGCAAATACCAAACATGCATTTGGTTGATTTTGTTGATGTCCCCTGTCAAAACATGTGCTAACCTTTTCACAAGATTACCCTTGAATTATTGAGCATTCACACATTTTCCCTCCTTGCTAAGATATGTACTCTCTTTCCAAACATCACCTATCAAAACAGTGACTGCTGCTCTACACAAGGCAGCATCAGCATCTACATTTGATTTGGATGGTTAAATACTCAAAATGTTTTCATTCAAAATACACTTCATTTAAAACATTAAGTTGTTTCATACCTTCAGATTTCCCCCCACCTTTGCGCAGTAGCACTTCAGGTGCGATGTAGTTGGGGGTTCCCACCAGAGAGTGCGCGAGGCAGCGCTGGTGCTGCCGGTTCGCTCTCTGCTCCAGAGTCATCAGCCGGTCCCCGCAGCGACAGTTCGACACATCGTCCCAGAAGTCACTGGGCTCCATGCTGTCCTGTCTGACGTGGCTCCCTGCAGGCACAAAAAGGGCAACAATGACAAAAACGCAATGACACACTGACCTGATTAGCTGCATGGGAAAGAAAAACTAATAAAACTATTGCCCGTGAGCGAAGCACTTAGCGACCAGAAGAAGATAAGTGTCTGGATTTGGAAGCTGACAGGTATGAATGTGTCTGAAATGCCCCTGCAAGCTATTTTCTTTTGCTATACTTGGAGTTTCAAGGACAATTGAAGCTCGAGCTTCAGGATGAGAACAAATATTATAGAAATCAGTGAGATTAAGACCTAGTTTTAAGGAACATTTGTGAATATCGCTTTTAAATTTCACTGTAGGGCTAAAATAGTCAGGTGATTAATCAATCAGTTTTAAAAATAATCAGCATCTACTTGGTAATCATTCAACCATTTAAGAAATGTTCAAAGCAAAAATAATCTGAATCCAGCCTCTCAAAGAAGATGCTTTGCTGCTTCTCTTGATCATACATCAATGTTACGTAAATATTTTGGGGTATACAAAAAAGGATATCTGAAACAGCCACAATTGGTTCTGCAAAGTTGTGAAAAAACCCATTTGGACATTTTATATCCCAAAAAAGTATCAATCATACTCATCGATTTAAACAAATTGTTAGTTTCAGCCCTTTTCAATGGGATCAAACAGTATATTGTTGCGTGTTTCCAGTCCACTAACCTCATAGAATCTTCTAAAAATGGTGTTAAATCCTGCATGCATTCAAAGTGTATGTTTACATATTTAGATCACTAATCCATCATCACAAACTGCCTCACCTTTCTGGTAGTACTTGGAGTTGTGTGTCCAGCGGAAGCCGGTGCACAGGCCGAAGTCGGTGAGCTTGATGTGTCCGTCCACGTCGATGAGGATGTTGTCGGGCTTGATGTCTCGGTGGATGAAGCCCATCTTGTGGACGCTCTCGATGGCCAGCGTTAGCTCCGCGATGTAGAAGCGCGCCAGATGTTCGGGGAAGATGCCCATCCTGATGAGGAGGCTCATCATGTCTCCTCCGGGGATGTAGTCCATGACGAAGTAGAGGCTGTCGCGGTCCTGGAAGGAGTAGTAGAGACGCACCACCCACTCGTTGTCTGCCTCCGCCAGGATGTCCCGCTCTGCCTTCACATGAGCCACCTGCACCAAAAGAAAACATCCATTTAAGTAACAACAGTAATATTAACAGACCTGAGGCCTGTACTACGAAGCCGGATTTTCGCTTAGCGAGGTAACTTCAGGGAAAACTCTGGGTTTCCGGTCCTACGACGCTGGTTCTCTTCTTACCGGGCTAGATCTCCATGGTAACTTATGCTGAACGGCTAACCTGCTCCGGAGCAGGTTAGCCGTTCAGCATAAGAGATCAACTCAGTGAAAGCCCCACCTGCTGACCAATCAGAGCTCCGGATCAAAGTAACATTAAGTACAGTCCGCGGCACTGTGAGTGCAGACGTCGATGTGTCCCATTATCATTCATATCACATCATAATGTATCATATATTTCCTTATTTGAGTCAGCTTCTTGAGCCGTATCTGGCCGTGCAACACTCACAGTGTCACATACTGTATGCAGAAGTATTATTTCAAGCAACACATTAAGTTGACGAAACACTCGAGTCAAATGTAATTAAAGTCAGATCCACTCGTGTCTTGGACGGGGCAGTGATTTCATAAACCTGTTAATGTACGCATTCAAACACTTTTTCTTTTACCAGCTGTATTCACCTTGCAGGTGCAGCTATGTGGCTTTTATCCTGGATAAAGTGTTTAAGTCATGGATGTTTAAAGTTTAACTTCTTCATATTTGTCTAATATTATAGTTTACTTTTCATTCAGGAAGTATGACGCTGCGCTGTCAGTACGCTTCTCCATGTTTGTGATTGGTCAAATGTTGCTAGCCCCGCCCCTTTCACGTGAACGCGCACTCAGCCGGACAGAGAAACCCTGGCTTGAGTTACTGAGTTGATAACCAGCGTCGTAGGACCGTTTAGCGAGATCGCGTTTGTTAGGGTTAGTTAAGCCGGGCAACTCAAACATATCCAGGGTCTGTTGAACTGGATTCGTGGTGCAGGCCTCAGGCTGTGCCTAAGTTGTTATGATTATTTGGGGGGAATTTAAAATACATATCTTTAAAAACATATCTTTCTTCAATTATATTTATGTTCCTATTATAAACATTTTTTTTAATCCCGTTGTATTTTTCTTGTGTTCTGTATTAATGTTTTCTTACACATATATTCTATGTTTATTTGTAAGTTTTATTGTATTTGTTTTACATATTAAGGTGTTTTTGTTCTTCATTTCTCACAACTGTTTTAATTAAATTCATTAGTGTTTTTTTTTACTATTCTATATTTATGTTTCTTCCAAACATTTAGAGTACTGTTTTATTTTTTGTATTGTACTTCGATTCTATATTAATGTTCTCTGGTTTTTGCAATACTTACATATTTATTAAAAATGTTTTTAACTATGTTCATGTCAGCACCAATACACTAAAGAAAATTATCTCGTCTGTCAAAACACGCTTCAAACTCAGGACTTCTCCATATGTGAACAATCATGTATCAACTCACCTGGTTGCGGTTGAGGACATCCTTTTTGCGCAGTGTTTTCATGGCATAAAGTGCGCCCGTGTCCACTTTACGTGTCAGACTCACTTCACCAAACGCACCGATGCCCAAAGTCTTGAGTTTGATGAACATGGATTTGTCCATCTTGGCCCGGCGCAGTCTGTTGTAGTTGGACTCTTTCTGGTTCAGCATCTTCCTCATCTGCTCCTGCTCTGCCTCCGACAGGCCGGCCTGGGCAGCAAGGAAAGGGTTAAAGAAAGATCATGACGGGAATATACAACAACCCTTTGATAAGCAACTTTTTTTTTTTTAAAGTTCCATTTTTGCATTTATTATAACTAACGACCTAGGAATGTGGCGTATGCTTGACCCGGCGGCACCCTGACCTTTGCTGTCATATTCAACTAATTCTTCTGTCTGGGTCTGACTGCGGTATTTTCTCAAAAAATGCTTTTCAATTACTTAAAGTACTTGAAAAGGGCGGAGGTCAAATAGTCATCACTCGGGACAAGTGTGAACTGATTGGCTTTTCTTTTCAAGACAAAGATTTTTTTTGTCAAAAACAAAAGTCCTGAGGAACAATTCTTCTGACATTTCCCTGAGCTGCCCGAAAACTAATTGATGTCTGCTCAACTGAAAACAAAGTATAAACATATGATGCCATTGCATTTTAATTAGGTAAATGTAATCTTTGGTATTTGTTTAATTTAACTTATTAATCGTATTCGTTTTTTATCGTTTGTCTAATTCTTACATTACAAAACCTTTTTTTACTTCTTACTAAATAAAACAAAAAATTATGCAGAACCACTGGTGTGTTCCTTTTGATACTATTTAAAAAATGCCTTCCAGTGAGGCCGAGCATTGCAATGAGGATGTCAAGAGCTCCATAAGTTCACTAAATCTATGCAAATCACAGGATATGTAGGGGTTATATGCTTTGCTGCAGGGCGCTCAAGACACTCGCTACAACTTGCATGTTCATTTCAAAGACCTAAATCTTCACGGTGAGTTTAACTAAGTGTCTTTTCTCTCTGTGTGGTCTTACCTTGGACATCTCCTGCTCCAGCTGAAGCCTGCGGTTCAGTTTCTGCTGGTGCGTCTTCATCACATTCTCTATGTGCTGCTCCATGTAGAACTTGAAAGCGAAAGGCGAGTAGGTCTTGATGCGCGACTCCCTCTTCTCTTCATCCCGCCCGTTCTTCCTCACGGGAACAGGGGATGTCTGGATCTGCTTCTTGTCTTTCACCGTTTTCTCTCCCTTGCCCACCTTGGTCTTCTCCTTCACCTGCTGGCTCTCCTCTGTCTTCCCGCTTCCCCCGCTGCCTCCATGTGAGCTCCTGCTTGCAGGGCTGCTGTGATCCTGAGCTCCACACATCCCTGCCTCCTCTGGCCCCGACATGAGCAGGTTTTTGGGGTACGGTGGTGGCGGGCAGCGGGGCTCCTGAGCCGGCTCCAGGGGGTAAGTCTCCTCCGGCATGTAGGCCAGAGGCTCCCCTGCTTCCTGAGCCGTCATCCAGCTGGGGTGACATGGCCCCACGGCTGTTTTGGGCTCCGGCCTCATCACACGGATGCTCTTCACGGGCTGCTGGATGGGCGGGGATGTTACGGCCGTGATGGTGTTCGGAGGGCCCAGCGAGGGGTCCTGTTTTCCAGCTGATGGAGGAACAGCCATCGCAGGCCGGACACCATTCTGCCCTGCAGAGCGACTGTTGAAGGAGTTGGTTCTGCTGGGGACTCTCACCTCCCCCCTGAATGGGCCTTGAGGCTGGGGCTGCCTGGCTTGAGGGGCTCCTTCAGGACCTGGAGGCCCCGCCCAGTGGTGCTCGTACAGATCCAGGTTCAAACTGGCTCTAGATGGAGTCATCAAACCCTGGGGCATGTCGGAGAAGTCGGGGCCCATGGATGCAACACCTCCTGGGGAGCGGGACATCATGTGGACCTGGTGGGACGTGGGGGAGGCCTGCCGTGGGTGGGAGTGGGGGGGCAGGTACAGGTTAGCGGGGTACCCTCCCCCTCCACCCCCTGGAACGTTCTTCCCCTGCATGTTGACGTAGTTGTCTTGGGGCGCCATGGGGGGCGGGGCCATCTTGTTCTGGAAGGAGGCGGTCCTCTTGACTCCGTACCCGGCGGGCTCCATCATGTGAGGCCTGCCGTGGCCGTAGTCGTAGTGGGGGCCGGGGACGGGGCCCCCTGGTGGCGGAGGCTGGAGCTGCAGCGGCTGGCCCGGGACGTTGTAGCTCATCATGGCTCCGTGCTGCTCCATGCCGCCGGGGTAGCCCTTCTGCTGGGCCCCCGGGGGGTACATGGGGTTGCCTGGGTTGTTCTGCGGGGCCATCACTGGAGGGTAGGAGCCCATACTGGGAGGGCGGCCCATCGGGTTTCCCATGGCAGGACCCTGTGATGCACCGGACGGCGGCGGCATCATGTAGTTCATGACGGGGGGGGGCGCTCATGTAGGGTCGGGGCATCTCCCCCTCAGGGCCGTAGCCTCCCTCGTACATTTGGGCCCCCATCGGGTGGTAGGGAGGAAGGCCCTGAGTCTCACCTGGAGCTTCTAATGCAGGGCGGTGGTCCATGGAGTTGGGCATACCAGCTTTTCCTGAAAGGACAAGCAACAAAACCACTCAAAATATTAACCATGATCTAAGATTATTTCGTTTTTCCCCCTTTCTTTGTACATGGGGGGCCAAATGTGTTGCTAAAGATCAGTCAGCAACATACAGTAAATACAGAAGTAGTGAAAATATATGAATAGAATATCAAATCTTCCACAAATGTAAACTTCTATACAAGTTATGCTTTAAAAAAATAAGCGGACAACTTTTACGAAAACCTTTTATGGATCTCTGACCACCTACACATGTTGGCCAGATGTCTATTGATTTTATATTGAGATCAGGAGATGTCAACGTGGTCAATAGGGTTGCATATTTATTCCTAATCCTTTTGTATTTTATTTTATTCACTATAACTATTATTTTATCTCTGCACTGTCTTCCGATTACTTTTCAATGATGACGGTAAATAAATAAATAGTTGGAAAGAAATCTACGAGCCAAAGTCCACTTATTGAGGTGGTCTTCATACCTGGTGAAGTCTGCTTGATGACGCGGACGATGAGTTCATTTCGAGGGTCGAGGTAACTCATTTTGCCGATGTACTCTAAGGCCGCTTCGATGTTCCTGCTTCCCGTCTGCTTCAGCGCCCGCACGGCCATCTCCTGTGAAACACACACACACAAAAAGAAATGTTGAGAAATATAATACCATTTCTGAGATTTTAAATATGATCAAAACCATGGGTAAAAGACTTTGGAAAAGGTAGAAAGTATTACAAATGTGACCAGCCAGAACCAAAACGTGCTTAACATTTACTTATCTTACTTTGCGCTAAATCAAAACCTTTATATGACCAAATCTCAGACTGATTTAGGCTACGCTGTCAGAAAACTAAACGCACAAGACAAGCAATGAGACAGATTTTGTGTAAAGGATACTGGGAATTTGCAAACATACACACAATAAAAGGATTTCTGGTCGACAGGAATCTCAAATCTAAGATAAAGTAGTTCCCTGTCATCAATACAGCAGCACATCAATGATCAACAAATAATTGTACTTATTATAATTTGAATAAGATACTAAAAACACTTAAAAACCATATATTAAGCTTGAGGGTGTTTTTCAAAACGTATGAACCTTGCAACAAATTGATTGCATTCTTCGAATTCTTCAGATGAAATGACCTTTTATATAATAATTTGCCTTTTAGCTCCTCAACCATTCAGAGTCATCCCAGGCTCCAACAGGTGGGTCTCTGTGAAAGCCCACAGCTATGTAGGTCACCGATGTGAAAAATGTTGGTTAACCACTCTGGCATTTTCTATTCATCAGCTGCCGTGTAATTTATACTCGGGACACAGCGGCAAAAATGTGAAGGGGGATACATGCAGAGCGTTCCTCTCGCGAATCGACCTTTTATTAAACAATGCCGATCATTCCTCTGGTTCTCGTGTTCATTTAAAAAAGTAGGAGATCTTAAAGCTCAGGATTCAAAATAATTGAAACCCCCTCAGACCAAGAAGCTTTAAGACATACTTTGTTTGTGGCAAGACAGAAACAATTTGGGTTCTTATGTTGGTTGAAATGTTGGGATTTATAGCAACATAATGACAAAGGAACACAAAAGACAAAATGTTAGTTTCATGGACTTAAATCAAAGTGTCTGTTAGCAGCACCCGAATTTACAAGAAATATATCATAGTAAAACAGAAACCTTATTTTTATAATTGTGCCATTTCCCTTTCTATAATACATGAGCTGCCCTGTCTTACACAGCTCAGAAACTGTTTGAGTACAACATACTAGTGTACATGATTTATGGTACTTCGTTATTCTCTTTTCTGCCAAAATAGGTCCATTATACAACCGGGGGTGCAAGAAGTATTCTTATTTTAAGTTAAAGGTAGGGTAGGTAAGAATGGAGAAACCAGCTCGAGTGCGCTAGAATTTGAAAGTACGCAGCCGAAAAAATTCTGCCCCTTCCTTCAGATTTCCTTACAGAGCCCCTCCTCCAACACACACGAACGCGCACATGACCAATGAGGGCACGAGATAAGTTTGTGCACGAGATGGAAGGCTGACAGGCAGGTAGGCCATCCAGTTATTTTAGCCGGGCCGGCTCAGATGATTGGTCGTGCTTTTTACAGCGCTACGGCTTCCACAGATGACATTTTTTTATGTATTTATTGTCAAAGCATTTAATGTATTCATTGCTATCGGGATGTTAAGAGCATTCCATGGAATATAACAAAAAGTGTTTCTGAAGTGAATTACCTACCCCACCTTTAAGTAAGTCTTTCTTTAAAAATACACTAAGCAGATGGTACATTTTGATGCTAGAAATCTTTGTTTCCCCATTTTTTTTTCTAAGTTTACCTTGTTCAAATGAGTTGCTATTTGGGTAATCTGAAAGTACATTTTTTAAGTAATCGTTCCATCCCTGCCAGATTGCTTTGCAGAAGTATAAAGTGGTCTAAAATGCGAATGCCTAAAAATAGCGCTTCATTGGTTTCTGTTTATCTACTTGCATCCTGCAGGGTCAAATCTATTTATTAGCTAAATAACTTTAATTCACCTCCTTGGTGTTTTTCATGAAGACACAATCCTGAATCCCGTGAATGCAAACATTGAGGCGGTCTGACCACACCTGGAAATCTGAGTTCCTCTTCACTGTGCGGCGGGGGAACCAGACGACAAACTTCCTGTCTTTTTCACAACGGTAAACAAACAGGACAGCAGAGTGTGAGATAAACACAAAAGAAAAATCTGTCTTTCCCTCAGCGACGGAGGGACCCACACCTAGATAAGGAAATCCCCTCGTAAGGCAGATGACTTCACTGCAAAGACATCTCAGAGCCGACACTCAGGTGCCTCTGCAGGCCAAATAAAGTAACAGCAGCCACAAACTAAAGCATTTCATGTTGGTTTGATTTGATCTACCAACCCTGACAGCATTCAAATCTTGCTTTGCTCATTGAAATACATTACAGCAACAATATGTAAAACCCACATACATGTGCATATTTATCAGTTACGTGTCATTATCAAAGCAAAGGATGAAGCATATCGTTGTTCCTGACTCCATCACGCTGCTGAGCTATTGGAACAAATCTTAGAAATCTTTAAAAAGTTGACGTGTTGTCAATATCAAATGTCTTTATATGTTTTAATACGTTTTTATGAAGCACTGTGGCCAAGACAAATAAAGTGTATCTATTAAAGTGTCAATGTCTTCTTTTATAGGATGGCTGGTTCCTTGAGTAACTTCACTTTAGGGCAATAGATACATCTCATTATCTCAATTTAAAGTATCTGAGAGTTGTAGTTTTACAATAAAGATATATTAAAAAAATGGTAGTCTGCTATTATTATACATATTAATTATTATTTATGGACTTCAGCAATGACCTTTCCACTTCTCTTCCTAAAAAGAACATTGAAGCAGAGCACATTCAGGCTGCTGCCAGATTCTAACAAGAACCAGGAGAAGTGAGCACATTGTTCCCACTCTTAAATCTTTACAATGGCTTCAGGATCATTTGGAGATTTAAAAAAGTGCTGCTGCTAGCGCATAAATCACTCGGCAGTCAGATAGAAAGGGTCAAAATGCATTTAGCTAGAGATGGAAACAAACTTCCTGATTATCTTCGCTGTGCAACTACTTTGTCTGCTTTTCAATCAAATGAAAAGCAGACAAAGTTTCCTTTTAATTCATTTTCTTTGATGCACTTTTTTCCTTTAGTACGGACTTTCCCAAACTGAGTAACGCGTACCACTTCTGGTATGCAAGCTTCAGTCTGGTGGTATGCAAGAGCTTTGCTTATAAACCTAACAGAGACGAGATCTTCCCTAGCACGTCTTCGGATGGACTTTTGAATGCAAGTAAGTATTGCTTAGCAGCTACACTGTAAACAACAAATGGGTGTTGAAATTAGCAGGAGGGAGCTAGTTAGCGATAGCAGTTAGCAGCCAGTTGACAGCAACAGCGTCATACTAGGGCCCAATCCCAAACCACGCCCTACCCCTACGTGACGGAGTGAGCTTTGGGACAAACTCCCCTCTGTCCGGCAGAAACAGGAAATACCGTAACTGTATGTAACAACGGTTTCAAATCAGAATCTCTAAGACAAAAAATAATATTAATAAGTAAAATAAAAAACTCTAAACATCTTTAATTGTGTTACTTTTTTGTAAAGCCCTTTTAGCATCGCAATTTATCAGTGGATGTTTGCTGGAACTGTTTGTAAACAGCGTGTTTCCTGACGGACACACACAGCGTTGAGACCGGTCAGGTAGAGACCGGTCTCCAGTCAGCACCGATGCAGACTCGCTGTTTGATGGCTTGATAGCCCACTCCCCCTCCACACCGCTCCACACTCGTTGGTTTGGAACAGCACTTAATGTGGCGGACCCTCCGCGCAAACGGAGGGGTAGTGTGTAGGGCATGGTTTGGGATTGGGCCTAGGTTAAATAATTGAGCTAGCGGCTAATGCAGGTTCTATTTTGACGTTCAAACCCTATTCAGTACAAATCCAAATGAGATCATAATGTGTTGAAAGTCATCTTGCAAAATGTATTTTTTGTGAGAAACTTGAATATATAAAAGTGGAATTATGTAAAGAAAACTGGCATGTTATGGGTTAAAATTCCAACAATTAATGAATATTTGGTAGTGATGATCAGGGTTGAAGTTTGGAACAAGATTGAAGTTTAAATTATAAAGAAATATATAAGTTTATGGCAGTTTTATGAACATTTTTATTCTCCAAAGGGCATTATTAGAGCAACTTTATCTAAAGTGAGGCCCAAGGGTTAAAAGTAGGAGCGCACAGCAACCGTGGGCAGTCAGCTCTCAGAGCCAGGAAATGCCAAGGCCACACACTTTCTATGCCGTGTGTGTGTGTGTGTGTGTGTGTGTGTGTGTGTGTGTGTGTGTGTGTGTGTGTGTGTTGCATTCCTGCGTAGCCAGTAGAGAGTGCAGGCTGCCAGAGCCGCCCTGTAATGTCACATTATGTCCTCCTCTCGCTCAGTTTTCTCCCTCGTTTGCTTTCTTCTGCCTCCTTGTTTACAATGTGTAAGTATAGTAACGCTGGTTTAAAGTATTTCAGATGGGTGATTTATGATAATTGTTGAAATAGGGACAACAAAGCACACTTTAAAACAGTCTCTCTTTAAAGTATTTGTGCAATGAACAAAATAAGAGCTTGAATGCCAATGAATGTGTTGCACTGTTAAGAAAAATGTTTCACATAAGACTAAAGCACTACTAAATTGATAAGACGGATGATATCTAGTCAATTAGAAAGTATAACTTGCGTATCAAAGGATTAAGAGTACATACTTGAGAATATATCAATGCCCTTCATTAATGATTTCCAGATGATAGATAATCTAGGAAAGGACGTTTTTGGGAAATGTAAAGAAAGTCTTTAGCCAGCTGAAATCCAAATGCCTACCTCCCACCATGATGTGGCTCTGCTAGCTACTATGACCCACTGTCTAACAGTCAAGTGCTGTTTTATAAGATTGGCTGGCACGCCAAACCACATTTTATTGGATATATTTATGTAACCCTTCCTTACAGGAAAGAAAAGAAGCATTGAGAAATGTTTTGGACACATATGGCGTATGAAAAGAGATAAATGAACATGGGGCACAGAACGAGAACGTGGGTACATTTTTTTTTAAATACAAGAAATACAATTGATGTTGTTGGCCTTTTTTTTAATGTGGAAGTGCCTGAATGTGTGTGTGCATATCACGGCGCTGTGCTAAACACAGAAAAGGTGAAAAATATTTAAATGCATTTTGATTGATCATTTTGAGACCCACAGAAGATAAGGGTTGTCCTTATCAGCGGCTTTTGTAACAACTTTTCCCTATTTAATAAATGCTTACTTTTGTATTCCAAAATAAAAACCTGATATCTGTAATAAGTATACAAATATTTGGTTTACAGAGGACATATAATGCTCATTTTAAGGTTCATATGCGTGCCTCTACTGTGACATTTTTACATGTGTGAGTGTGAGTGTGAGTGTGAGTGTGGAGGCTGGCCTGGTGACCCCGGCTGTCATGGCGACAGATGTTCAGTGCTCAACATTCCTCAGGAAGCAGGAATTCTAGCTATTTTCTGGATAGTTTTTCTCCCATCTTTCTCTCCCTCTGTCGAAAATATCCAGGCCACATTTTGTACCCTTGTCATAACGGTCGCGGGCCGCAAACCACACAGTTATCCTAAACGCATAATCACAAGCATACAAACTCCAAAACAAACAAACTGCTCTGACAGACCAACATAATGAACACAAAAACAAACTTTTTTTTGTCGTTGTCTTTTTGACCCAATTCTGAAACCTACTGCAGTTTAAATGAGAAAATCTAAACCATATGGAGGACGATCAGAGTGCAGATGGACGGACACGCCAAGAGGAATGGCCATGCATCATTTCCACACAGAGCCATAAAACCTGTCGTGATGTAACCTTCCTTTTCCTCATCCAAGGGGCAACGTGTACTGTACAGCAATGGTTAAGAAACGATATGCATTGATTTCCTTCAATATATGCGTTATAATTAATAAAATTGGATACTAAAAGTATTCACAACAAACATTACATGTTACTTGTTAGACGCTTTTTATCCAAAGCGACTTACATACTCGATACTGTGGGCAATCCCCACAGGAGCAATTTGGGGTGAAGTGTCTCAGGGACACAACGACATGCTGACTGCAGGGGGGTTTGAACCTGTGACTAGGGATGTCCCGATCACCTTTTTTTGCTCCCGATCCGATCATTTGATTTTGACAATCTGCCGATACCGATTTTTCCCGATCCGATCTTTATGCAATGCATTAAGAGAAAAAAAAGGTAACAGATAATGGCTGGTCATCCAACGCGATGAACTCAGCTATCTTGGCTGTTATTTTTTTGGCCTTTTCACTGTTCTGGGGCAGTTTCTCTTTCCTTTTAAAAGTCTCTGAAAGTGTCAGTTGTTTCAGTGCCGTTACCCGAGTGGCCGCTGTGTACTCGTCGTTTTGTTGTTGGTGGTGTTTGTATTAGATTGGTCGTGTTGAACGTAGCTCTGTTCTTTCCACCACGCGGAACCTCCGCCTTGCAAACATTGCATCTGGCTGTTACACTGCCTTCGGTTTCAATTTTATAATACTTCCAAACTCCTGACATTTTCTCTGTCCCGACTCCCGAGTCACCAGCTGAACGTAGCCTCTTGTTAGCTTACTGCTACTATTAGACACTGCGCCCACTGTTGCCAGATTTGAGAGAAATAAGCAACCAGGTTTATGAAAACAAGCCCAAAAGAAGCAACACATGCATGATGTTGTGTAATTTTAAACCAAAACTAAGGCCTCAGGATGACTTTAAGACGTGAACATGGTCATTTTTGTTTTGTAACGTTAAATAAAAAAGATAAAAAGTATAAAAAAAATATATATATATATATTCCCGATCCCCGATTTTTTTCTCCCGATTCCGATCTTTTGAAAATCACATGATCGGCTCCGATCCCCGATCACGTGATCGAATCGGGACATCTCTACCTGTGACCCCCTGATCCGAACACCACCGCACAACCCACTGCACCACACGCCTCCCAAACATTAGTCAAACCTACTCATAATGATTAGATTGAGCAAAGTGGTTAATTGATTATGTTATCCCATCTTTCCAGTCAAGTTTGGTTTTCTTTGTCTATACTTAAGGGGCCCTATCGCGCTCATGTTCAGGTGTATATCAGTAGTTGGTGTCTCTACTGTGACATGTGTCCATGCTCGAATGTTCAAAAAGCAACACTACAGGAAAGGGGAAACCGCAAAAAGCATTAAGGGCCTCTTTTAATGCTAGAAGAATACACAGTTTGAAGATGTTGTAGGATAGTAAGAGAGGAGAGATTGTCTAAAGGAGCGAGTAGTTTTCACTTTTCTTAACCGTGAACACGAACACAGCTTCAAAGTCACGTCCTGCTGGCCTCATCGTTACATAAACAGCGCACTGTGTGTTGCTCACACGTCGAAGGCTATAATATGCTTAGCCTGCACTAGAGTCCGTATGTACAGTTAAAGGCCTGGGAACCCCTCCTCCCCTCGGTTTCCTTTCTTCCCCTGTCATCTCGATGCGTGGCATGCAGCCCCACACCCTCACTCCCCTTCCAAAACATTTCCTCCCTTTAAAAAAAAAAAAGAAGGCGATTATGTAACACGCCACATTGCTCTGTAATTTGCAGCTGGAGAAGACAGGAGGGACAAAGAGGAGGAGGAAGTGTGCTGATAAGAGCTGAGTTGAACAATATGAGGAGAAGGAGAAGTTAAAGTGAAGGGTTTTCAAGGACAGAAGTGGCTGATCTATGGAAGCCATTATTGTTTTTGGCTTGTAAAATAAAAAATGTACTGCTTAGTGGCCTAAAAATGGAGGCAACAGCACTTGTGTGTTTTAACAACACACACATACACTAGAGTAGTCAAGTGTGTGTGTGTGTGTACAGGAGATGAGAGGAAAGTCAAGATGTGTGTGAAGTGCAGTTTGTAGTCAACATCTTGGATTTTGAGAAAGAAAGAAAATATACAGCAAACAAATGACTAACTTTTTGAGTTTAATCTTGAAACAAAGTGAAATCAACATTTGGACGTTGATTGGCAATCATTGTGAATCAACAATTACTTAAAATGTGTAAGAAAAGATGAGATGTATAGGGACGGAGACGCAGAGGAACAAAGAGTCAGACAGATGGACGGATGGAGGAGGAGGAGAGGCGACATGTTGGGTGGAGGCAGGACTTCAGCAGGAGGAACTGCTCCACCCGGCTGCCATTGAATGTTCACTTCCTGTTTGCATTGCCTCTGCCCGCACTCATTCACAAATGGTGGAAGCAATGGAGGTCAACCAGCTGCCGTCGAACAGAGGAAATGGCTGCCCTCAAGATATTCAGTTTGTTCTGTGATCTTTTTGACAGGTGTTTGAAATGCACTGGAGGTGTTTGAAATGGATCTCACTAGATTTTAGCTTTTTTTAGAGCAACAAACGGCAGCAATTATGTCTTGCTCAGGTTAAGCAAGCTCGAACAGCAAAAAGGCTAATAATATCATTGAACGTTTTATAGTTGTACATGTATGCACGAGTATAGACGAAATCAAGATCCTTGCATTTGAAATCTTCTCAGCATAAACTGAATTCTCACTGATTTAACTCTAAGGAAGTGAAGTGACCCCTGAGTAACAGCATCCCCATGACACGTTCTTTTCTCAGTGATTTCTGAGGCTGAAGGTCTGTGTAAAGTTGGCCCTCCCTTCCCGTGGAAACACTCTTCCTCCTCGCTCTTCTCCGGAGACGTTTGAGGGAGTGAACGCTAAACAGCCCGGTTGGGAAATCCACCTGATATTTCAACATTTCATCGCTCGGGTCTGCGTTATGTAACCGCAGCACTGTACACTTGGCAGGGAGCTCTTGTATTGTATTGCATCTGCGAGAATATGGCACCCTCGACTGCTTTCATTAGAAATTCCTGACTGAAGGAGGCAGAGCGGCTTCATAATGTGAGTGAAGTGGCAGAGAGCAACACTTGCCAAGACACAGACAACACTAACATATTCATACTGTCCATTTACACACACACTACAATACACACACACACACTACAATACACCCTCTGTCTAACTTGTTGATATCTTACACTCAGTAGGGCTCTAAATATATAATGTGTCACATTGTATTGCAACACAAAAATGTGAAAATGGCAGAATAGCAATTAAGAGTCAATCACAATAGAAACTTAACCAAGTAAGTAATCAGTTATGATTCCTTATAGTTCATATTTTAGTCTGTGTGGGTGGCTCAATTAAATTAACGCTAGATGTTGACTGTTCCCAGTACATTTAAAAACACTATTATCCAAAAATATCGAATATATTAGAAATAATTTATGTATTTTTTTACCAGCTGCAGTAGTGAACTAATCACTAGTCAATCACATTCAATCCAAGAATCAAGAAAAAAAATCCAAGAACAAAACCAACCCATTTTTTTTGTTCTAAATCTGGGAACAAAAGTGTTGAATGAAGATTTCGTTTGACTGGAGAAGTTTGGATACTACTTGCCACTGGATTATTTCAATAACCAGCCCTCACTGCAAGGCACTAACACAAAAATGATATTTAAGGGATGGTTAAAAATAGTGTAAAACAATCGTGGCATCAGAAGAAGAAGCACATTCTCACAACCAGCCAGGACAGCACCATCCTACAAGAAACCAACAAAACACAAACCAATACACAAAGACACACACACACACTCACACACACACACAAACACATACTCTCCCTCTCTCTTGGACTCACCTGGTCACAGCCGGTGTTCACCAGCTCCTGCAGCATCTGCCGGTTCACCTCCCCGGCGCCGGCAGGGTGTCCCGACCCGGAAGAAGGGCCGAACTTGTCGAACGGCATGAGGGACTTGCGGATTTCTCGCAGGGCATTCTGGTAGTTGTTGAACTTCTGCGGGGGTCTGAGCTGCTGCTGCCGGCTGGCCGCGTCTTTCCCGCTCTTGCAGTCGGCCGCTCTGCTGCCGTCGGACCGCGAGCTGCCGCCATGAAACGCCTGGCTCACCAGCTTGGCCGGCTGCTTCAGGCCCTCCTTGATCTCTTGGAGCCTCTGCCGAGTGTTGCCCACATATGGGGCCGCTGGGAAAGTCTTGGGCCTCATGGCCTCAGTGCCCAGGGCAGGCACCTAATCTAAAAAAAGGGAAGCACACACACACACTTACACTCCCTCCAAAAAAAGATTCCTTTCAAACTGGCTGCGAAAAAACGTTGGGAGATTTGGGAGTCCTCCTTTGTTTGTCTGCGTCTCTCTTTGTGATTCTGTAGATGCTGTAGATTATGTGAATGCTGGATGAAGGTGAGGAACTACAGGCATGCCATGGTGTGGCTTTCAAGGCTCAGGTTCCAACTTATTCCAGGAAATGCAGCCGGTCACGAGGGCGCCGCGCAGCCAGACCATGATGCTGCCAGTCTCCGCCTGAGGAGGAAGGGATGGAGTTAGATGGAGACTGCGGTCATGCATGGTGTTCATGTATTTTCTAAAATTAAAGCTAGCGCTAGGCAGCTTACACTTTCAGCACAGGGCAAGTTGTGCTTTTAATTAAAAATAGCAAATGTGTGGACCAGAATGGACACTGCACACAGTCAAGTTATAAGGCCTGGTAACTTCAAATATGTTGGCGACTCAAAACCAAAATCACCAATTTTAAACAGATTATACATTTTGAGGATTTTAGTGCAGCAGAAAAATGATAACCAACACCAATATAACATATGAAAATGTTCGTTTTATGTCAACGTTTAAAGGAAAATAAGTATGACATTTGGCCAATTGCATGCCAACAGGTACCTAGAACTTGTAGAATTAATAGTATAAATGTACAAAAATGATAACCCACCCTATATGGATCACAATGTATACATTTATTACATGTTTATCCCATCAGAGGTACTGCAGATGACATTATCAGATGTTATTTGGCATTTGAACAAGATCTATTCCAGCCTGATTTAAGACTAAAAATGCCTGGATTTTCAGTTATTCTAACAGAAACATCACGATAGGACCAGTTTGAAACCGGTCAAATCTGGAAGTGTGACCCAGTATTAGTCCATATGTGGTGCTGGTGCATACCTACTGCACAATTCAAGAATGCTAGGTGTCATCAAACCAGCTGCCCCCCCCCCCCTCTGCACCCCATCAATACATAGCAGCGGTTGCACAAGTCAGCCCCCGTCAGTACATACTTATGCTACGAGGTCATCGGTAAACACCCTTGTGAGAGCGCAGCAACGAGGGGTCCAAACATTCAGATGCTCCCCTGTGATCAGACATTTAACACCGTTTGACAGTCTTATCTGCGGGAACATACTCCGCATTCTGCCACAGCAGCGCTACTCCCGCAGGGCAGATGGGATGACGCGTGAGATAAATGCACATGTTCCTGTCAGGAGCCTCACGTGAGGACCTGCAGTCCAACGTGAAACACTCACACAACTTGGGGGTTACAATATGGGTGGAGGATGCAAAAATATTAAGCTGAAAATGTACAGAATAACTTAGGAGGATGTGTGAAGTGAGTTGTATTAAATTGAACATTTCTATATATCCCTACCGCTCTTTAAATCTGCACAACCCTCCACTTAAAATGATAATATACTGCAGGTCGTAAAATGTATTTTCTTGTGTCTTTGCACCACCACACACAAAAGCAAATCCTCCCTGTATGTGTAAATGTACCTGGCAATAAAGTCGATTTTGATGATCATAAGCTGATAAACACTACCGTTTCCCACAGGAATGTACTCTTTGGGAGAAATACATTTCCAAATGACACACTTAGAAGGATGAATAACAAAACTAAGAGTGTACACAGCTAGAATAACTCTGTGGGGCTATACTTAGGCACAGCGGTGCTTGGAGCTCAACACTAACATCAGGATGCCAACTTGCCCACGTCGTTAACATGCTGATGTTAATTTAGCATCTTTATTTAGCGTGTTATCATGCAGACATTTGTTAATCAGCCCTAAATAAAGAAGAGCCTGGTGGGAATGAAGACATAGTTTTGTTATTTGGTCATAAATCAAAGGATTGGACTCCTTTTGATCTGAACTATCTAGATTGATGACAAGTTAAAAAGTAACACAAGTTGTTCAAATTCATCCTGACTGGAATCAACACAATTTCATGCTACTTCGTGGGAAAAAAAAAAGGGTTGAAATGGATAAATACATGCCTAGAAAAGTGTCATGGCAGTCTGTCCAACCAGGAATGTCCCAGTAGGTTTGACCAAAATGATGATAAATTCAACAATCTGACCCTAATTCCCTATAGTTGAAAGAAAAACTTGAGATGATGTCATGTTTTCATTTCAGTCAATGAGCTTGAATGCAATGGATCAAACCAAACCTAGATAACTTCCCTGGTCATTAAGGGAGGGGGGGGAAGACTCATTTTTCACCATTTACTGGTTGGTGACAGTTCCACATAAAAATGTTCTTTCCATACATTGGTGATCCACTAAATAAAAGACTCAATCTTCTATCCAAGCAAACACTCTTGACAGATGACCCTGAAACAGACAGGCAGGCTGGCTTCCTGTCCAACTGTTTCACATGCTTCAGATATCCTTCTTAGTCAGAGAAAGATTTCCGTTTGGCTGGCAGGTGAAGTCTGCTCTCCAGATACCGATGTGGTTTGTTACCTACGCTGTAAAACTGCCAGACATATTCACATGCTGGCACGTTTCGACACGGCTGTGGTTTGATATTCCAACTATTTTGTTAAGCAATTGACTTTTGATTCATCCGATTGTGTTTCTAAGAAAATGTAATTTACCTAATTATCCGAACCGCAATGAACGTGATTCATAAAAACAACTGATGGGCTGAAGGCGTTTCCTCAAAGAAAATCTGTTTTATACATCAGTACACCTTTCAGTGCTCATACCATATCAACGTACCACAATCATAGACTAGCTATTCAATACTTAAAACCAGTCTCCAAATTACAAACGACTTCAAAATGTCACTCGATGTATCACCCAACAAGAAACCAAAACAGCCAAAAAGACAATGAGAATGGGAGAGAAAATGACTCAAAATGACTATTAAGAGATACAATATAACATGAGGTCAGTTTCCATGTCCTATCTCTGTTTGCGCATTGAAAAACTAAATCTTGAGATCTTTTAAAGCTTGTCTGAGGTGAAATAGTTGGTGTTCCATAAAAGATAAATGTGCTTTAACACTGAAACTGTATGGTTTTCCACAAACGTTTTCACTGAATTTGAGTGAAAATTACCATGTTGTTTTCAATACAATGCTAATAGCCAATCAGAAACTAGTATTTTATGTTGCCATGGGGCAGAGTTCCAAAGTGGGAGGAGTTATTTTGGTTGTCCAGGGTTTCAAAACGGAAGGTCATTTAATGATGCTAGCGACAAGCTAAACCTACGTTAACATACTGCGTCTGCGGTTATAATATTACTTTTCTTTTGTTTAAAAATGTAGCATCTAAATAGTCACAACAATTAAGCGTTACACTAGCCACAGCTCTTAAAATATAACGCTGTCTAGCTTCTTCTACTTCCAGTGAAACGTGTAGATATTGTGGTAGACTTTGAAGAGTTATCCACAATGCCAACTGACGAGAAAAACACATGATTTCTCAAACAAAGCAAGATAACATTTCTGGTATTGATGTGTGATTACATCGACCTTTAGTATCGTCACAAAGTCCAGGAGACTCCTGTGTGTCTGTGTTGAGGACCCCTTAGGGAAAAACCTTTAAAAGAGGAATTTACAGTATGGGAAAATACCAGATGTTCACATGTTGCTCTTATGCAATGCAAACATTTAACATAAAACTCATAATTCCTCCATTTATTTCATACACAAAAACATTATAATGTGCAATATAATATAATGTGCCTTTTTGTAAATAATTTCTGAAATAATTTGAATTATTTCCACCACATCTTGTTGTTTTTTGTTTTTTTTAATGGTAAACTTATTACACTTTCCTACTTTCTTTTGTTGTTGACTATGTAATACTGCATATTTCCTCCATTATCTTATCCTATCTAATCGGCTACTTTGACTCTTTTATGGGATCACAAAATGTCCCTATTAATAAAAACCACATTGCCCAGCAGTACTGGATTCATGGCATTCACACCAAAGCAGCCAAACATAAGAAGCCTTGAACCACTAAACCCCCGCCGCCGCCGCCTCCTCCTCCTCCTCCCTGGCAGACTCCATCCCTTTGGGCCATTTCTGAGAAGGACACAGCCCTCACTGTTTGTACAGATAAAACTTTGCATGGACAAAAACATGTTTTTCTTTTATATTGCTGGGTGGTGGGGTAGGACGAGGACAAGGGTGCAACGCTGTGAAAATGTTGCCCCATCTCTGGGATCTCTCCCTCCATTCCTGTGATGCTTCAGGCGCCATGTCCAACCAATGAGCATTCCTTTCCACAAGTAACTACAAGTAAACTCATACCACCACCGCTGAATCATGGGACAGTCTGGGACAGTCTCTGCTGACCAAAATAAACCAAAAAAAGAAAACAAGATCTGTGGATGATCTATGTGTTGAAATAGAGGGATGTTGGTGCAGGTCCAACCTTGAAAATGTACCAGGAAAGAAATGTGCAAAGACATTTTTCTGCTAAATACAACAACTCATTTCCACAAACACACTTCCATACTTAACCCTAAACTTCAACAATACATACCTAAGCCTTATCTCTACTTTGACTTAACCTTAAAACCTAACCTCTGACTCCGATTTGGACCAGAGTCAAAGTGAAAATATGCACAAACAGCCAGTATCACTCAAATATGCAAACTTCATGATACGCCGGGAAACGTGACCCGAGGGAGACATTTTTTAAATAATGTGTCTTTAAGGCTGATAACAAGTCTTAAAGTCTCAAATTTTGCAAAAATAATAAATAAATTAACGGATAAATGTTGTTGTTTGGTCATATTTTGTCAGTCACATTAAAAATCTAAACCTTCCTGACTGCTGTCACTTTTTTTATAGAGAGAATGATGACAATTCTGTCTCTGCTGTATTTGGGACATTGTAGAGAAATTAGGCAATGTTGTAAAAGTAAGAAGGTACGTTTAAGAAAGGTAAGGCTGCCCCCTATTAGTCTTATTCTTTCAAGACGTCTAAAGTTGAGTAGCTATTTCTAAAGTGTTTTCTTCTATCTCCAAAAAACACGAGTAAATCTCTGGCAATCACATAATTTTCTGTGGAGAAACTAAGTCTTCGAGTGGACAAAATCACATGACGTTAAGTGGACTAAGGTTTTTTTTTTTTTTAAATGGACAGCCTTAAAAAGGACAGTAGATCAAACTTCTGTTTTCAAAACCACTGCTATATATAAAAAGGTGAAATCACAAACATTATACTTGCAAACTACTACAATCCATGGTGTTCACAAATATCCACAGACACACATTAACATCAAATTCAACTTCACAGCACAAGCACCAGACATATTTTACATCTTGTGGACACTGTGGCGGTCTCATTGTATTTCTTAATGTTGTGTACTGTATATACTCTTTCTAATGTTGATATGTACATATTGACTGTGTACTCCGATACAAATCCTGAGAACCTGCTGCTACTGTAACACAATCATTTACTTATTTAGGATCAATAAGGAACATCTATCTATCTATCTTACAAGATTATTTCCCATTGTGCCACCTCGTTGTTGTTTTATTTACCTGCTTCTGTTATACAATAAACCACAGCACAACATCTGCCAGCCTCTGTGTGAAGTCCACTGGTGGTTTCCCTCTGATCCTGTGGTTCTTCCTTTAAAAAGAAGCCTCTGCACCGCCTGACTGAATCAAACCCAGCTGTGGCCAAATACCTGAAGGCACACTGTTGCATCACCAAAGTCAGAGTATAATAGGTCTAATTGTATAAGATAAATGTCACCTCCTGCCTCTGGAGACAGGCTGGCAGGATGATACTCAAAAGTGTCTATATACAACTTTGGTGTTATGGTTTGCAAATCTCAGCACTTAGGAGTCAGCTGCCAGGCGAGTTCTTTACTAATCAAACACCTGAACAAATAAAAGCTCCTGGCAAATGTAGTAAAAGTGTGTCAAACATAAGAGAGAAGGTGTGTGTTTGGGCGTAGTAATAGTAGTAGTAGACTAGTAGAAGCACACCTGAATGAAACACATGGTTGCATCGGTGCCAAACTATGCAGGCCTTTAGGCTTGGAATAAGAGACAAAAAAAGCAAACTATGGACATTTTTCCCACTTATTCTCCTCCATTTCCCCTTAATAATCCCAACAGACTCATATACTAATTCAGCTATTTGGTTATCTTATCTGTGAAAAACAAGAAATCCACTTTTTAGTGTGATACATTTGGAAATATTGTGATCTTATGCATATTAACAGTCTGTTCCTAACCACATGTCACGGCTTAATTGTAAATGCAGGAACTCAACTAAATAAAGTGCAGGGTTTTCTGATACTCAAATCAAAAATATAACTATATAGAAACCTCCTGGATTTCTTTACAAATAATAAGGTCCATAACATAAAGTGTTGGCACCTTAGAGGTCCCTACTTTAGGGAGTCTGCAGCAAAAAACATGGCAATTTCAGCATTGACTTTAATTTAACAATAGGGGATTATGTAAAAATGAACTATTCTGTTGATAAATTAACTTCTCACATTTGTGTCAAAGCTTTAAAACCGTTACAAAATGGTGTCTGTGTAGTTAACAGTTTTTGCCTGCGGCCCCTGGACATGGAAAGGGTCGGAAACCCCTGTTTTACCGTCCTGTGGCCTCACTGTATCCACTGCTGCAGCTCCAGAACATTCCTATGCAGAAAAAACTCTTGAAGTCCAATTATAACTATAAGGAAAACACCTAGAAATCTCTCTAAAATCTCCTCACTTCAACACACCCACGACGGAACATTTTTTTCCTCAGCAACAAGTCGTGGAAATAAGTTTACTCCACCACTCCCCTTCCCAGGAAAAGTTAAGTCTCAACTTACCATGGGATAGAAGAAGAAGAAGCGAGAATAACCTCAGTTTGGAGAGTAAATCCTGTTTCTCGGTTGAAGAGCGCATAGAAAACCCCGAGGAGCTCAGTGAGGACGGAGAAAGAGGGTAAATGTGATGAAGCGAGCCTCCATTTTCTCCGCAGACTGCAGCAGGATCAGAAATGCAGCACAAAGTTGGACACTCGCTGCATTGTTAACATTCCTCAGGTCACGTGACGGACCGACGCACGTCAGCAGCGAGACAAAGATCGTGTGTTGAAAAGGATGGTTCACTCCGAGGAGTTACTTTTCACGAGAAACTGGATTCTTGGTAATAGCTTTTAATTTAACCAGGTTTACAAAGGGAACACATTTTTTTCTTCTATTGGGTTATTATTTAGATGTATACGGAAGAGGATAAGGGCCACTTGAGAACAACATTTGAGCTGTGATCAAAATAAATAAAAAACTGACTTGAAAATTATACATTTATATTATCAGATTTATTTATTTTTAATCCTTAAAATCTCACAATTCTGACTTTGATCTCAACAGTTTTTGGTCACATTATTTAAAAAAAAATACTCCTGTGGCCCTAACCCTCTTCCGTAAATGTACTCTGCTCGGGTCATAAGACTTTCATTGCCATTTCTACACTGTAGCTTATGTGCATTTGAGAATAAAATTGAATTTGAATTTTGAACTGAAAGTAACCATCTATTTATTGTTTACATCCTATTCTGACACAGTTCATGCACAAAAGGATATTTTTTTTAAGTGGGGAAAAATAAAGATTTGTTTTGTATCGATCACAAATATATTGATTTATATAATAATACCATCACCTGACCCCATTCTCTTAAAGGTGGGGTAGGTAATTCACTTCAGAAACACTTTTTGTTATATTCCATGGAATGCTCTTAACATCCCGATAGCAATGAATAAATTAAATGCTTTGACAATAAATACATGCAAAATATCATCTATGGAAGCCGTGGCGCTGTAAAAAGCACGACCAATCATCTGAGCCGGCCCGGCTAAAATAACTGGATGGCCTACCTGCCTGTCAGCCTTCCATCTCGTGCACAAACCTCTATGGCACAAACTTATCTCGTGCCCTCATTGGTCATGTGCGCGTTTGTGTGTGTTGAAGGAGGGGCTCTGTAAGGAAGTCTGAAGGAAGGGGCAGATTTCTTTCGGCTGCGTACTTTCAAATTCTAGCGCACTCAAGCTGGTTTCTCCATTCTTACCTACCCTACCTTTAACATTTGTTTTTATTTTCTTTATAATTAATGAGCAGTTTTAACGTTGGCTTTTCTCCTCGTATGTGGTTTTCTCAGCCTCAAATGACCAATTAGAGAAAGACAGAGAATGTAAATGGCACTGCAACTAACGATTATTTTCTATATCAACAAAAATATGTGAAAACAGTTAAAAATTCCTATTTCATGAAGTGCATTGAGACATTGTACATTACGTGTAGGGCCTTTATGTGATTATATTGCATATTTGATTACATTATTCTAGCACAACTTATTTTTTAGTAAACAATCTGATTTTGATCACTGATCAACCACCAGGGGCACCAAAGGATGCATTTATTTTGACTTCAACATAAAGTGACTTCAAAAAAGAGCAGCAGAGTGAGAGGTCTCGAGTTTTCCTCCTCTCTGACCGCACATATTCTAGGCGGGGCTTCCTGCAATGTATTTCTCCCCTTGATAAATAAAAATAAATTCAGTTTCAGGCAGTCACTCCCCTCTGGACCTACAAGGAATCTTTACTAATGTGCCAAGAAGTCACGAATCAGTGTAAAAGCTAATAGAAGGCTTTTACACTATTATAATATATAACAATTATCACCACAAAGTTAAACACATGGAAAAAAAGACGGGGCAGATAATATAATACCTGTATACACACAAAGACAACACGGAAAAAAAGATACCAAACTTTAATTTTCAGTCACAGAGGCAACAGTGAAGAAAACTAAATGAGAAGAGGCTAAACATCATGGAAGTAGGCTACATGCACCCTTTATAATAATGTTAAACAGCGAGAAAATACAGGTGGAGTGTGTGTGGGATTAACAGAGAGCTCTTAGTGATAGAAAAATAAAATGTATTAACACAAATTATGGACTAATGTATCAGAACATGTTTGATTCATCTCAACCTTGAAGGTATTTATTTTAGAGTAGGAGTCACCTCATATTAAACCCATATAATACATAGAAAGTTATTAATGTCTGGCAGATCATTACAATAACCTAATATTGCTGGTCACTATTGAACTTAACCAGGTATATTTGGCAGGTTTACCCTGACAACAATCCCTCCAGAGTACAGGAAGAGATACTTTTTTCTCCCACTTGGACATTTTTACTCGGTTCAGTAGCAACTGTTTAATTTTCCTTCCTTAACCCTCCTATTGTCTTCGTTCCCCCCCCCCCCCCCCCCCCCTCTTACTTTGGTGTTCACGGTCAAATTTGACAGGTCCTGTTTTAACTGCTATTACATTAACACAAAAACCATTAATCATTACCAAATTTCATTTAACACCCTTTCAAACTGTAAATATTGTATCAGACTACTGGTATACATGAAAAACTGCAGTAAATATACAGAGAATAGACACTGAACATGCAGGGGCGCCGTAAGGGGGTGAAAAGTTAGGACGATTCTAAGGGCCCGTGACTGACAGGGGCCCAAACAATTTTAGAACATTACGAAAAAAAAGTGTTTAAGTAACCAATGCGATATCTTTTCATGGGGCCCAAAATCCCTGGCGGTGCCCCTGTGAACATGTATTGCGTGTGCCAGGTGTGATCCATGTGGGGTGAGCACATAAGAGCGGAAAAAGTGTCAAATTGTTCTGTGTGTGTGTTTGTGTGTGCCAGGCAGTGGCGGCCGGTCCATAGGGGCGCTAGGGGCGCCGCCCCACCTCTTCCCATATTGAAAAAAAAAAATAATAATAATAATTAAAATTAAAACTTTATGTTCTTTCTTGCTCTAGCCTTGCCAGTTACATTGTACATAACACATATATTATCATTATGCTAACTGGTTGTTCGTGTTAGACGATGTAGCTTTTTCATTTCTGAGTTATTGCTATATGTAAATAAGCCTGTTTGTAAATAATCCTCAGAGAAACAAAGAAAAAACACAATTTATGACATTTTGTGCTGTGGTTATTTTTTTTAAATTGCATTTATTCACAGTTCAGTTTGAAATGCTGTAGTGACTTGTATTAAACCACTTAAATATTTATAATTAATGCTACTGAAAAGATGCTATTAATTTTATATCTCACATGCAGTTCACTGTAAAGCTACTTGGTGAAGGTGTTGGTTCATAAAACATGAACAGTTTTAAGAAAGAAAAAAACAGACCAGTTCTGAGAACACAAATTCCTGGTAAAGTAGTAGATGTTCAGGTTGATAAATAATATTTTCCACACTGAAGATTATGGAGGTATTGATCAGTCTTCTCATATTTTTAAGCCTCGATTTCTCCTTTCCCCCCCCCTCTAACATCACCAGAAGTCATCATTTAAGGGGTCATTTCTCGAAAAAAAATTCCGGGGGGAAACCCCCCGGGTAGGTCACTTACGGTACGTCAAGAGCCCCACCAAAAAAAAAGACCACCGGCCGCCACTGGTGCCAGGTGTGATTCACATGGGGGGATTGAGCACATAAGGGGGGGACACACATCTAGAGTATGTGTGTGTGTGTGTGTGTGTGTGTGTGTGTGTGTGTGTGTGTGTGTGTGTGTGTGTGTATGTTTTATCTGATCCGGATGGTTACTAATTCCTTTTCTTTATGGCGGTCATTTTTGACCGGGAACACCATGGGTGTTACAAAGTTGACTAAATCATCCAAAATTCAATGAAAGTGGTGATCAGCAATTTTATATGTTCAAATGTCTACTGTGAAGGATATCATAAAGCCTTGAAGCAATCGAATGTAAAACAAAAAAGTTATGATTGATGAAAGTAGTAAATCGGTCAGATTTGACCCGAAGACAACAGGAGGGTTGTCTTTATTATATTCACACTCATTAGTTTTATTAATGACTTTTTATTTTTTCTCCTAGCTTTTTCTCTCTATTATTAATTGTGTCTACATTACGGCATTCTTTTAAGTGTACCCTAGATTTTATTGATATCATAGAGAACAAAGTACCAGCTGGTTGCTTTACATTAACAGTGATGAGGAAAGCATATCCTCAAAACCAAAAAGAAATCACAGGAAGACATTCATGTTCTTAAGGACAACAGGATACTTTACGAGCACATGGATACACAGCTGTCAATGTGAGGGGATCATCCAAGAAGGCACATTCCAGTTTGAGCTTTCTGATCCTCACACTGCTTTCAGAAAACATTTTAAAGCCCATCACTAAAACTGAGTCTCTGCCTTTATAATAGCGTCCAAATTGTGAAATAAAACTTTCCTGAATGTATTTTAGGAGCACAGCCAAAGCACAAACCCACCTCTTAAAAGATAATCAATGTGTGGCGTGTGGCGCAGTGGGTTAGTGTGCTGATCTTCGAATCAGAGGATAGCAAGTTTGAGTCCCACTGCAGTCAGCATGTCGTTGTGTCCCTGGGCAAGACACTTCACCCCAAATTGCTCCTGTGGGGATTGCCCACAGTACTGAGTATGTAAGTCGCTTTGGATAAAAGCGTCTAACAAGTAACATGTATCATTTGAAATTAAAACACATTGAATGGCAGAGGGTGAAGACCATTAAACATACAGGGAACATTTCTTACAGCACACATAAAACCAGTGACTAATAAGAGATGCAGACGTTAAGCATAGTAACCAGAAAAAAGGTCTAGTGCATGATGCATGAAGCAAAACATTTCTATTTGTAGAAAAAAAGCAGGCTGACTTTTACCGAAAGTACCAGCTTGAAAAACTAAGGCACCAGCAAAGCAGGACAACGAATAAGCAGGGTCTGTATTACGCAAGATAAAGTGTTTCTAAAAAAACATATTTCAGTTTATGTGACTACATGTAAGCCCATATCTTAGCTTAATTTGACAAACTATTAAAAACATAAGAAATGCGTAATGTTTCTTCCAAAATAGCCTCCAGCATGTTCTGTATGTAACAGAAACATCTCTGTGGTGTGTGCTCATGGTCCGAAACAGTTACAATCAATTTGAAAACAACATGATGAGAATTAAACGCTCACAAATGTAATGTATATTCTCAGAGAGACGTGCTCAGCTAAGACGTCACTGTTGTCGCTAAACACTTCAGTGTCTGTGAAAAAATCAACAACAATCCTTTCATAACGCCTCTGTAATGAAGCTTTGAGTCAGTGTGACTGTAAAGAATTGCAGAAGCATGTAGGAGAGAATCGCGCTTTAGGGGGTTGTTTGGATTTCAAGTGGGGATTTTTTAGGTATTTACTCATAGCGAGTGAATGACTAAATACAGTTGATGGTTGTCAACTTGACCCTAGTTTGGAGAACTGATGGATTCCCGCTTTACATTGCAGTCAGAAAGCTCTTTCCAAGAGGGACTGGACCCGTTTTCTATGCCATTTAAAACCACCAGACTCCATTGAAGAAAACTTGTATTTGATGTCACAGAACACAGGAGTTGCTGGTCTCCATGATCGGTTAGTACGTTGTGTGATATTGTGTGACTTTAGAGAATCAAAGCCAACCAGAATTTTAAAAAAACCCACAAAGAAACTAATAGATTGACTCAGAACGTAAACCAGCCACTTATGTGTCCTGTGAGATAAAAAAAAAAAGGTCTTTCTCGTAGGAGTTTGGTGGCTTTCAAGAGAGAAAAGATCCCAGCGTCAGTTCCTTTAAGGAAAGGGCTGACAGACAGAAATGTAAAGCGATAAAAATGGTCTAATTATCGCTTTAACTGATACTGATATTGATAATCTGATATGGCTCTATGAGATCTTGCTGCTTTCCAGTAGTAAATTGCTTTTCTTGCGTGCCATAACTCTTGCCTCATTCTGGCAACTAATTAAGATAATTCACCGACTTTAGATAATCTCATACAACCCCACATGAAAAATCCAAACGTCCCCTTTAATTTCAGCCCACATTGACCCCCCTAACACTTATGTGTCGATGGACTAACGTACATACTGGGAAACAAAAGCAAGTGTCCATTTTAACCAGGACAAAAAAAAATAACCTTTACATTATTGTGACAAATATTGACATCATTGTTAATTACAAAATCACTGAATTGCAAACATCCATCTAGCCGACAATGAGTGCTGTAATGTAGTTTATCCTGACCTGTGGTGAAAACGTTCATCTTTTTCAGCCGTTTTCCACCCAGACATTTTAATAATCAACCCCAGTAAAGTTGAAGAAGACATCCCAAGATGCACCTGGAAGCTATTGTTGAAAACCCACTGGAAATAAGCTGTGTTTCTACAGCAGATTGGTTAACACCAGATGGTGGTAAACTGGTCTGTGGGTGGAGTTGTGCTAACAGGTAGCTAATCATCCCAGAGTGATTGGGTTCAATTGTTCTAAAATCTAGCTGGCTGGCAAAATGTGTGAAAATGTAAAAATAAATAACCCCTAAAACCCTCATTAACAATGACATGTTGATATCTGTACATGCTGAACAGGCAGGAGAAACCTGGAGGAGCTTCAACATGCTGCTCTGTTTCATATCGCTTTGTGTTTACAGTTATTGATTCATAAGATAGAGCCGGTTTAGCAGAGGGAGGTATCAATCCGTGGATCAGCTGCTGCAGTATTCATAGCGGTTGAAAAATACTCTCGCAATGCACAGGATTAAATAAGTGAGAACATTGTGTGCACTACATGAACTGCAGCTAATATACCTCAACGAATATCAAGTTAAAGGGATAGTTCAGGTGTTTTGAAGTGGGGTTGTATAAGGTACTTCTAACATAGTAGCAGAACATATTACAGCCACCTCGTAAAGAGCGGTTGCTGGTCTATAGCCTTGATTGGTTGGTTTGTTTATTATTGTGATGGTTAAGTTAGTCACACAATAATACAAACAAAGTTACCGTTTGAAGCAAAACTACTGTTTTCTAAGAGGTAAAATGACAGGTTGAGGCGGCTTTGGAGAGAGCCCAAATAATGGCTTTATTTCCCTGTCAGAAACATAAATGTTATAGCTGTCTCACGGCAAGTTACAGAAGCAAAAATATGTCATACGCTTAAACTGATAATTATTTTGTAAGGTGGCTAATTTACATATTGCTGCTGCCACCGTCCATAGTATATTGCTTTACTTTCATGCCGGTACTCTTGTCTGCTTCTCAGAACTAGAAGCGTTGCAATCCGCCATTTACTGAAAGTGGCAAACTGAATATTTCACGTACCTCAACCAACCCCACTCCAAAACATCAAACTGTAAAGACATAACATTTTAGCAATGTGGTTTCTGGGTTTGCTCCTTATACCAATTACAAACTGACCTAGACAACAGGGTGTCACTTCCAGTCCAAGTGTAAAATAAAGTAAATATATATAACTCAGTTTAATTCAGGAATCATGTAGTGTTGACACTGGGATGTAGTGAGGGAGAACGTGGAACAAGGTCCAAAGCAGTAAAGGGAACTTAAGTGGCCAGCATTAAGGAGCACTAGGCATTTCTGTACGAATCACTCTAGTGGAGCAGCAGAGATGCACAGGTTGTTTAAGGCACAAGCAACTTGCACAATCTTATCAAATGTTGAGAGGTTGGAGGTGCGCTCGGAGACCATGGTGAAGGGGCTCTCCACGGGGCCGGTGAGCATGGCGTACCTCTGCTTCACCACGGAGAGCACCCTCTGCACATGCCTCTGCACACTCACTGTCTCAGAGGAAGTGTCAGGCAGAGGTGAGCTCGCTTCACCTTGGTAGCTGCCGGCTATTTTAAACAAAGCTCCTCTTGCAGCCACAGAATCTGCAATGTCCAGATCTCGACTCGCCAACACCACGTCTCCCGGGAGGAGCTTGCAGAGAAACCCACAGCCCTCAGCCAGGCTTTTGTCCCCAACGTTGCCCAGAACGCCCCGAGACACAAACGTTACAACGCCTTGTGGAGCAACACCAATCAGATACTTCAACACATTATAACTTGTCCCGCCCCCCTGAGAGCTCGCCACCACCCTCTGCTGCTGCTGGTGGTTGCCTCGGGAAACCGGCTCCTCAAAAGGCACCATGAAGCAGTCGATGATGACAGCGCAGTCGGGGTGGGACGAGCGCAGAGCGACAGGCAGGTTCTTACGAAGTTCGGCTCTGGAGGGCCAGAAGACGGCGGTCGGCACCAGAGTGGAGGACATGATGTTGACCATCTGGTGCACCGTCCTGGTCACCGTGCCGACTTTAACTCCGAAGCGGTAGGCTAGGTCCTGGTTGCGGAGGTCCAGGCGGAGTCGCATCAGCGTCAGAAGCAGCTGCTGGAACTTGGAGAGCTTCACAGTTTTCATGCCGTCCATGTGAGGTGCCAGCAGCCACATGACCGTCTCCAGGACAAAGTAGTTTGGTAAACCAGTGTAGAACTTGACCTTCTCTGCATCGTTCCTCAAGGAGTTCTCAGAGAGGGCCATTTTGTCCAAAGAGTCCCTGAGGGTCTGGTTCTCCTTCTTCAGGGCTTTCAGGACATTGTCAAAGTTAACCGCTGCGTCCGACGTGTTAGGAGCAAACTTTCCTTTCTTGCAGTCAATAGATTCATCATCCTCGTCATCGTCTTCATCGCTGCTGAGGGAAGACGACGCACTTTCCTCCACAGCCGTCTCCTGCTCCCTCTCCTCAGGATGCTCCTCCTGGCCTCGCTCCCCCCTCACTGAGCTGCCCTGGCCCTGCAGGAACAGCAAGGCGTTAGCCGCCTCCACGCGGGCCTCCTGCTTGTCCAGGATCTCCAGGGAACTGGGCTCCTTCATCTCTGGGGATAAGGGAGCGGGCGTGAACACAGAAGGAACATAATCTGGAGAACGTGGGTTCTTCACCTGTTTACCTGCAGGAGAAAAAAGACGATGTAGTAATTAAAATGGTGGAAAACGTGTAAATATAGGAAATGATGTTCTAATGGGGTGTTTGTGGGTGGGACAATGAAGGGCCTGCTCTCATGAAAGTAATTCTAGTTATGGTCAATTACTATACACAAGTATGATTTTGTAAGAAAAAGATTACTAATTTCTGTTAATCAAAATGACTAAGTTGTTAAAAAAAAGACTGTCAGTAGGTTACACTGGGGAAATATTTTTAATTATATCACCTTTACCTTTTGTAGAATAGTGTTACTAATGTAAAACTTGTGGGGTTTTGTGTCCCTCAGGGGTGATTCATTGTCTCTATGTGGTAGTATAGTGACCTCTTGTGTATAGTTCTGTGCCTTATTTTATTGTTTCTTTGGTAGTTTAATGTCCATTTGGGCATCTTTTTGTATTAGTTTTGTGTTCCTATGTCTCCCTTACTTCATTTTGTGGAGGTTTGGTGTCTATTTGTGGTAGTTGTGTCTCTCTGGGGTGATTTTGTGTCTCTATGTGGATGTTTTGAGTGTCTTTGCAGTCAATTTATAGTGATTTTGCATCTCTATTTGGTCATATTGTGGGAAGTTTGGTCCATCCATCCATCCATCCATCTTCTCCCGCTTATCCGTGGTTGGGTCGCGGAGGTAGAAGTTTGGTGTCTCTTCTTAATTCCTTGTATTAATGTGTGTTGCGATCCTTTACTGTATATATAATGGTCTATATGTGGTCATTTTGCCTATCTTTGTGGTATTTTTGAGTCTTTTTAGAGTCATTTCGCTGAAGTTTTGTGTCTCTTATTCATCCCTAGTTAATGTGTGTCTCTATCATAGACTTTATAAAGGTCTAGATTTGGTCATTTTGTCTATTTTTATTTTATCCTTGAGTCCCTTTTTAATCAATTTGTGGTAGTTTTGTTTCTGTATGGTCATCTGTGAACCCCTTAAAAATGATACATACAAAAACTAAGACTTCACACTTATAGAAATGCATTTTGACTAAAAGTAGGTTTTTTTCGATTTTATAACATGGGGTACTTTTGCCTGTGTGCTCCTGTGTTTAAACCTTTATATATACAGTCTATTGTTCATATTACCTGAGATGAAGTGAGTACTACACAGCCTGCTGCCGTCGTTAGGCACCCAGCCCTCCCGGTTAACAGCAGCTATCCACCGCTGCTTCCTCTCGGGGTCCCGGGGGAAACGGTAGAAAGATAACGCGGTGCCCGGTGTCCTTCTGTTCCTACAACCAGCCACCACACATGTGTGAACCATAGTAAAGCCACGACCAGAAGCGTGGAGGTGTGCGCAGATATCTGTTCGGTGTTTTGACTCCCAAAATGGTGGCAAACTAGAGGCGAGGCTGAGAAAAAAAAACTGCTGTAACGTCATCAACGGTTGTTTGCATTAAGCGATCTGATTGGTACATCTTCGAGCGACGTCACTGAAATAGGATCTTGTACTCACGCGGGGCTGCAACTACGCTAACGAAATGATAGTAAATCAATCCACGCAGCGTTAAAATGGCTTAAAAAATGTCAAGTTTATATAGTAACAGAAGTCTAATAAAACGAGCTTGAAATAACAACAAATAGTCCTACACAGAGGAGACGTTTGCGGAGCTGTTAACTGGCTAGTTTACATGTTTAGCTAGCTAAAGATGCCATTTAATGCTGCGTTGCTTTTACTAACGGTACTTGTTACCTTGGTGACATCGACATTTGTTATAGCGCCAATAAACTTTGTTTACAATTAATGTCAGCTGCCAGTAGTGGTTCTGCTGAATATATACACAGCAGATCTTGCAAAGGTGTGGTTCTGCTAATCTTTTGCTGCAGAACAGTGTGGTTCTTCTGCTGTTCCTGCATCCCGAGTGGACATCAAGTTGGTTTAATATGCTGTGGAATTAGGAAAATCACAGTTTTTTTTATTGAAACCGTATTCTTACACTTTACACTCATTTAGGGGTGGGATATAACTTAGTACATTTACTTAAGCACGCTACAATTTTGACATATTTGTACCTCAATTTAGTAGTATTTCCATAATATGCTACTTCATAACTCTATTTCACATTTCAGAGGAAAACATTGGAGCCTACTTTGTTTATACCAAATAGATCTCACACTTCCAGTTACTTCTCACATTAAAACACAGGATACAGTTCAACATTACAAATCTCCATGATAATTAACTGCCACATTAAATACTCCTAGGTGTAGGTTAGTAATACAAATATATTACTTAATAATATATAATACATCTACATAACCTTTGATATTTTAGGTACATTTAGCTAATAATACTTTTGTAGTTTTACTTAAGTAATATTTTGAAATCAGGAATTTTAATGTGTTTAAGTGTTATAGGAGTATGCTTATAACTCTACTCTCTTAGTACTTGAGTTCCATCTGTACTGAAGTGCAATCTTGCCGTAGTTGTACTTCTCTAAAGTATACATTTTTCATGATGATTTATATTACTACATTTTATTAATTTCATATATATTTATAATCAAAACCTTGGTTTATAGAACACTAATTCTTTTTTGAAAGAAAAATTAAACATGAATGGCAAAATACAGGTAATTAAAGACCAAAAAAACAATTCAATGATTCATGAGAGGGTGTATACTTTAATATATAGTTTATTGATATTTATCAGTGTTGCAATGTACAGGATTTTGATGAAAACACTAGAAACCAGCATCTCTTCAGCTTAAAAGATAGATGTAACTAGGACGTCTCCACATTTTTGCTCCTAATCGGACAGAGTTTGATGTGTCCAAGCGCCCTTTAGTTTTGTGTGCACAGTTTGTACACAGAGGTGTTCCTGGCTCCTCCGATGTGCTCCAGTCTCTTGAGCTCCATCAGACAGAGGATGAATACGGGGGTATTTGTTCCCACCGCGCAAATCCTGCACAGCTCTTCCATCTGAAACTCTGTGTGTTCTCCTGCAGAGGGCAACAAAGGACAGCAACTGAGTAAAGCCTACAAAACAACTAGTCTCCTGGGCCCGTTCTCATTTCATCAAATCCCCCTCCTCGACTCCTCGGTCCTCCGGTAGTGACCCCGAAATGAATTTTAGCGCGCCATGTTGAAGGACATCTAATTTCTCTAAATGCACTTCGAGGACCGAGCATCGAGCGCCGAGGAGGCTCTCTGGAGGAGCTATAACCGAGGATACACTGATGGGTCCTCCACGGTTCCTTCGTGGATGCATTTCTGGCAACAGTGATGTTTCAAAGAGTCGTGACGCACGGCCGGACTGATCTCAGCCAATGACAGCTCTGCATGCATCCCCTGGATATTATTTTATCAACTGCTTTCATCGCAACGCGATGTTTACAGTGAGAACAGCTGTGAGGTCCGTGCAGAAAGCAGAGCAGTGTGTATAATATATATCACTCAGTATAACAGGCCTACTCTCTTTATTTGCTTTAGTTTAGTAGATATCTACAAACAAAGAGTCCATATTTTTCTAAAACCATTTAGTGCTTCACATATAAAATACACAACGGCTGTAGCCTGATTATGCTTTAGGAGCTGTAGGTGCGTGTGTGTGGTGTAGGTGTGTGTGGTACAGTGTGTGCGTAGATGCAGCGGAGAGACAGGTCTCAGTTGGTTTGGTGTCCTCTGCTTACTTTTAATACTTGTAAATAAAACGTTTGGCCCGTCATTTATTTTCTTCATTGTAGCGACCAGAGAGGGGAGAGATATATCCAGTCTCTGATAGTGTTACGTTATTATGAGAGTGCTCTGATTCTGAAATTGTATATATTTATATAAATATATACATGTGTGTGTGTGTGTGTGTGTGTGTGTATCCCCACATCTGTAGCCTGTTATTGTCTCATTATACCGCACTGTGAATGAATCAAAGTAAATATATAAGTCGTCATAAACACATCTGTCCATCAGACAGAGGGCTGCTGTGCCTCCTGTCATCATTAATGGACGTCTCTTTAAAATGACCGCTCAGAGGAGAGGAGTTCTCATTTCTCTAACCGCCTGCTGCTTCCCCTCCTCTCTCCTCGGCTCCCCTCCTCTCTCCTCCGCTCGCATCTCCTGTGGGCGGGACTAAGTCTCGAGGATAGGAGTCGAGGAGGGGAATTTGATTAAATGAGAACGGGCCCTGGACTTATACCGTGGTTGTTTGATGTAAACAATCTTAAGCATGCCATTTGAGATCTTGAAATAAATAAAGGGAAAGTCTTTTTTGTAGATCCTCTAAAATTCAAACACCTAAACAAGATATTTAGACCTTATCTGTTCACTTTGACCATAAGAGTAGTGTAGCACTGACCTTCACTCTCTGCTGTGAACGTGTTGATGTGCTCCACCACCTGGTTGAGGTTGTGCAGAGTCACCTGCCTTATGTACTTTGGTAAACTCTGGAACTCGCTCTCTGACACCGCAGACAGTCTGGGAAGAGGACAAGTAACAATTTAAATCTTTATTACAAAAAACATTAAGACATTAATGATACCGAGATAGCTGTAAACTCTCTTCTACATTTTGCGAGAAAGGAAAAAGCAACACGGGTCTTTCCAACGTATTTTCTTTTCAAACACTTTTCTATCCTTGAAAACTGCACATTTAAATTCAAGTGTTTCCAAAGACTTCCAGCACCCGGCAAACACTGTCTAAAGCATTTGTACGAATTGGATCAAGCCCCAGTTAGAGTTACGCAGCTTACACACGGCGGCGTGCGTTGAAGCTTCAACGCTTCTGCCCATTCACTTTGAATGGGGTGACGTCACGCTTCGCCGAACTGCATTGTGGGAGCAAAGCGTAGCGTTGCTCGCTTCAAAAGTAGAGCAATGTTCTACTTTTGAAGCTTCGACGGAAGCGTCAGCCAATTGAATCATATGCCAGTACAAGCTCTAGCCAATCAAACCGCGTGCTTGTGTGTCCGGGGCAGGAGATTCATGTGATTGGTTGTTGGTCGAGCGTCAGACACGCCCGCCGGCAAGCTTCAATGCACGCAGCCGTGTGTAGCTCCCTTAGGGTAGTGATTTTCTTTCTTTTCTTACCTGTTTTTATCATTTTTCCCCCTGATATTTGGGTGCACAACAGCGATCGTAGGGTTCTTCATCTGAGCCTGGGACACAAGCTTCAAAATAAAAGAGAAATCAGAAGTGAGAAAAACACAATACAAGTATAATGGCGCGTTTCCACTACACGGCCTCGCTCGGCCCCGCTCGGTATGGCTGGGCCTCGTTAGGACTGGCTCACTTTATGGCGCATTTCCATTACAGTTTAGGAACTGGGGCAGTATCTATAGTGTAGGCGGAGCCGTGACGTGATCTTCAGAGAACCCCAGAAAAACAACACAGCCGTTAGCTGTTAGCACTCAGAGCTCACAGCTCCTCATATATGTTCAGAAACTAGACAAAAGTTAAACAAGTACAAACCACAGACTGTCTGTGTCATGGTGAATACAGTCGCTGCTTTATTTATGTCTGTATAGGCCGTTGTTGTGAGTGTGGACGGTCGGAGCATATACTGCGTTAGCTTAGCCAATCTCCATTTAGAAAACAAGCATTTTAAAAGGTTTTTCCCCTGCCGTCTGTCTGCAGACTTGACAAAGCATTAATTCATGGTTTTTACTAACCGGTATCAGTATGTTGTTACTTCGGCATCATTTTGAAACGTGTATTACAATTAAATCACGGTCAAATATGTCCATCTTGTTGTAGCCCCCTTGCCAGCGACGCTCTCTCTAGTTTAGCATACTCAGCCCGACTCAGCCTCGTTGTCTCTGGCCCTGGACCCACGATTTTATGAGGCCAGAAAAACTGTGAATTAGGACCCGCCGGCCGGTACTAGGCCAAGTGGAAACGCAACCAAAGACGGGCCGCTGACGTCACAGCCCTCTTAAACCGGGCTGCGCGCTGTAGTGGAAACGCGCCATAAATTGGCCTAATATGTCCAACACATTGAAAGTCTCTTCATTATCTATACTCAAACAGCACATTTCAGGAAGCCTGGGGAGCTTTTATAAATGCATTCCAAACTGTGTAAATCATTCTGTTATTGGTTTAGCTTAAAGGGGACCTATCATGCAAAATGCACTTTTGTACGTCTTTTATACATGAATATGTGTCCCCGGTGTTCCAGGGAACTCACCAAGTGTCAGAAAACACAACCCTCTCTATTTTCCTCCATACCCAAATCTCTAAAAAAGGGGCTGCAACGGATCTGATAAAAACTGATCCAGATTTGAACACTTTCCTGACGTCAGGACGGTGGCGCTACGGCTATTGGGCCAACTCCACCAATCAGGAGGAGACAGCCACGGCCATTGCCGTTCGAAAGCCCTGGAGACGCTGTAGTACATATGCCAGGCCTGTAGGTGGTGCTGTTCTCAAATAATCAGCCCTTGCTAAAAAAATTCAAATTGAGCGAAATGAGGCATGGCTAAAATGCATGATCTGTTTGGTATTTAAAAAAAAAAAAGTATAAATATGCCTTATATAGGTATGGTCCTACACTATATTATTCAAATATAGCATGATAGGTCCACTTTAAGTGCAGCGTATGTACGTATACAGCAAATGTGTATGTGTAGGTTGCGTGTGTGTATATGCATGCGTTTTACATGCATATACACACATCCAACAATATGTCCGGCATATATTCGCAGTGATAGGGGATTACTTTAGTCGTTGTTATGGTTTGTCTATGTTTTTCTTGTTTTGTTTTTTATTTTTCCTTTTGTACATACAATCAGCACAGACCAATGGCTCATTTGCATTATGACATGAAATTACTATATGACAAACACTGCTTATTGATTGTCGAAACTAAATAAAAAGATTTTTGATTTGAAAGTCTCTTCATTATTGTTGCTTTTTAACGGGAACGAGATAAAGCCAAAGACTGTTTGAGTGAATCTCAATATAAAAACTCAAGGTACAGAAACTATAATACTTACTTTACAGATGTCCTGAGTCACAGAGCTCAGGTCGGGCATCTCGGGGGTGGTGGGCTCTTCGTAGTCCATCCTGATGCTGGGGGTCCCAAAGCTGAAGTTCTGGGTGGGGCCGTCCAGATCCAGACTGTTGACAGTGGGCTCCTTGTTCTCCTTTTTTATGTTGAAAGTCTTCCTCAGCATTTTTTCACTTCTCTAGTGGCAAACGGGAGACATATAAAAAGTGGGGCAGACATTTAAAAATGAAGATGAAGTTCACGTTTTAATAAAGTTATTGTTTTACCGTCTTGAGAAAAATACAGAATATTGATATATTACATGAAGCTCAGCGCAAGTTATTTCAGGAAGACTGGGTATATATACATTCACTCCGCAGCTGCATATAATCAGCTCATCACGGGCGTTGTCACCTCAATCTCCAGCAGCCAATCACCGTGCTGCAGCCACACTTTAAAATGGTTCTCCTCTCTCCTGCAGTCAGTCAGCTGTGATTTCAGGTTTTCGTGCCGCCGCCCGCCTCCTCCCCATCCACCTCCTTTCATCAGTGCCAGGAGAGTTTATCCAAAGACCTCATCACACCTCCTCTCCATCCCATCTCCTCATCAAATCCAGATCTTCAGCATCACCACTAGTGTCTAGACCCCGGGGGGGTTCCCTATATGCTCACGGCTGCATTTCCCCCTTTAGATATACGATTTCAGGATCGGGGTCTAATCGCCAAAGACTTAACATTCATCATATGACATGTGTCAATAAATGTTCTTTAAACAAAATGAAGTCTCTCCTGATTGAAATGTAGCAATACTTTTTCTTAAATGAAAATACAGATTAGCTATTTTTGTTGTATTTAGCTATATTAACAGCAGCAAAAGGTCATAAACCCCAGAAATTAGTTAGCATTTTGCACTTCCAGTTCAGTTTTCTCTGAGTTAATGGGTTTTTGGTTAAATGCTTAAAATAAGGGGAATGATTAAGGATTAACTTATCATCTACTGAGTGTACATCTACACAAACCCCTTAACCAAATCAAAATGGCTGCACATGGCAACTTGTGTTTTACTAATATGGCCAAATGATGGCAATCAGCAGTTAAAAGTGACCTGGCTTTAAACAGCGTTCCTTTGTTCTTACTTTCTGTAGGGAATTTCCCAAAATAGACTCCAGGTTTGGCATCTCTGGCATCTCCGGCATCTCCATGTCCTCCGCACCCATGATGCTTATCTTCGGCACGTCGTATTCCCAGGGGCGTTTGGATCCGATTGCTCCGGTATGAAAGTGGGAATCCTCCTCAGAGTTCCCAGGCCGCCGTGCACTCTGTGGACACATGCACACACTGAGTATTTGTGTCTGTAAAGAAATTAATTATTACTAGTTGCATTCTCCACATGCACTCATATGTCATACCTTTTTAGAGCTGACCAGGCAGTTCATATATGGAGTCAGAAAGGCTGGGACCTCTGGGGTAGTAGGTAGGTTTCCAAGGCGACAGGGGGATTCTGGGGGATCGTTCGAGGAGCAGTGAACGTTTGTCTTTCTGATCTTGAGCCCTGGAGTGCAAAACACAGGAGGCTCTGGGGACTCCAGGTTGTGTGCTGAAGGCAAAAAGTACATATAGGTCTGATGGACTTCTCAACTCGTCATAAAACCTCCCAAACTGGCTGAAGTCGCCCACTCCTCAGAGCAATTACCAGAGGGGAATGCAGCGAGAGCAATCTGCAGAAAATACTTTCTAACGTGACGCACTTGAACATTTCCCACTAAATACTGAAGGTGTTATGATGCAGATAAACGGGACCATATACACAAGAGAGCTGTTTACCTGAGACACACAGGTGGGACATTAAGGACAGAAAACACCTGAGAAAGAATGCTTTAAACATATACAAATAATGTAAAAAGAAAAAAAGGAAATTAAAACACTTGAAATAAACAAATAAAATAATTAATGATATAAAAATGGGACATGAAGATAACATAATTGTAATAGGGTCCTTATTCACAAACTGTTCTTTAGGAAAGTCGTTATCTTAAAAACACACGTAGGTCGTTTTTTTAATGCAGATTCTGACACAAATGTTTTGTTATTTGGAATTCTGTTCTTGTTTGAATAGATTCTGTCTCACTCGAGTGCCCACCTTTAATCTAGGCAGCTATTTTAGATTTATTCTTAGTCCTTAGACAAAGTGGTTATTAGTTTTAATCACTTTTTAGTCATTCTTATTCTTTAAAGTGTATGTCGATGACCACTCAAAACATTTTAGTCTAGTTTTCATCAGCACAACGGATTTGTGGTATGGAGAAAGTCAAATATCATGATATTTTTGATCAAATACGTTAATATCCATATTGCAGCAGCATTGTAGGGTGGACCATTTCACTAAATATTCCTACGTAATGTGGTGATAGTGACTAAGGTAGTAAAGGTAAATATTAGAACAGTTAAAACAGTCCGGTACATTAAAGAAATTACATCACATTAATGTAATTTCTAGCCTTTAAAGCCAGGAATGACGCTTATGCAATATTGTAATATTATAAGAAAAGAGACAATATCTAGTTTCATATCAGATAGCGCTATGATAGATATATTGCCCAGCCTTAAGTCTTCCAAAACATAACTCATTACTGAAAACCGTAAGCAACAGTAAAGAATTCAACTAAAGAGGGCAGTCTAGGAGTTACATACCTTGTGTGTTCAAACTCTCCATTAAAGCGTTAACTGGGGGTTCAGGCCGGTCTTGTGATGGTCTGTAAAGAGGACACTCATACATCAGTAATAAGCGGTGACTCTACAGTAGACTGGAAAGTAGGGCTGCTTGATTATGGCAAAAATCATAATCTCGATTATTTGGGTCAATACTTTGAAAACATCCATTTATTGAAAAGAAATATGTTAACAGTATGTTTTTAACAGTTGATTAGGGTTAGGTTAGGTATAATTCAACTGAAAAACCAATAAAAAAAAATATATATATATATATATATATATATATATATATATATAAATAATCGTTTTATTTCGATTATGTTGTTTTCATAATCGTTGCAAGCCAAAATCCTAATTGCGATTAAAATACGATGAATTGAGCAGCCCTACTGGAAAGGTCCTGCACATCGCCAGTAGAGGTCATATACTGTTTACATGATGCTCATTATCCTTTACCTTTGGGGCTTTTCAACTTTCTTCTTGAACAGATCCATAGTGAAGTCGTTGTTCAGACACATGGTGTGCTCTGTAATGCCAAAGTCAGACAGCTGAGGCGTCCGCAGATCTTCATCATCCATCCGCAGGGCACATTTGGGGGTAAAGGCCATTGGTGGTGGCGGTGCAGGCTTGTAGAATGAGGGGTGAGGCAGGCTCATCTCAGGCATGGGGGGCACTTCAGAGAAACCAGCGAACGTTTTCTTCAGCTGCATCTCAGAGAGGCCGAAGTCAGACAACTGTGGTGTTCGCATAACGTCAGTGAAGGCCGGCGGTTTGGCCGTCTGAGGCGATGAGGAGGGACTGCCTTCAGCCTCCTCCTGGCATTCCCCTTCTTCTTCTCCTGCTTCATTGTCCTCTGATTCTTCACCTGCAGCCTCTGACTGCTGTCCGTTAGCCTCTGTGCAAGAGAAAGATTCCATAAAAACACATTTGATATCATGTTTTCTTCAGTGAGCAGCCAAAGGGATAGTTTTACCATAGTTGATGTGTTAGAGCCAGTCTTTTGGTTTTGTAAAAAGTGCAGAATATTGTCACCTAATCATGACCTCTGCAGTCAAGGCTATAAAAGACTACATTCCCCAGGCTCTTAAGAGACACAGAGATGGGCTACCTGTGTGGAAGACGCTGTCTAACCAGTAAGTTATATTAGCATACATAAAGTAAATAAAGAAGGATCTAAGTTGTTTATTATTTTATTTAAGTTGTGCCTCTTTTGTTATGTTTTGTTTGACTATTGTAAAGGCCAATTTTCTTTGTTGAATGTTTAAATGGACAACATCAAACCCACAATCAGAAGTAAAACAAGTCATCACAACTGTAAGTAAAACAAGCGAAAGATAACGCATTAGAGCGGTCCGTTTGAATGGTCTTACTGGCTTGATGGAAACAAAGAAAGTCAGCCGCGATACTTACGTAGCTTCTCGTACTGGAGGTGTGCTGACTGCCTTCTACTGTACGTTATTCACTGACTTTGGAGAAGTACCCTAACGGCCACCACACATCAACACTATCCCTTTAAGAAAAGAGATGCAGCTACTGTCATTACTTACTGCTCGCTCTCTGGGTGTCACGTGGAGCTTGGTAACCGTATTTCTCCCAGTGTCCCTTAAGTGCCTGGATGTCCTTAGTCACTTTTTGCTGCATCACTCTGCTGGCCTTAATAAAGCTGTCCACATCATTCTCCCGTGCTTTCAGCTGAGCAATCTGACCCTGGATCTGCCCCTGTATGAAGACAAAGCACAGTTCCTTATTGCTCTTTTTAAAAAGTAAATCGGCCCTCAGATGTATAGTCAGTGTATGGTAAAATATGTGTTAGAAACAGACTGAATAAAACAAATGAATCACTTTCACACAAACTGTTTCTACTCTTCTTTGTGATGCTTAATGAGGAACATTATTTCTTTGATGTACTTTCCTAATAATCTTTTTTCCTGAATGAACAACACAATTTTAATACAAATGACAAACCTTAAAGTTATGTCACACATTTGTTATCTAAAAAGTGTATATCTCTATATTAGCTGTATTGCAGGGCCATTGTGTTATATTTCGTATTATACCAATGTCACACTCGCACCCAATTTCATTCAAAATATATAAGAATTCAGTCTCACAAGAGTAAACGCACTTATCCTAACTAAATACCGTTTTATAGCTGTTTTGGTTAATTCTGCAGGTACTTAAATACATTGTTTATTTCAATAAAATGTCAGTTTGATTTCACCAACTGCCATCAAGGCAACAGACGGTCATTAGGAACATAAGAAACAATAACTTATCTAACTTGAAACAATGGAAATTGAAATGTTTTCGTGTATTTAATTCAAGTGCCTGACAGGAATGTGATAAATAAAGATGTTAAATTGTATTATGCCGTTAAACTAAGCTAGGTTTCACAGTTTTCATAAATCAGGGTTCATACACCAATGATTTTCCATGACCTTTACCTAATTTTCCATGATCAAAGAAATTACTCTTTCTCAGCGGTACCACTGAAAATCGTTTATTTTAACATGGAACAGGAAAATAAGGTCTGCATATGAAACATGTTGTGCCTATCTAAAACAAATCAAATAGTAGGCTTACTAGCTTCTACAGGCTAAAGCAACTAAAATCTCTCACCAGCAAAATACCTCGTCAGTTAAATGCCATTTTACGTTTCATTACTATATGATACAGTATTTATTATCGTTATAGTATTACTATTTCGGCAATTAGATAAAATATAAATTATATTTGATGCAACTTTAGTTACATTTCCATGACTTTTCCAGGTTTTTAATGACCGTAAGAACCCTGATAAATGTACCTTTAGGTTTCCGACTTCACAGTTCATTTGGTGATATGTTCTCATTGCTCTGGCTGTAGTTTCTGGAATAAAAAGGAACTCACATCAAAACCAGCTAAATTATGTATACGCTATTATTATTTTGGGTTGATAAATAGTGTTTTTACTCACCGCTGTCATCGTCGTCGTCGTCGTTGTTTCGGTGTTCAAAGTCGTGCTGGAGTTGAACAGTTTCTGACTCTAAAGTCACCACCAGCTTCTTCAGCTTAGCAAAGAACGGAACCGTGGGGTTCATTTTCTGATAACAAGTCTGAAATGTTGCAAAATGTAGAATAATTATAACATTTACTTCACCGAAAGGGCCGTTTGTTTACCTTTTTCTCTTTGAGCAGGAGCAACTTTTAAATGTTAGCGCCTTTTCAAGCGGAAGTCTCCTTTTATTTCTTCTTCGTTGGTGTTTATTGGCAGCTTAACGGTGCTATATCGCCATCTATGGACTACAGTGAGAATGAAGAGATTGTTAAAAACAAAAAAAACACAACAAAACTACTAAAAATATCTCTACATTATTTCCTGGTAAGAGCTAGGGTTATTTAATAATGTATTCTTATTGTTGTTATTCAGTATGTTTCTGGGCCATTTAATCAAAAGAGGACTTTACTAATTTAATTGAAAACGTGAAAGTATTTTATCTGTGAGATAGATAGAATCGGAGGGATGAAACCCCTCTTTAATGGTCACATTAAGCACACAGCACACACAGTGAAATGTGTTCTCTGAATTTAACCCATCCTAGTACCAGGAGTGTAGTACTAGGAGCAGTGGGCAGATACAGCGCCCGGGGAGCAATGGGAGTGAGGGGGAAGGGGGGATGTCCGGTGCCTTGCTCAAGGGCAACACGGCAGGGCCCAGGAGGTGAACAGGGACTCTCCAAGTAGCAGTCCACACTCCATATTTAGGTCTGTTCGGGGACTTGAACCGGCGACCCTACAGCTCACAGTCCAAGCCCCTACTGACTGTGCCCCACTGCCAGACAAAAGAGCACATCACATGATGAGGAATTGTCTTTTATTGGCTTACTGTTTGGCGTCTAGTGAATGAGACTTTTGGCTTACATTTTTCTGTGTATAAATACATGTATATCAGTACTATACATTCACTTGAGAAACAAACATTTACTTCCACTACTACGACCACTACAAATGTACACCTGATATACTACATCCTCCTCTCAAGTTCAGACAGAGCATGCACGTCGAGAAGTCTTATCAGATTAATGGTCGTTCAGGAGAGTGTATAAATATTGGACAAACTGTGAAGGTCAGAACAAACGTGCACACAGAACAACAGAGGTGAGTTGCAATACTTTTGGTCTGGTAAATGGGTTATAAAAGTAGTAAAAAGGATCCGAACATAATCAATTAATACCAACTAATGGCAAAAGGATTTTATACTAGTTAACATGAATGAGGGGTTAACTTAATTTTTCTCTTTTTGTCTGAACACAGCCATGGCGATGTTTGGAAAGGTTTTGGAGCCAGTGGGCTACATGCAAACTGTGAGGTGAGTTTTCTGAATATTTCATGTTAATATACTAACAATAATGCATTCAAATCTGCTTATCACACTGTATAATAATAGTTATCAGAACTCAAATATGATTTTTAATTATTTAAACAATAATAATAACACTTTATAAAGCATTTTGTAACTTAAAAGATCAAGTATTATAATACGCAATAAGACTCAATACTCAATAAGACTCAATACTCAATAACTCACTTCTTTGCAAAGTATTATGTTGCTTTAAAATGTGTAATGAGCATTAATAATTCATTGTGTGAATAGTGTGCTTATAACTCAATTTATACAGTGCATTAAGCCACTAACACATTCTAAGTATGTTTATAAATATGACTTCTATTGCATATCCATAACAGTTTCTGTTTCATTCTCACATTTTCCAGTTTCAAGGCTTTTATTGTCACGTGTGCAAAGCTACAGTGTAGTTATGACAATGACAATCTTAGGTCACAGGCTCCTCCAACAGTGCAACACAATAAAACAGATAAAATAGTACAGTTAAATAAAATATAATAATATAATAGAAACAGTGCAGAAAAGTCTATATACAGTAATTGGAATATTGATATATATGATATGATATGTTCCTGATGTTGTCAAGGCAAGGCAAGTTTATTTATATAGCACCTTTCAACACAAGGCAATTCAAAGTGCTTTACAAAATGGCATTTAAGAACAGTCATTAAAAAGCACAGATAATAAAATAAACCTTAAAAGACAAAATACATGAATAAAGGTTACAGTGCAGTATAAGATATGAATAGTTCAATTAAAAGCAGCGGCAAAAAGAAAAGTCTTCAGCCTGGATTTAAAAGTAGTAAGAGTTGCAGCGGACCTGCAGGTTTCTGGGAGTTTGTTCCAGATATTTGGAGCATAATAACTGAACTTCTCCATGTTTAGTTCTGACTCTGGGGACAGAAAGCAGACCAGTCCCAGAAGACCTGAGAGTTCTGGATGGTTCATAATTTAGCAGTAGATCAGTAATGTATTTTGGGCCTAAACCATTCAATGCTTTATGAAAAAATGTCCAGGGTGCTGGTGCAGGGTATCTGCTCCTACCTGGGCGGCAGCGGCTCAGCAGAGGAGAGCGAGGCGGCCAAGAAGAACCTGGACTCCATGGACCAGGAGCTGGGAGCAGGAGGAGCCGGCCTGCTGGACGACCAGGAGGTGCACCGGCTGGAGGACGACCTGGCCGTGGTGTACTACCAGCTGGGCACCGCGGTGAGGAAACACTGCCTAGGTCTCAAACATGAAGGTTCACTTAGTAGAGGTTTTATTTTATACTCTTATTTTGAATGGTATAGTCTAATAAGGGAAGATTAGCATGTGTGCTTCTTATTGTTTTACTGAGGAACTTTTTATATTTTTATTTTGAATGGTAGTCTAATAAGGGAAGGTTAATATGTGGGCTTCTTATTGTTTTACTGTGAGGAACCTTTTCAACTTTTATTTTGGAGGGTAGAAGATTGGAGTGTCTGCCTCTCAGTGTTTTATTGTGAAGGGTAAACTAATATTAGTTTGTTTAGTTAGGGAAGTTTGAAATGTACAAGTGTTTTATTGTTAGGGCAACTTTTATTTTTGAAAGGGTAGTCTTATATGATTGTAGTAAGTCAATAAGGGAGTGTATGTTTCTCAGTGTTTTATTGTGAAGGAAAGTTGTTTGAACTTTTATTTTGAAGGGTACATTGATACAGGTATAGTCGTTGCAATGGAAGATTGAAGTGTGTCTGCCTTGCAATGTTGTATTGTGATGGGAACTTGTTTAAAAAAAAAGGTTTTGAAAGGGGAACTAATATTAGTTAGGTGAGTTAGATAAGTTTGAAATGTATAAGAGTTTTATTGTTAGGGGAACTTTTATTTTGAAAGGGTAGTTTTATATAATTGTAGTAAGCCAATAAGGGAGTGTCTCACAGTGTTTTAATGTGAAGGGATATTTTTTAACTTGGGTAATATAATATTGTCACAGCAAGAAAAACAGTGTGTCTGCGTTTTGTTGATGTTGTGAAAATAGTGTTTATTGTGAAAGGAACTTTTTTAGGGTATGTCTTATATAAAACTGTGGGGGCGGTTGGAGTGTGTCTGTCTCCCTGTTTCGTATCTGAAAGGGAATTTTCCAGCTTTTATTTTGGAGGGTAATCTAACTGGTTATGCTGCAAACACACTGAAGGGCATGCTGACCTTGAACAGTAATGCCCGTTTAACTGAACTGATGTGACTGTGACTGAACTCATGATGCTAAGCGTATTATGTAGATGCAGATGTTTGTCACCAGATGTATGATTGAAGCATCTGTTTACTTCCACTAGACAGTATTAATGCGCTTATGATTTTAATATACTGTTTAATTATTTTAAAATGTAACAAATGATACAAATCTCTTGAATGCATTTTGCTTAGAAAAATAAAACACCTTTCTGAATCAGTCAGTGCTTAGTGGTAAAGTATTTGTGTTAAGCCACGATGATGGGTAGCCTAAGTAACATGTGAACAGGGGAGCAAAAAGGCATAAAGCAACCTGTAAGAGACACAAAATGGCTGCAAAGAGTCCAAAAATTACTATTCAAGAGATACTGTACAAAACGACCATAAAGAAACAAAACGCAAAATAGATGCCTAATGACTAAAAGAGATGCAAAAACACCACAAAGTTACACAAAACAATGTCTAAAAGTGACAACACATCTATAAAGAGACATTAAATTACCACAAAACAACTGCTTAGAGACACAAAAGATCCTCAAGTTGACTACAAAGAAACTAAAATACTTCTAATATTATGTCCATCTTTGAAGGCTGTTTGCAAATTGCAGCCATTTCATTTTTATGTTATGTTATTTTTGCTAACCAGGACTAAAGAGGGCTCACACTCTCCTTTGAATCTGTCCCCCCCCCGCCTATTGTTTCAGGTGAGGGCCCAGGCACAGTTCACTAAGAAGGAGACGGAGGTTTTCCTGCAGTACGTGCAGGACTACCGGCTGGAGAGGCAGCTGATGGCGCTCTACAACCGTCTGATGGGGATCTCAGCGCTGACCGACCAGCCCACCCTGCTGGAGGAGCTCATCCTGAACCGCAAGCCCAAACGCTGGGAGCTCAGGGAGTTCTGCGTGAAGGTCGGTGGAGGTGCAGGGCACAGTGTGTGTGTGTGTGTGTGTGTGTGTGTGTGTGTGTGTGTGTGTGTGTGTGTGTGTGTGTGTGTGTGTGTGTGTGTGTGTGTGTGTGTGTGTGTGTGTGTGTGTGTGTGTGTCTGTGTCTGTGTCTGTGTGTGTGTGTGTGTGTGTGTGTGTGTGTGTGTGTCTGTGTCTGTGTGTGTGTATCTGTGTCTGTGTTGTTCACCTCATTTCCCTGCAGGGGGTCATTACATGTTCATTCCCTCCCATTATACAAGTCATTGCACAAGGGCACGTACTCCTGCTTAACTAAAGCCGCAAGAAGCCTGAGGTCACACACACACACACACACACACACACACACACACACACACACACACACACACACACACACACACACACACACACACACACACACACACACACACACACACACACACACACACACACACACACACACACACAGCTTTTGAAGCATAAACTCACCTGTCATCAATACATTCTTAATAATCTCAATCCAAGAATTAAGCCATTTCCAACCACATGTTGTAAAACATAATCACAGAGGACAGGTTTCATAAGGAAAATGAAAAGCATGGAGGAAAACACAGCTGTGCAGGATTAAATATTCAATTTCCTGACCGAATACAATGAATTTGACAAAAAAAAACATGGAGGTCCTGTGGGGAATGAAGCACGCTGCATCTATCTTCTTGGTATGAAATTAAAACGGAATATTTAATTCAGCAGAACTGTGACCTTCTGTTGTCTTTCGTCCGAGCTGAGTTGGCAAATTCCCTTTTGCCTTCACTGCTGGTACCGAAAGGAGATGAATTTGTTCAGCTGCTCGGGCTTTAAACCTACATTTAAAAGCAGGAATCTTAAAGCGTGACAATTGTATTCTGGTTGAAGCAACATTAGTATAAGTCCACTCCTTTAAGTGCACATATGTCCCTTTTTGCATGGGATCAAATAGAGCTTTATGTTCTACTTTATTTCTTATGTAAACCCCCCCTAAACCAGACCAAATGCCGGATGGTCACTGTCCATCTGTCCATCTGTCTTATTGCCCTTGGGCTGGACTCACATAATGATCATCCAACATGCAAATAAATGAACCTTAATAAACACTGCAGCAGTCACAGGCTCGCTCGTTATGTAAAAACGTTTGACCTATGTTTGACCAGCATTTATTAAACAAAGTGAAGTGTTAAGTATCTGCAAAGTCGTTCAACACAGATGCTGCTGTCACGGCTGGAGAGACAGACAGTTTGTATCCTAGAAACTCAAGTCCACTTCTTCAGGGGCTTTAGGGTGTTTAGGCTGCCAGTGGATTAGCTTTAATGCTGAAGCAATTTCATCTTAAATTAGTGCTGAAAGAGTGATTTGTGTTGTGCTCCTTGCAGGGATTTGTTTCCATAAATGCACTGAGTGAGTACTAGAAAAGCTCAGTGCTTTCATTAAGGGGAAATCATTTCACAGTTTGTCACTTACTGTGCAGTCATAGTCAATCATAGTCCAAATAAAACAATAAGATACAAGCACTCTAACTTTATTAAAGAGGCCCTGTTATGCTTTTTGGGGGTTTTGCCTTTCCTGTAGTGTGTTATAGGTTTTAGTGCATGTTAATGGTCTGCAAAGGCTTACATCCCAGAAAGCTGACCAGTCCCTGAAGACCTGAGAGTTCTGGATGGTTCATAATTTAGCAGTAGGTCAGACATGTATTTTGGGCCTAAACCATTCAAAGCTTTATAAACCATCATTGTAGAGTAAACTCCTTCCGGTTCCTTCGACAAAAATGCAATGCAATTTCTCCATAGGATTTTGGAAAATAGCTGGAAATAAGGTCTGTGGTTGAGACACATTTAAGAGACGGATCACGTTTTGTTCAGCCGGGTAATCTCCACATGTCTACCCTACTTTTATAATTTTCGAATCATAAATCTAATCGATAGATTTATGATCGATAGATTTATGATTAGAAAATTATAAGAGATGGGTAGACATGTGGAGATTATCCGGCTGAACAAAACGTGATCCGTCTCTTAAATGTGTGTCAACCACAGACCTTATTTCCAGCTATTTTCCTAAATCCTATGGAGAAATTGCATTGCATTTTTGTCGAAGGAACCGGAAGAAGTTTACTTCCGGGTTTTAGGACGCGTCACTGCGGTTCTCTATTGGACTCCTTTGTTTACTTCTGGAACATGGTTACATTACTATGTAACACTCGTGCTCCTATTGGCCTGGGCAGCGGTTCCCGACCTGTGGGCCGCGACCCGAACGCATTGTAAGTGGGCCGCCAAATAATTTGCAAAACATTATGATTTGTGTGGAAACATTTCATTATTAAGATTTTATTTTATTTTAACCTCTTTCTTGATCCTCCTTAGCAACGGTCATTACAGTCCTTGACAGCGGTCTGTTCTACTGGATTAACGACGTGTCACATGTTCTGAATCGACCAATCAGAACTTTATTTAGCCTCCGTAATGTTTATGGTTGAATGTGGGCCGCGAACATTTTTTAGATTCTTAAGTGGGCCCTGAGGTTGGGAACCGCTGGGCTCGGGCTCCAACTCATTGTACGTGATAAGGGGGAAAGGGGCGGGACATCTCTAAGCCGTTGACCAATCACAATAGAGCTGGCTGGCTAACCAAAAAGGTGGGCATTTCCCCTTAAGTACGCAGTATAAATGACCCCTATGCTTTGCTAAAATAAATTCTAATCAAAGTCACCCTGTAGCTCTTGAGTCCACTCTGGAGTAGATGACTTTGTTAAGCAAAGAAACGGCAGCCATGTTTCTCTAACCTTGGTAGAATGTATCATGTGTAAACACTTTGCTGGTGATAAGCTTCGGTGTCATGCAGGGACAAGAACACAGGCAATGTCTTATTTTTGTAGACTTCACAAAATCTGCTTAATTTATGATCCAAAATACTAAATTATAAAATGATCTGTTGCGTCACTAAATTATCTGCAGTGACAGGCTCGGTGCTCTAACCCTGGATAACCTGGCATGGCTCTTTCTACAAAGAGTTAGTGACATCTGCATGGGCTACTTTTGGGGTTGGGGTGGTCTCACAGGGCCAGGTGTTCACATCAGTTTAAGATAATGAGCCAGAAGAGCCGTAACCAGCCTCTTCTGTAGTAACGCTAATGATCTGGAAACACTTTTAAGTTCAGTGAAGTCGACAGAAATCCCATGTGGCTTGGTGTGCTGCTGAAGACAAAACGTTGCAATAAACAACAACAACAACATTAAAGCTGTGCCAGGCGTGAATTAGATCATAACCAACCCCATTAAGACTAACTATATGATGCAAATGAATAATTAGTCAAAATGATGTGCTGGTGTTGAGCCGAGTAATTTCTCCGCTGTCAGAAAAACAACCCTGGAAATACTCAAACAAGCTGGGTCAGTTAAAATAAACAGAAATTAGGTTTTTTCAGGCATTTTTTTCATACATCCAGATGCATATGAAATGCACCAACTGGGTTTCCTGCCACCCCCAAAAGCTCCAAGATAATATAGGCTGCAGTCAGCGCTCACTTGTCCTGCAAACAGCCACAGTGTGTTCCTGTTGTCAAAACAATAATGAAAACATTCAAAAGATCTTCAATACTTTGTACACAGGAAATATTAATTTAAAGTTTGTTGTATGCAGGGTCTAAAACAAATGTTTTTTTTTACACAATTTATCTGGTTCTTCAGATTTTGTCTAAATGCAAAAAGCAATGAGCGAACAGGACTTACAGTTCCTGACAATTATAGTTATAGGATTAATTGATTACTGAGTATTTAGAACATTTGTTTAAAATCACTTCTGTGGTCAAACAGAAGAAGCTCCATCTTTAATTGACTGAACATTGAATAGCATCCATGTCACAAAACAACCCATCTGGTGCTCCCTGCAGGGTTGAACACACTCTTAGCTAGTTTCGCCCACTATTTGAAGGCTCATACTTTCCCTCACTCTCCTCTGAACAGATAAACTTTGTGCTGGGCACCGGGCTGCTGTGCCTCTTCACCCAGGCGTCTCTGACAGGCCGGGACCAGGCTCTGCTGATGAAGACCTGGTCCGACCGCATGGGGGCGCTCTACAGGAAGATGAAGAACTCAGGAAGCCGCTGCTTAAGCTACTTCCTGGAGCAGGCGGAGGTGGACATCCGGCACCAGCTCCAGGAGGCCGTGCAGAACCGAGACCCCCCCGAGGAGGCGGCGGGGAGCATCCTGAAGACCCTGGAGAAGAACTACGAATGGCTGCGCTGGGCGGTGATGCTGCACCCTGCTGTGGGACCCATGGAGGAGAAGGAGGAGGAGGAGAAAGAGGAGGAAACCCAGCAAGAAGAGAAGGAAGAACAGGAGGAAGTTGTGCAGCAGTCAAACAACTTCATTTCCGTGGCGTCTGACCCTCCCGTCCCCCATGTGGTGGTGTGTTTCCGGGACACGCCCACTTCGCTGGATAAGAGCAGGATCCACCAGCTCATCGTGGATCTGGAGTGGAAGATCCCCAACCCGCCGCCCGAGGTGTACGCCTCCATCGAGGAGGACCCGGGCAGGGCGCGGTGCTACCTGGCCGCCCGCATGCTGAAGAAGCTGCAGGACGGGCTGGGGGAGGGCGTGTCCATCCACGTGGTGCCCGGCAGGATGGAGATGAAGTGCAACTTCCCCCCCGCCTCCTACTACCTCTACGAGTACAAACACCGGCTGGCCTCGGGCACCGTGTGCGTGTTTGGATGAAAGAGTACGAGAAACAAAGGGAAGGGGAAACGACCTGCTGTTCTCACACAGATGTTTCATAATCATATTACAGAATCGGCTTTATTTGTGTTGCTCTCACAGTGGTATTAACATGTCTTGTGTAATGTTACTTCCAAATAAATGTCATTTAAGAGAAACACACACATGAGATATAAGAGGTTTCTTTTTATATTTCGTTAAAGCAAAATTCTAGTTTGCTACAACTTGGGTCCAATCGAAGGCCTCCTTAAGCACTTTGTTTCAGAATGGAATAACAAATATTGGATGGATTGCATTAAGATTTGTACAAACATTTATGGTCCAGACAATAATTCCCTAATGATTTCAGTGAGCACATCCTCAGAGAACAGCTAGCATTCAAAGTTATTGCTGAAATATGGAAACAGAGTGACTTCTCCAAACATGGAGGACAGGATACAAACACAAGAAGTCCAACAATCAGACAGGTGGTACCAGGCAATACAAAATCTTATCCCAAAAATGATAAATATATGCTTAGAACTCTTACATCCTGGAATCATGTTCTTACTGGGTCACTGATAGGACACTTTTCTTCCATGATAACCAATACCAGAAATTCACCATAATCTACTTTTTTCAGTGTTTTTTTATTGAAATCTGGAATAACATCCTATATCGCCCCATCCCTAGAAGTGATGAACGCACGTTTTGATAGATTTTATGACTATTTGAAGATAAAACTGAGTGCACCTAAATGCTGGTGATATGGAGGAAACTATGCTATACACTGTGACTAATGTTTGAACAGTTGGTTAATACTTTTACAGTTTTCCTTTGGTTAAATAAGTTTAGCTTACATCAAGGATTCGTCGTTTGACTGCTCGTGTGTTTCTTGCCCAATCTTCAGTTTGTTTTGATATAAATGATGGCCCGAACGTCGTAAATAAAGCCCAGGTTGTAAAAAAACACAATTTCTCGTTAAGGTTTACCAAATCTTTCTGGTTAAGTCACTAAGGTATGCATTGACTTCCCAAACATCAACGCTAAAATGCAACAAGGAAGCAAAAATAAATATTTTGACCCGTCTTTACGGTTGAGGTCTTTAGTTTATTGCTTATAACTGATAGATCGGAAGAGTTACCAGTTAGAATAAAATGCTCTAAAACTATCCATCTCATCAGCGAATAAATGTCCAACTCATGTCCACACGAGGAATCAGCCTCAGTCTTATCGTCCATTTACAATCGCACAAAATGTCCCGGGAATGTCCGCATCTCCTCTCATTTTCAGTAAAAGAAAGACGCCTGAGTACAGCTTCTTGCTCTCACACAGGCTCACCCTCTGAGTTGAGCAGAACCAGTTGCTCTATATCCTTGCTGATCTCCGGGAAGCACAGCAGCACCTCCTTGAAGTCGTCACAGGACAGAGAGAAGCACTGGCAGTCGGTCAGCGCCTTCACCGTGGCCCGATGCTTTCCTTTAGTCAGCACGCACGTCTCTGTTGGAAACACAAACGCTTGGTTAATGAGCGGGTAAACACTAATGACGGGATGAGGTCTGACAATTAATCCTAAATTAAATAACCGGACTTAGCCGAGTTGTTTTGGGAAGCCTGCTTAGCTTTAACCGCTGCAGAGGTTTTCTGCCAAAATAAGATTAGGACCTGCTCCCACTTAAAGCTGGAGAATTAAGTAAATCCCCTCAAATTGAAAGGGGTGGATTTAACCATTTTGGTTTGAAAATACTCCTTGCTCACCTGGGCAAATAAACTTGCAAATGTATTCATTATTTTTGATGTAAAAAAAGCTAACCGATGAAAATGGATTGAAAAATTACCCTTAATTGGCCATAAGTAGAAAAATAATCAGAAAATAAATGTCATGTGAACTCATTAACATATTACATTTCCATATGGCAGTGGCGTAAGCTTTATTTGTTCCCGGTCTTTACCTATTTCCTCCCTTTCTCATACACACACACTGACTGCATACATTACATTCCCTACCTCTGTTATCTACACATGCAGATAGTTCTGGTTTTGTTCATCCAGGTTTTGAATGATCAGCCTCAGCACGTAAGAAAAGTGACAGCTTTCCTGGAAACATCATGCCTGTTACTGTAGATAATTCACAGAACAAGCTGTCAGCTGTTTTCATATGAACTCTTTCTGTAGGCGAAGGCATTTCCAGTGGAAACTGCTCACAGAGAGCTCTGAGGATTATCTAGAATAAGAGTGACATATTTTTAAATGGAGTTTGCCATAATTTCCTTAAGAGAGCCGCACACAATGCTCTCCAATCCATTACCACTGCAATATTAGACCTTTGTCGACAACTCTTTGACAAGCTTCGACAAAAAGGATTTCGAACTGGCATTACTGATAATATTTGAGCTTTGAATGGAGGCAAAAATAATCCTGACAGAAAACTGACAGCAAGTTTTGTAGACTATAAAGACGCTATTTCTGGAAAGAGAGGTTGCTGATTATGACTTTTTAATAAAAAATGCTTTAAAGGTCCCATGTCATGGCCATTTCTACTGATCATATTTCCATTGTTGAGGTATACTAGAATAGATTTATATTGTGCAATTTTCCAAACTCACATTGGTTTCTCATACAGCATCTCTGTATAGTATGTGTATTCACTCTCTGTCCTAAACGGCTTGTTGGAGCTCCTGCCCCCCCCTCCCTGTGAGCCCAGTGGCCGTCTGCGAGACAGCGAGACACAGCGAAACCCAGCCCGAAACACACACACCAGCAGCCTGGCTGGGAGTTTGTGTGTGTGCCCAGGCTGAGTTCCGCGGTGTCTCGCTGTCTTGCCGACCCCACACCAGTGAGCCAGCTCACACTGTCCCGCTCCTCGCAGCAGCGAGCCTCGCAACGTCCCGCCGAGTGTGTGTGTGTGAGGAAGTCCGCGGATTGGTCCAAACGTAACGGCTCCGCGGACGTAACGTAACGGCTCCATTTAGACCAATCTGCGGAGCCGTTACGTTACGTTACGTCACTATACCCAAATACGTCACTGTACTCAGGAAGAAAAAGAGAAATCCCCAACGAGGCGTTCTGGGGCAGCACAGACAGGTCTTTTCTGTGTTAAGAGTTTTACTCGCTACAGGGTGTGCTTTGAGGGTTTGTGACTCTGCAGACCGTTTACATGCAGAAAAAGCTTCATAACACACAAGGGGACGGGTAATAACCAGAGAAGCATGACATGGGACCTTTAAGTATCACACATGACATTACATTCACCTCCAGTGTATTTGGGGAAGGCAGAAAAAGAGAAGGATATTTCAAAATCTGGAGACGAGACAAAAAACTGCTTCTAAATGCTTAGGAATTTCTGAGGATTGGCCCTTTAAATGTAAATTGCCACAGCTCAATACTTACTGATCTCTAAACACATAATGGTAAATAGAGACTATAAATAGAGCAAACTCCATCTGCTGAGATAGTATTGAAAGCAGAGTCAACATTTTCATGTTTCCTCAAATTCATTCTTTAACCTCCAGTATATGAGGACAGTATTGCTGCTTAACAAAACCTACCCTACTGCACAATGTACATACATGTTTGAAATGACACAATCTAAGATCAAAACGTAAAAAGAAACTGGCGGGTAGCACTTTTTATAATTTCCATTTATTACATTCATTATGTAATATGTAACATCTTTGTTGTGTACTAATTGTACTTTGGCTTGAGGTGAGATGTTATTGTGTGTTTCTTTTTAAGATAATGGACTTACATGAGCCAGATTCTGGATGCGTTTGGGTTGTTGGTATTTTTCTAGAGCAATAAACATCTATCCAGCCTTTTTGGGTTTAAAATGTGTGAGAAAGGTTTTTCTGAATAGAATAGAATATATATTTATTGTCATCATACAAAGTACAACGACATGTCTTTGGCAACTCTCACTGCAGTCAAAAATAGACACAAATTAAATAAATAAGAGTGGTAAAAGCAGAGGTAGTAGCGATGACAGATGCAACGACATACAATTAGATGTCAATGTGCATATTTACACTTACAGTCTAAAAACGTTAAATGTACAACACTGTATAAATGTACTAACTGAGTGTTCATAAAGGGTTATAGTAACCAAAGGATGCAAGTAAAATAGCCATAAATATTTCTAAATAGTAGTGGTTACAGTTTTTCAACACGATCTGGAATAAAATGTTCTCTAAAATTAACCATTTGCAAAACTCCCTTATGTTATTTCCTGTCCTTCTCCTGTCCTACTTCAAATACCTTCACTATTGCCGTCAGGGTAAAAATCACTTCTCAAATGCCTGAATGATATTCCAGATATTTAAATCAGAGTGAATGTAACTCACCTCCAAAGAAGTCTCCGTCACACAGCTCCCGGTCGTAGGAGTCGGTCTCCATGAGGACTTGTCCGTGGTCGATGAAGAACATGCGATCCCCGGGGACGCCCTCTCGGACGATGGAGTCTCCCTCCAGGAAAACCTCGTACTCCAGTTTCAGCAGCACCGAGTTGATGAAGTTTTCTTCTCTGTTCTGAAACATCGGCACCTTTCTTAGCAGCCGGCTGCACATCACCATCATGATTTGCTGAAATAAATCACAATCAGAATTTAGTTAATTGTGTTAGGGAATAATTTGCTTAGGTATTCAACCTTCGACCCAGTTCATCGTGTTCTCTCTTTACTGTCTCTTTTCCCATGGCATAGTTCTACGGCCTTAGGGTATTGCTGCTATCTCTCTTAAGGAGGAGCAGCTTGGGCGCATTGTTGTTACCAGTTCTTCAGAATTGGTTTGGCAACCGCTGTGTCAACTCGTGACCCACCACCTGTCATGTCAATTCTCCGGCCGTAACTCCAAATAAACCATCAGTGTTTGCCATCAAAGCCCCAGTTCTCCTCGTGTCTCTCTGAGTCCTGACTCTCCATTGCTACAGAAGTTTCCCCCACAAATTGCAAAGAAGGTTTTAACCAACAAGAAATGGGCTTTGGTGAACATTGTTGCATACTAGGGCTGCACAAGTAATCAATATGTAATCAAAATTGCTATATTGACTGATGCAATATTCAAATCGCAGTAAGCTAAATATATGTGAAAATATTTGAATTAAAGGTGGGGTAGGTAATTTTGGAGAAACCAGCTCGAGTGCGCAAGAATTTGAAAATACACAGCCGGAAAAAATCTGCCACTTCCTTCAGACTTCCTTACAGAGCCCCTCCTCCAACACACACGAATGCGCACATGACCAATGAGGGCACGAGATAAGTTTGTGCACAGATGGAAGGCTGACAGGCAGGTAGGCCATCCAGTTATTTTAGCCGGGCCGGCTCAGATGATTGGTCGTGCTTTTTACAGTATTACGGCTTCCACAGATGACATTTTTTTATGGATTTTTTGTCAAAGCACTTAAGATATTCATTGCTATCGGGATGTTAAGAGCATTCCATGGAATATAACAAAAAGTGTATCTCGAGCCGGTTTCTCAAACTTACCTACCCCACCTTTAAGTATTGTGAAGCTGCAAGTCTTCACAAAAAAATATCACACTATGATCATTTAAAATATTTTTCAATGATAAATAGAATAAGCAAAAATGAGCATTCCCTCTAATATCTTGTGTCATATCGCAATTGCAATCAAAATAATCACAAACACCAATAATATACACCAATGGTGCTGCTACATTGTTAGAAATATAGGATGATTATGAAAAGTCTAGATAAAAACACCCAAATGAACAGCTTTAGGTCCCGAGCAGCCGTACCTCTTTGAGTGCCGAGGACACGGTGTGCATGACGTCCTTCTCCTGGAACCACTTCCCTCCGTAGCGCGCCTGGTAATAGTTGCTGATGCGCAGCTGCAGCTCTGGAGGAAGCTTCATGAAGGACATGTAGTGCTCCAAGCGGCTCATCTGTGGGGGGACACAGTGTTATCATCTCCATCTCCATCACATGATACACACAGCTTTAAAGAACTAAAATAAGATTTAAGATTTAATCCTGCATGAAATAGTGTTATAGCAAAAGCTGCTACTATATTCATGAAAAAACACAGTGCAAATGAAGACATAAGCTATACAGAAGTGGTATTATGTAATCAAGTACATTTACTTAGTTGCTGTACCAATGTTTTTTGTTTTGATAAATATGTATGTATAACATGTGCAATATCATTATTATTAATTATTAATAATGTTCTATAATAACATGCAATTACGTATCTGCCACTACGTTTTTTTTGCACTACTAAATACTGTTAATATTTACATGAATTATGTGACCGTCTGTGTTTCCTGTAGATATTTAATTCCTCTTCTTACTCACTGTTAGTGTACAGTTTTATTATTATGCTGCTGTGTTTATTGTATTCTTGTAACTCTGGCACAACAATTTCCTTCGGGGATAAATAAAGTCTTCTCTTATCTTATGCTGTGAAATAAGTGATAAAATATATATATAATTTTAAAATGAAACAAAAACCTTCAACAAGAAAAATAAATGTCTGTTCTTAAATGGTTTTAAAGAAACGGAAATATGCTAAAACAAACTTTGTATGACTTATTTCTGTTTCACTTACAGTACCTTGAATACTACCTAGATGTATCTCCTTACCTTGTTCTTGTACTCTTTGGCCGCCGGGTCGGTGTTTGCGATCATGGTCGTAGCGTTGGCCACGAGGACGGTGTACATCAGACACCCAGACACCATGCTGACCATCACGATCCACATCTCCACGTAATCTGGAGAACAAGACACCGCCGCCCCGCTTTTACTCTGAAACCGTGGTTATTTATATCTGAGGGACGATGTGATACCTGTGCTTTTTTTAGCGGCGGTTAAAGACAAAATCAATGACTCTCACTTGTTGGAGCATCCATGGAGCCATAAGAGAGGGCGATCATCTGCGAGAGAGCCCGGAAAACTCCCCAGGAGTATTTCACACTCACTGAGGCATTCTGGGAATAAAATGTTCAGAATTAATTAGACCTTTTGTAGCTGTAGAGCTTAACATCAAGAACATCTTCACAGGAATGTAAAACACAGCATGTGGCTTAAATGACCTACAATACTTTTATAATTAGTTTGCTCACTAAAATAGTTGATGACTCATTTCCAACAACTCAATACACTTTTTTAGATAAATTACTTAAATACAAGTACTAATATCACAGTGTGAAAGTGCGTATTATGATAGTATCAAAAGTCAAAGATTACATTTTGTCGTAAAAAACATTCTTAGTCAGTTTTTAAATATAAAATATAATGTTTTGCATTAATATAAGTGTTGAAATAATGTGTATTGTGCTCATTTGAACTCCTTTAAATACTGCTGGGTAGTGTAATCTACAGCAATGCATCATAGTCTATAAGATTATCATATGTGTATGATCACTGTTTTCAGATTGGCAAGTAGGGATGGGTATCGTTAAGGTTTTAACGGTACTACTACTTTTATCGATACCACTTATCGGTCCGGTCTTTTAACGGTACTCTTATCGGTTCTTTTGGAGAAAAAAATAAAGTAAACTAACTAAACAAATTGTGAACAAAACTAACATTGCTTTTTATTTAAATTAAATACATAATATTTCACATCAAAAGAAACAACAATGTTTTAGCAAATTGTATTAAATAATCTGATGACAGAACTGTAAACAGAATAGCTGAAACTTTAACAAACTAAATAACTCAGTTACCTCTAATCATCAACCCATGTTTGTATAATTGAGTTAACTCTGTGTGTTGCTGCTAGCATACATAACACCTGACGTGGAAACGTTACTCGTGGATGGGGCTACAGAGCTACTAGAAAGACAGTCGAACCCGGTGCATTTCTCCGTCTGAATGTGGAGCACTTTTGAAAGATGTTTAGACAAATTGCTCGTGTTACCGCCCTGACATGCTAAACTCTTATTGCACTTTAGGTAACGAGCATTGTCCACATCGAGACGGGTAAAGCTTAACCACACCTTGCAGCGCGTTCTCTCCGCCATCTCCTCCGTGTGTGTGTGTGTTGCTGCATGTAGAAGCTGCGTGTGTGTAAACTGCCCCGCCCCCTCGCACACAGACGGGGGAGAGAGATCTCTCGTCTAGATTGGAAAGATCGAAAATACTAAAAAGACGCATTTTGCAGTCTTTTTGCATATTAGAAACGGAGTTGGCGACACTAAAACTGCAATATAATGTTTGTGTAGCAATAATACACATGACATATTTTTTACATGTCTCCAGTTCCGATAAAAAGACCGATAACGTCGGAGCTTAACGGTACCACGGTCTTTAATAATTCAGCCCCGGGGCCCGTTTAAAACCGGGGCTCGGTACCCATCCCTATTGGCAAGCATGCACTTTCCAGCTATTTTAAAATCATTAGTTTAGCATGAGAAGTGGGAGAATGTTCTCAATACATAAAGAAACATTCAAAATGAACACATCTAGAGAGATGGGTGGTTTTCAGCGAACAGGAAGAGCATAACAAAGTAGTAATCTGAAAAGTAACTTAAGCTGTAAAACGATGTAGTTACATTCCATCACAGGCAACTCAAATAATCTATTTATGGAAGATTTTTGTGAATGTAGTTTTACCATCAGGTTTTCTTTGCGGACCCAGCAGTCGGTGGGAAACTCCTCGAGCATGGGGACAAAGTACTGGATGCAGCCGTTCCAGTGACACAGCAGGAAAATCATCATGAACAGAGACAAGACGCGGAAGAAGAGGCGGACCACCTCCAGGTTTGCATTAGACACCTTTCAGAAGGAGACGACAGGAAACAAGAAGCTTTAAGGAATTTCGTTCACAGCATGCTGGGTTTAGTATTGATTTCTGCTTGTGAGTTCAAGGCAGAATGCGCCCCTTGATACACCTTCTGTAGCAGGAACTACTTTGCCAGGTGTTGATGTTTCTATCTGTATGTCTGTGGACACATTTTGACACAATAACAGAAAGGATGCAGCTGCAAAACCTGCAGGCATGTAGTTGAGAGCTAAATGAAGGTTGAGATCAAAGATGGTTTTGGTTCCAGCAAGAGTGCTAGAATTAAAAGGGTTAAAACTGCAGAAAAGCCCCCCCCCCCCCTTCTGAACGCCAGTGGCTCAATTTGTGCTTGCGGCTGGCGTGATCCCATCACAAGATGACCTTGAGCGTTATCCTTCAATAAACATGTCAACCTTTGACAGATAAATGATCAAGGTCATCCATTACATCACACAACTGTATATCTGACCATTTAATACCAAGCAGCTTACAAACAATTCAATGCTGTAGACATGCCATCAAGAGCAGTCTGGGGTTAAGTGTCTTGCTCAAGGACATCTGGACATGTTGACTGCAGGATTGAAGCACTGACCCTCTGTTTGGTAGATCAGAACATTTCTCCCTGAACCAAAGCCACCCCAGCCGTACTTTGGTCAAAGGGAACGTTTGTGTAATCATAACAACCAAACAGATCTATTGCATCTAACAACAACAACATGCAAACAAATGTAAAAGCTGCATATTAGCCAAGCAAACAAAGCTCTGCATTAACCCCTCCATCTTTAATATCAGTTTTAATGGCGTGAACCTTTCACATTTGTTGAGAATTGTACATGTTTCAGCAGCCTTATCAACAAGGCTGCAGGCGCACAATCAATGCTTTATGCAAGGTTGAGAAAAGCCCAACATCTGGAAGTTGAAGGAATACATCTTAAAAACAACGGGACATCTTTATCCAAGAAATTCAAATGCGCCAGTTTGAGGTTGTAATAAACTGCATGAACGCCTGTGAAAGGTTTGCATCTTAACCCCTAACAACATCACAACCTTGAAATTGAACAGAAAAAACGAAGTAGAACATCAATACAGAAACAAGGACGCGGACTGTGATGGCTGGACCATGTCATTTGAAATGATGCAGACTGCTCAAGGCCAAAGAATACCTGGAGACCAAAAATGAGCTGGCACAAAATGTGATGAACGAGCGAGAGCGAGATTAACTTAACTTGGGTCAACAAGCAGCGAGTTCACTGCGGCCTTATGGCCTATAGGGGAAAAGAGGATTAGGTGAGTAAACAGATTTATCCATGTGAATTTAATAACACGGGAAACATACACCAGAAACCTATTCCTGTGCAGATTATAGCCACTGTAAACCTACAGCTGTCATTTAACATCCCTCAGAAACAGCTCCATCATTTTTTCCAACGGGGTCTAAACTCTGCAAAGAAATGGGTTTCTAAGTCAAGAAATATTATTACATTATTATTACATGTTACGCTTTTATCCAAAGCGACTTACATAATCAATACCGTGGGCAATCCCCACAGGAACAATTTGGGGTGAAGTGTCTTGCCCAGGGACACAACGACATGCTGACTGCAGTGGGGTTTGAACCTGTGACCCCCTGATAAGAACACCAACACACAATCCACTGCGCCACACGCCTCCTATATATACATTTAAATAAATATATATAATATAAATACCCACTATGGTAGTTTTAACAATGAAATATTTCAAAAACATACTCTAAAGTCCATTATGACATTGTTATCAAAATTCAGTATAAAATGTGGCTTTCCTTTTTCAAAAAAATATCTATCGTTCCATTATTTGCAAGAAAAATGATTGAAGCAGAATTCCTCTTTGTATTGAACTACAGGGGGGTATTTATGGGCAGGGGGGTCTTTCTCTCAAACCTTTAGATGCAGGATATGACACAGCCTTCATATTTAGCAGTGGAGATAGATGTGTTGCATAAAACACAAAAAAAAAACTGGCTTTTTGCTTTTTCAGTGAGGAGGGATCAGGATTTGTTTTCATTCATTTATAAAGCCTTTTTTACAAAAGCTCCCCCTCCAACTCTCAGTTTCACTCTTAAAATGTTGTAGCTATTCTCACAGACATGGCTCACCCTGCAGGGGCCAAACGTTCTCACAGAGTTATGCGTTACCCCACATTCTTGTAATATGCTTCAACAACATTCAGATGTATCTTATTTAAGAGGCACCATTATGTTCATGTTCGGATTTTTATATGTAGTGTCTCTCCTGGGACATGTCTCCACGCTTTAATGTTCAAAAAGCTCTTTATTTTTCTCATACTGCCTGTGCCGCAGCACCTCTTTTCCCCCTCTGTCTGAAACCAGAGCCCAGTCTGCTCTGATTGGTTAGCTGGCCGGCTCTGTTGTGATTGGTCAACCGCTAAGAGATGTCCCGCCCCTTAGCCTATCACGTACAATGTGTTGGAGCGCTAGCCAATAGAAGCGCGAGTGTGACATAGTGATGAAAACAAAGAAGTCCAATGGAGGGTTAAAGGGCAGGGGGGAGAACTCAGGCACAACAACCTAAATAACACACTGCACGAAAGGGAAAACAAAACGCTAAAAAGCATAATGAGACAAATTCAGGGTTTAATTTGTATCTTATAAACTGCCGGTGCTTTTTTTTTATTCAGTGCTTTTAATTGATATGGTCATTTTGTATTGCTGTTTGATTGTATCTGCATTTATTGTCTGTACATCTGCATCTTCAAAAGGAGTGTTCTCTCTATGTGTGGTTTCCAAGGTTTCCAAGGTTATATAGGATACAATGAAATAAAATAAAGAAACACGTGGCGTGGGGTTACTCACAAATTCCAGACAACATACATTATGCAACACCAGGATTTGTTCCAAGATATATCGAGTTTCATCATAAGATTACCACAGACATGATTCAATTTAGTTTAAGGTTTCCTACCCCTTTCATTTTGAGTCCAGTGGGACTGCAATTACGTGTGTTTGAAGATCTGTTCATTGATTATGCATTGTTAAAAACCGAGCTTGTCAGCTGCTGTTTTACAAATGACATTGTACTGTAAGTAAGCGTTCAAAGTCAGATTTGTTATCGGACGCCGCGTCTGGTAAGCTATCTGCAGCTCGGAGAAAGGTTGATTGAATTTCTAAGGGGAGCTTTGAAGACTTTGTCCGGCGTTTGAACTTACTTTCTCCACCTCGTTGAAGAACCGGACCAGACGGGACACCCGAGCCAGGCGGATCAGACTGAGGATCCGCACGAACATCAGGATCCGCATCATCTTGTTCGTCTTCGAGGGGTTGTCTTCGTTGTAGTACTGTAAGTCCTGGGATAAAAGAAATACAGACAGTACATGAAGAGTGGTGTGTGTGTTTGTTGTTTACTTAATTGTATTTCTGTTATCACTTTAAATATCGTTACAAATAAATATATAAATAAAACATTGTATACTTTTCCTATTGTTCATATCGTTAAAAATCCTGACTGTTTATTCTATCTATGAAATGTATATATATATGTCTTTTGCACTTCTGGTTAGATAGTGCCTTTTGTTGCCTCAGTGTATGTACTGCAATGACAATACAGTTGAATCAATCTAATTGCCATTGACTTACTACTAAGGGCTTCACAATATATATTTTCTTGACATCATCAAAATGTCAAAAAGCACGATAAACACATGACGAAAGACTGCAATACTGCACATATGGATTTTTTGAGTTGGTTAAAGGAGAGTATGAGTTGAATACGGCACATTTAAATGTAACTATTAATCTTCATTTTGGTGCCTTTTGTGTTTACTTCAATGTTCAATAAAAGAAAGAAATAATGTTCTTATACAACATGCTATTTGTTGTATTTACTGAAAGCACCAGAAAGGCAAATAAATATATATCACAAGTGCATGAGATACATACATTGAAGAAAATGACACAAACTAACACCTTGCTGAGAGCGTTATGATAAACGTTCCCTTAAAACATTAATTCTGATTATTCCATCATGGAAACACATTTAAGTCATTTTAATAATTTGAAATGTAAAACAACTAATAATTATACAAAGTAATCTGACATTCACACTTTTCATAATGTCCGTTGAAGCAGAAAATAGCGTGTGTTGCATTATTTGCCAGTTCACAAAACAATTATGCACATAGATTTAGTTTGTGTGTTCATGGCTTATAATTAGAAAGTTATGTAACGCCGCAATACATTGTTTTAACACACAGTAAACACTGAAGAAAACTGAATATATTATACAAATAACACGATTAAGAAGGTATTTACTAGAGCTGCACATTGAGGAAGATATGTGAAGTTCAGTAACGCAGTTGTAAGTATCGGATAAAAAGAAGGTGTAATGGAAGTCCAACCGTGTACAACTCATGTCAAACTAAGTGCTTCATGGTGTTGACAAACACTGCTGCACACTGCTGGCTGTTTTCTGCTCTCACAATCTGTTTCATTATTACCGCAAACAGCAGGATGTAGCCGATCGGGAAAGCGGCGATCACGTCCGGTATGAACCATGTCCTCAGGTAGCTGAGTCGGATCCGCTTGATGTCCAGAATAGCTTCCTGTGAAGAGAACAGAGCAGCAGGTTCAGCAGATGGATGAAGATGCTGCGAGGCGCGCTTGACACGGTCAGATGTATAATTGAACACTCCAACTGAACCAATATGATGGGAGTTTGTCCACAAATTAGAGCAGACAGTGGCGAGATAATCAGTGAGCTCAAAGACAATTCACTTCAGAGAGTAGTTGGACTGTCACTGATGCTCACACATGAATATTTCAGGCAGAGAGCGGCTTGAGAATAAATCTGGCAAAAGCAGATGCTTGTGCAGAGTAAACACCTCGGTCCAAAAACAACACAGATGTGCCATTTGTGATTGGCGAGATAGAGGTCAAAAAGTACGAGGAGATGAACACAAACAGGATATAGTCTGCATAATACTTAATTTGAAATGTTATACTTCTCATTTATCCAGAACATCATAATCCCTGTTATAAAATCAAACAGCAGGTGCCAATTTCGCCCATGTCCAGGCGCATAGGGGGGGGCGGGGGGATGTTGGTTAATCTAGCCCTTTCGTGTATTGAGTGGATTACAGATGGGGCAGAGATGGATTGTATGTGCACGTCTGCACGGAGATTATACTCTTCCAGATTGTGTCTGAATACAGAGTACAGCCACTCTCACCTCGCCGTCCTCTGCTATGATGCCCATTCGGAAATTCAGAGCCACGTCTATCAGGAAGAGTGTGTCTGAAAACACGTTAAATCCTTCCCATGCCATGCCGCTGGTTCCATCCACGAAGGCTATCTCCATGGGAATGCCAATCAGGTTGAGGAACGTGATGGCCATCATGCCCATGATGTAGTAACTCCTGTAGGAAAAGATCACAAACAGAAACATATGTGTGTGAGCCTCAGATCTCGTAGTGGGAAGTCTCAGTTCATTTGCCAGGAGAACTCATTAGAGAGCATGCTGGGTAATGCAAGCTGATTTATGCACACTAAGTACTGATACTGTAACTGCGTCTCAGCCAGGGTTCGATTGCCAGGCTCAAATTACTCTGCTCTCTGATCCCAAACATTTCCCTCTGTTTTCAGTCCAAATGATCACCTTACAAACTAATAACAATCATTCAAAACCAGATCCATAAAAAGGTTTTTCCTTTTCATTATGACGCCTGGATTCTTCCTAAAAAACACTGAAAAGAACTACAATTTCAAGATCGACCATTTATCAATTATTCATTTTTCCTATCGGTTACTTGTTTTGTCCTTTCTTTCTCTTTGCATTTTTAACTAATTGTATTTTTCTGTTGCAAAAATCATTATCAATGATGTGTTTATTTATTGATTTATGCTTCTTAGTAATCCCACATGCAAGCAGGGAACCAAAATAAGTGGCTTGTAGATTAGCCTCACTCTCAAATAAAAGAAATACACAATGGTAATATATTTAGTGGCTGGTAAAATGTTAACATTGAATACAAATGCAATGCAATCCAACAAAGAGCCTGAACGTGATGTGTTGTACAGAGAGTTTATAGCTATGGCTTATTTCCAACGTTCCTCCTTAGTTGGGCGCTTAATGTGAAATGTAACGTGTGTAGCTTTCAATATCATAAAACCCCAGTACACTACGATTATAGAAACACAATGAAATACACATACTTACACAAACACACCGTAGTAATTTACAGGAACTTTGTTAAAAATGGGAACAGTGCTGATTTGCTTTGAGCCACGACTGACCTTTGGTGAGAAGGATTGTTTATCTGAAAGTAATTTGATTTCAGTTGGTAATGTGTTTCACAGTTGACAGCTCTCCATGGAGAAAAGTTCAAATTCGATGTATTACAGTTGCCACTAACCATTAACCATTTTCCTATCACTGACGCTGTTACTAATTTGTTTTGTGATATATTTAGATCGAGGGCTAGAACATTCGTACATACAAAAACTCCTTTGAGGAAATGAGTGAAGCTCTGAAAGCTAAGCAGTCTTTTTTTAGTGCCTGATTGAATAAAGATGTGAGACGTTTGATTGTAACAGTGTGAGCTCATGCGGTGATCAAATATGAAAACGATGGAGAAATCATTGAGAAAATGAATGGGCTGCTTGAGTGCGAAAAAGTGCCTGATTGTTTTGAAACAATAAAAGGGAAGTCGTTACGGTTTTGAATTATTCTAAAAATGATTATTTATTCATTATTATTATTTGATACTTTATATATTTGAGCTTTTCCATATTAAACTGTTCCAACTGAAATAATTGACCTCTACTTATTCTTTATTTATTCCATATCTTGATTCTCAAATATTCCAGTAAGCGCTGCTTTCTGATGGAAAAACACACAAAGACATCATTTTTTTTAATTAAAAATGTAATTCTCTGGTGATTTGCTACATGTCCTAACTGGTGAGTATATGACTGCATCATCTGCATAGAGCTCGCGTCCGGCCTCTGGGCAAGGTGTAGGCAGGTCATTAATTAGAAGACTAAATAGCATCGCACTGTTCATTTAACCTTGGGGAATAACCTTTACATTGTTTTATCTTTGTCAACATTCACACACTGCTCTGATGATTATTTTCTTGATGTTTCATTTTATTCTACAAAAAGAGCAGAAGAAATAGAAAAACACTCAAGGTGATGTCATCAAATTGCTTGTTTTTTGCTATATAACACTCAAAAAACTGCAGTGGGACCAATAATGTTTAGTTTTTTTTCAGATATTGAAATGATTGCAGATTATGTTTCTTCCACTCAATTCATTAATCAGCTAATCCTTTCAGAAAAAACCCCAACAAAGAGTAGACTTCTCAAATCTTTGATGCAGAATCAAGCAATGAATCACCTGCAGGACCCATCACAACTGTTGGAGAAATGATGGGGCTACAGAGCGGAGGTGGAGTTTTAGCCCCGGACTGACCTGAATCTATCAGGAATATTAAATACCTCATGAGGCTGAATGGATGGATCACAAAGACTCCGCTCTGCAGCTGGCGCATGCACTCCTTCTCCACGGCCATCTCGCTGCCGTACACGTACAGCGACTGCCGGTTCAGCTGCGGCAGGAGCAGGGCTCTCCACCCACAGGTGGCGGTGGTGCATCTCGCCGTGGGACCTTTTACTTTCTCCATGACCCAGCTCTGGTGCCGTCCGATCAGCCGAACGCGCAGGCCATCCTCCTCACTCTGCTACTGTGATGCTGATCCTGATGATGCTGCTGCTGTGGCTGCTGCTTTTCAGGAGCGTCTGCGAGTGCTGACTTCCCCTCTTGGTCACAAGGTAATTTTTCATCAAGGCTCCCAGCCTCCGGGCTTATTGAAGCTTTGTGGAGCGATGCGAGTGGATACCCGCCTCTCTGCTCGGTCCCTCCCTCTCTCCGTCCCTCCCTCCCTCTCCGTCTCCGTCTCCCTCTCCATCTCCCTCCCTCTCCATCTCCCTCCCTCTCCGTCTCGCTCTCTCTATTTCAGCCCCTACCTCACCGCTCCACGTCTTTTCTTTTTCTCCCGGCTCATCAACTATTCAGTAACTGTGTCTCATCCCCACATGAATCAAGCCATGTCAAGAGGGTAAGGTCGAGCTCACATTAATACTGTACACAATGGCATGTGTGTGTGCGTGTGTGTGTGTGTGTGTGTGTGTGTGTGTGTGTGTGTGTGTGTGTGTGTGTGTGTGTGTGTGTGTGTGTGTGTGTGTGTGTGTGTGAGGGTGTGCGTGGGGGTATGCGTGGGGAGGGGATCACAGTTATTGCCATGTGACCCTGACATCTGGCAGCGTGGGCAGGGTTAAGTTCAGGATGGGCCATCTCTAGCAGGATGTAATTAAACACGGTGCCTTGTTACCTGATGCTGTAGATATGTTTGCTGCTCTCAGCCAGCTCCTGTGTTGTTTGTTTGCACTGTTCACATCAAAACCACAACAACAAACAGCAGCTGAAATAAATCATTCCAAGTAGAGCGGAAAAGATAAGATGAAAAATCGACAGAATAATAATTGGCAATTATTTTGACAATCTTTCAACAGAGCAGCATCCCGGCAGAAACAGTGAAAAGTGTTCAATGTTCTCTGTTTTCAGACACTGAAATTGTCCAATTGTAAATGAAAATAAAATATTTTGGGGTATTTGGACATCAGGTCAAACACAACAAGACCATTTAAGATGTCAATTTGACTGTGAAGTTTTGATGGCCACATTTCTACCATTTCTTTGATGTTTTATTCAGGAGCAACTACTGATTTATTGAGAATATGGTAATGAAATGTATGGTAGCTGTCGTCCTGATTTTAGGATCATAACCTGAAATAGATAGTGCAGCAATGTTTGAAAAATGAAAATAGAAGGATGTAGGGGCAAGGATTAACGGAGGGATTAACTGAGCATGCAAGGTGCATTACTGGAAGTTTAGTGCATGAGATGTGTCTCATACTGTGAGGGACACAAAGATATCTTTAATTTATAAAACATTACACGAATGCATCCCACTTATATTCACATCAAATTCACTAGCATGGTTTTGTTTTCCGTACAGAGTCTTTGTGAAATAGTCTTCAGGCCATAGTGACGCTGAAGAGGATTAAGGGGTTTAGTAAATTGTTGTATAACATATCTATTCTAGATTTCATTCAGGTACTTGTTACAAATAAATCCAAGGTACATTGCTCAATTTGCAACCACAGAATGACAACAAATTAATAAAAAGGTTGGTTCTCATTGCCTTCCTAAACAACTGTTTCATGGTCTTTTAAAAAACTATGAATTGAAGTGTTTTCTGATACAGTTATGGTCTGGTTAAGCAAAGAGACAAAAACACTCATTGGTAAGGTTAGGAAACAATTGTGGTCCTCCTGGTTAAAAATATGTCATGATTCTGTGTTGGCTTTTACTTGCACGACCACAAGAGGTAGCACATGTCAGAAAAAGATTGATATACTCTCAATGTAAGTGTTCAAACCAATAAATCAATATTCAAGTCTCTTAAGAACATAGCTGATCCGGTAAAGTGGGACCAAAATAACTGACGTTTGTTTTTTGCTTTGTTCTTTGCAAAAAACATAGATATGGACTTTTTGTTCCTTACCACAAAAATATCCTCAGATGACTTCACATGTATCTACTTTAATTATATTTAGATTTTTCTAATATTGCGTTATATGTGTTTCTCAGCAGTTTTCGTATGCTGTTGTTTTGCACTTTATGGTAATTTGATCATTATTTTGTTTTCCACCAGGACAGGGAAACATAATGTAAGTCCTCTATGTACTGCCCTGTGTACTGTATAGCTAGATGAAAATAAAGTCTCTTTTATCTTTGTCCTTGTCACAATCCAGTAACTTTTTTCTTTTTTTTCGAGCACTGCCTTACATTGTTTTGGAGTTTTTTGTTTCTTATAAGTTCTCTGTTCCAACAAAGCTTGTTAGAGTATACAGTAAATGGGAGTTTTTGTATTAGCTACATATCCTACTCTGATTAAATAAAAATAGACAAAGGGTGCTTACACTTTTTTCTCTCCTTGGCGCTGCTTTATGCACACAGGAAGAGGAGATGGCAGACGATCAGGACTTTCACCGTGGTCCTCTCCAGGTGCCAGATTTCTACACAGAACACAAAAACAAAAAGAGAGTTCGGGTAAAACTAAGAGTTAAATAAAAGGTATTTCATTGCCCGTTTATAATTAGCATTTGTACCAAACTATATGGATTCAACTACTGTGGTTTCGATTGGAGGTGCATATCCATCACACAGGACGGAGAAAATGAATAATATGCTTAGCTGCTCATTTATCTAGCACACTGCTGGCCCTCAAACTATAATAAGTGACTCAGTGTCCCTGCTTACGCACTGCTTTGCTTTACTGACGCACTGTAGACCCAGTAGACATGTGAAAAAACACATTTCTTCAGTATTATAGGGCAGTAATAAGTATTTTTCATATTCAAAAACTCCCAAGCCACAGAAGTGTATATGTTCTTCCCACCAGTAAATACATTTTACATCACAGGATGCCAAAGTAGCTGCAAAACAGCAGTATTTATTAGGGCTGCACGATATTGGAAAAAACTGACATTGCGATATTTTCTTCCCCTGCGATATATATTGCGATATGAAAAAATACAGGAATTGACCATCCATCCTTTCTTGAACTTTCATGCTATACAATTGGTATTTTTTTAACAATATTTAACCGGATGAAGGATTTTAGTCACGGACTTCTGGATCTTAAGATATCTTAATTTTTTTTAAATCGCACGTCCCGCGATGTGAATATCGCGCATGCGCATAACGCAATTATCGTCACGACATGATATATCCTGCAGCCCTAGTATGTATGTTATGTAGCTGATGTTAATTCTCTCATATTGTGCTTTATATGTTTCTTCTATCAAAACAATGTAAACGCACTTAAACATTTACATATTTTGATATCAATTCTGTAAATCAACATCATAAGTCATTTCTGTTTATTTGTATTGAGTTGTACAGATGTAGTCTTTTAAACTGTAAATTAAATGTTTTGTTTGACTACAATTATTTTGTGGTTATTTCTACTATATTGTAATGTCCTGTCCAGCATTTGTTAAAAAGAATTACAACATTAGCTTTACTGTAGGTTCACTTTTTTACAACCCAATTAAACCAATTTGAGAATCATGTTTAATAGAATAAGGAAACTGGTGATTAACTGTGGCACATGTAAGATTCACTTTCAAAAAGGGATGAATATATGAAATAGTTCCACCAAAAAAAAAGCAGTTTGAAAAATTAATAACTTGAGTTTATTAATGTTAGCTTTAAGCTAGTTTTGTTTTAGCTAGTTTAGTTTAAGCTAACATTATTTGACTTTTTTAATTGTTTTCATTAAGGTCAAATATAAACTTTTATGCGCCAAGAAAACAGCATTTCTCTTAAGGAATCACAATAAAACGTAATATTAAAAAACGTACCTTGTATATATATATAAAACATATATGCTCTGGACTTCAGTCGAGGCATGTTTTGCTCTCTTCCAGCCGTTGTGACAGAATAATTACTACATTTCCCAGAAGCCTCTGCAGCCGGTTTTAATCACGTGACTTTGTATAAAAAGCGAACACGTGAGTCTCCTACCATCGTGTTACTTTCTTTTTGAAGGTGAAATCATCTGATAACTTGAGCCTTCGGCCTTTACACAAGTAAGTAACATAACGAAGATCTCTCAGCTGCTGTTTTAACTTATACACTACGCTTTCTGTTACCTTAAATGCATTATTTATCCGCCATGACACCGCATTACATAAACGTGTGTGTTCGCAGCCGTTAGCAACTGAACGTTATGCAATGTCTCTTAAAGCCATTTTATGCTGTCTGTGGCTAAAGCTAGCAACATTAATGTACAGCAAATCACATGATGTTTTTGTCCAGGTGTTTCCTCTACTTGAACGCATCATAGAGGTTTTTTATCATTTCAAAATGCTCGTTTTGTGTGCTGCATTTGTGCCGATGCTGTCATCTAAGCTAACGTTACATCAGGCCAACCCTTCAGTGTCACTAGGCTTTCAAACATTATTATCATTGCCTACATTTTGTTTTAAATCCCTTTTTGTTGTTCTTCCAAATACTAGTTAAGCAGAGTGCATAGTCTTGCTCTGTACTTTTCTTGGTGGATGGGTTTATAATTTGAATTGTTGGTTGCTTCAGTTTAAATGCTAAATATTTCCTAGTTCCTGGTTCTCACTATGCTTTACATAAATTGCAAAACTTAAGTAATATGCAGCCCTGCAATGGTTTAAACGGAGATAGGAGCAACTTTATTATGTGTTCAACACTTTTGATAAAATAGTTTATGTCCAACCTTCTGTCTTAACTGATTCAGCAATACAATTCACTCACTGAATTTAAATGTGTAAATAAATTCCCCACTTTTGTACAGGAAGACCTTGCATACTTTATTTGGTTTGTATGTAACATTACACTTGTCCAAGACCATTTTATTGTGGCTAAACATTTATTTACAGCTGTTTTTCTATCAAATGTCAAACTTTAGATTTGGATCAAAGGCCTTTAGCTCCTTCTCCCTATCCTGAAGGTCAGCCTCTGTGAGTTGATCAGGGCTTGTCTGTTTTCTTTAGAAACTAGTTGTAGCCCCAGGAACAACATCAAAGTGAAAACACTGTTCTCTAATGTCAGTGCCTTCGTTTCAAGTCTGCTGCCCGAGGTATTAAAAGCATCTGATAACTATACATTTATAGTTTCAGCCTGAAGATGTCGACCGTGTCTGCTGCCAGCCTGGAGGCTCCTGCTGTGATCGAGGCCCCTGAGCAGAAGAAGCCTCTGAAGGCATGCTGTGCTTGTCCAGAGACTAAGCAAGTCAGAGATGCTTGGTAAGTAACTGTCCAAAGAATGAAACTGCTTCTCTCTCTCTGTAACAAAACATTTCTTAATTTCAGTTTTTTTTTTTAATTTCCAGCATCATTGAGAAGGGAGCGGAAAGCTGCACAGAGCTGATCGATGCACACAAGGACTGCATGAGGGCTCTTGGATTCAAGATATAACTACTCTATTTTGTGTGTGTGTGTGTGGTAAGCATCAAACTGCATGTTGTTCTATCAACTTATTTGCAAGTATAATTTCTTCCTGCTGGGCCATTTGTAACCCTGAGCTGTCACGATTCATCTTTTGTGTTCAAGACAGACTAGAACACCAGTGCAGTCATTATAATCGAGTACAATTTGAGAAATGATTAGTGTTGTCAGGTGGAATACATGTCCTTTTATGTGGGAACATTCACCACAAATGTCCAGAGTCAATTGTGTTTTCTGTTCTCTTTTTTTTAACATTTATATTTTATTAAACATTTTCAAAAGACAAAAGGACAAGGACATGGCTCACATACATTACAAGTAGGACATAACATGGAGGGTGTTTTCTGTTCTTAAGACACAGCAGTATGGCTAAAAGTAGCATGGAAATATTTGCAGTAGTGCGAAATGCTGCATGTAATGAACGGTTCACCCTCAATTACCTTTTTGTTATGATACTAATGAGACTTCCTGCAGGCCATATTAGGCCTTCAAAACAACCTGACCTCATTTGTGTAAAACTGGCTGCTCAAAGTCTGAAAAATAAATGCAAACTTAAAAGTGAATCATGGCTTTGATGCACACCGTGAACGCAAGGTTTGGTAAATCTAAAAGATACAATTATAAATAATTCAGCGTTTTGCTCTGTGTGACCTCTACACTTTATATATTGTCTCCATTTCATTAGATGCCTCAAAAATATACCCAATTGAACTTGTACAGTCTGTTTTTTGTTGTATTAGACTGTACTGATGGCACACTGCTGCCAAATGTAGCTTGATAACCTTAGGTCAACTTGAATCAAATCAGTCTGGTGTAAGTGAGCATCTGCCATTTTGTGAACCATGTAAATGCCCAACTTAATTTAATTAACTCCAAATATTGGCAGTAATGAAGCCATTTGTATTCACTAGGCTTTACAGTGTCAAGTTTCCTCTTTCTGTGTCTCCTGGCTAATGCTGATTTCTTCCATTGTTTTGCACGTACTGCAGTGTCAAACTAGAGAATCATGTAATGAGTGTGCTGCGAAGTGTGTGAGGATGAAAGGGGGGAGGAGGGGTGGAGCAACTGTCTTGTGTGCTTGCGTGACCACACATGAAACATGCCTGCAGCCGTGCGGCTCGGGTCACGTTTCAGCAGCTCAATTGGCAGTCTGGCATCGCGTTTATGTTCACTCGCTCTTGTGAAATGGAGAACGTTGAAGCACTAGGCTGGAAGACATATGAAATACTACTTAGAAATTATGCTACACGGCTAAATCATTAAACATGTTTTTCACTGAATGTACAACCAGGCCTGTGTTTGCTCTGATCTCAGGGTTTATTATAAGTCTTTTATACATTTGCAAACAATTTATTTATGCTTTTAATCATAGCTCTTCTGTTTTTTCTCCTGCAGTGTGTTGCTGTGCAAGACGACCCTGGGTGTTCCCCTCTTCTTTCCCACCCCCTCCTTATTTATACCTCGACTGGAAGGGAAATGTGACGCTGCACTTCAGCTCTGCTGGCTCGATTGTCTTTCTCTGATAGTTTTTTAAACAGTTTTCTGAATTTGAAAAATGTCTGATTGTCTACATTTCTATATGTTGAATAAAAGTCCTATGCAACAAGACGGGTTGTCATGTTTTAATGTAGATTTAATGCACTTACAAATGTATTCTTGGTTTCTGTATTGGCATTCCTTTCTCTCAGTGAAAGCTTCCCCCCCCCCACAGTTGCTGTCCCCGGTATGCATTTAGGCCTAAAATAACTTCTGCCCCTGTAAAGTCAATACTTGGCATATCTGCATTCTTCCCCTGTAGTGGGTCAGTGTTGCTGAAGTGTGCCTGATAGTGGACATCTAGTTGGACACTTCCAAAAATCCAGCTGGAAATGCTAAGCTACAGCAACTCTGCAGTCGTGTTTACAGTAACTGTTTATCCTCTTAATGCCAGTCAATGTATTGCAACGGTAATTTTATTTACCTTGAATTGTTAAGCTTTCTAGTAGGGTTAGGGTATTAAGTATTCTAGATCATTTTGTCTACTTGTCAAACTGTTTTGACACTGACACTTGACACCTTTTCACCCTCTGTTTGAAACCAGAGCCCAGTCTGCTTTGGTTAGCTGGCCAGCTCTGTGATTGGTCAAGAGATGTCCCGTCCCTAAGCCTATCAAGTACGATGTGTTGGAGCGCTAGACAATAGAAGCACAAGTGTTACATGTTATGGAAGTAAACAAACATAGTTTCAGGCAGGGGGTAGTGAGTGGGAATTGGGGATTTTAGCCTTTGCAGACCATTTACATGCACACAAACCTATACAACACACTACAGGAAAGGGAATAACCCAAAAAGAATAATGGGGCCTCTTTAAAAAGTTGTTTGCTGAATTTCAAATGTATGTATTTAAAAGAGGGGAGTGGTCCTGGCTGAGAGCAGAGCCTGATATGTGAGGGTGTTTATAGGCCCACCTGATATCTGACCTGTGCAGTCATCCTACTTTTTTCCGTGTCTCGAAATATGCTCCGAGCTGCACTCCTCACAGAACACTGGGCTCACAAAGTTTAGGCAAAGTAAGAACTGTTTTTTTTTTTATGTACCACTGAATCCCTGTCACAGATATTTGTTATATTCCCTGTCCTCTCTCCCGCTTCCTGCCTCTCTCTCCCTCTCGTTCTGTTATGTTAAGTAGCAGGCCTGCTTTCTGTCCACCACTCTCCTCCTTGGGTTTCAATTCCAAACATGGTTATCCTTCTAGGGCCCATATCAACGCCCACCCTCCCTTATCCCTTCTCTTCCAGCTGTTGGCTCGACATTGCAGGCCGGTGGCTGAAAGAAATAGCCAGAGCGAGGGAGACGACAGGAAGACTCGGGAGGGAAAGACTGAGGAGAGGAAGGGATAATGAGAGAAGAAGAAGAAACCCATTCCAGCTGTGTTTCGATAACAGAGCCGTGAGAACTTCTTCACATTGAGGAATTTTCCACGGCACGCCAAGGGAACAAACTTCTGACATTCTCCTGTCGGCATTTTTTTTTTTTCCACAAACAAAACATCTACTTGTACATGTTGACGGGACATAAATAGCACCACAGTTCATTGAACGAGAAGTTGAATTTACTGTTTTAGTTTGGTGCATCAGAAGCCTCTCCTCAGCTTGTCATTTTGAAGACAAACATGAGCAACTTGACTCTGCTGGAGAGCTTGTTCTTCCCTCCTCTCTGCGATGGCTGGACCAACAACACAGAGGGAGCCATCTACCATTTGGGCAACACCATGCTGGTCCTGGGCTACATGGGGGGCAGCGGGGCCTACGGGTGCCTCTTCATCTTCGGCTTCCTGACTCCAGCCTTCGGGTGCCTGACCCTGTGGGGCTGGATGACGATGTGCGGCCTGGATGTTTTCACCTGGAACCTCCTCCTGCTGCTGGCTTGCCTGGGTCAGATCTGCCACCTGCTGTACCGGCTGCACCAGGAGGGGATACGCAGCGAGGAGATGACCTCCCTCTACCAGGCGGTGTACCTGCCGCTGGGCGTGCCCGTCCAGGTGTTCCAGGAGATCGCAGGCGTCTTTGAGAGCAAGGTGGTGGATCTGAAAGCAGGAGAGACGTACGCTGTGGAGGGAAAGACGCCCATCGACCAGCTCTCTTTTCTGCTGTCTGGGAGGTGTGTGTGCATATGGGAATTACGTGTTACACACCTGTACTACATAATGCAAACCACCAGACATGTCCCTACCATAATACAACACTTGATTAAAAGTAGCAACACCACACATGTAAAAAACACTACTTCTTAAACCTACAATAACGTTTTTTTGCTAGATACAGGCAGTGGAAACAAGCTTTTACCACAAAATCAGTTCTATCAACTTTGACACAGTGAACGTGTTGGCAAACAGTTGCTTACTTACATCTGGCAGACATTAGCATTCATTTGGAGGTGTTGTTAAGCACCTACTTCGAATGATGCAGTCCTTTAAATGGCTGTTATCAGTTATCTGGTTAGCAGAGGCCTACACGTACAAGTAGGTTCAGGCTGTTATAATACATTCAGTTGGTTGCTTACTGATATAATCACAGGACGGTGTAATCAAAGGACGGCTGTAGTAAATGTAAATGGACCAAAGAAGGAATGTTGGTGATTGACATAGTATGAAGACTGATACAAATTCTTAACAATACATTACTTTTAACCCATGAGACCAGAGTTTGTGTGAAGAAGTCAACGTTGAGTTATTTTAACAGACCTCCCATACATAAGATAAGTTACATGACTAGTTTTGCACTTATTTGAACCTGAACCATGATCTTTTCCTAGGACCAACCACGTAGTTTTGGCGCCTTACCCTAGTGTAGTGTAACTAAAAGTGAAACCTGACAAAACTGCGACCCTTTCATAATGTTTCTCATGCACCTTCTGGCCTGCTGGTGGGTGCAGTTTGCCCCTTGATACATTACAATGGTAGTGAAACCAACTGATAATAGTAATTTAATGGCCTCATAACATTTTAAAAGGATGGTTTATGCTACTCTATGATTTTAAGCCAAATATTCAGTTTCTTTTAGCTCTGTTTTTGGTCTCCACCAACTCTCTTGAGATGTTATTTGCGTCACTTTGTTCACCAGCTAATCTTAAACTGTGTCTGTCTGCTGTTTGCTGCTGAGCTGATAGTGTACAGGTTTCTTTAAATAACATTTTAGAGTGAGAGTAAAACTAATCAGTAAAGTTGTGCTTGTCATAACAAAACAATAAGTTGCAAGATGCTAAAACGCTCCGATAAGCTAAAGTGGAGAACTGCTGATAACAATAAATAATTTGCATTGGTAATTTAAAGTGTTTTAAATCAAAGTACCACACCTATCAGAGATGTCACAGTGCACCAAGGTGACAAGTTAAACCGTGCAAAAAACATTTTCTTTGCTACGTTGCTTCTAATTGTCAAAATAGAACGCATATTTATATTAAATTATAATGAATGTACCTATGAACAATTTCTTCTTCATGCATTAACAAGATGACTATATTTTGTAAGTAAAGTACAGGTCCAACCCTCGTTGTCAGATAAATGCAGTGTAGCAAAAAGTAAATGATTCCCCTCTTAGATATAATGGAGTTGAAGCAGCGGTAAATGGAAATACTCAAGTATCCCAAAATTGCACTTTTAAACCTCTTAGCATCTCCTTTTCCAAACACTCAAAGAAACGTACAAACTAAAAGCTTCCCAAAGTAGTTATTGGGTATTTTATTTAACCTTTTTAATAAGGAAGACTTGTATTACTTTGCCATTTTTTAGACACAGCTATTAGTTGTTGTTGCAGGTTTTAGTGTCACTCCAATTAACAGACAAAAGGGTGTATTTATAATAATTTTGCACAATATATATGTGTACACTGTAGTACTTCTTAGTCTTAATTTATCCTACTTCCTACTGTTTTTAGGAAATCTTCTATTTTACTGACTATTGCAGAACTAGCCTCTTTTTGGACTCTTTCATGCAGTTGGCAGAGTGTGACCGTCACAGGAAATGTATCCTCTTCATCCAAACATCCTCAAAGTAGAGCTGCATTAGATTTCACAGTCCTGGAGCCGGCACAAGAGAAATGTTGTAAACAGAGTATTTTTGGCAGTGACTCACCACTGTGTCGTCCCTCTGCTCTCTGCCGGCTGGTTAAATGATATCTTTGTACTTTAGGAACGGAGTGGATGCAGAATGCTTCTCTTTAAAAAACATAGAACAATTGGCCATGCTGCTCACAGTTTAGTGTACAAAAAACAACACAAACATAAACGCATATCATAATTTGTGTTACTTTGTTCATGTTCAAACTCATTTATTTTGTAAATAGATTTAAAGTCATTACTGATATGTAGTCAACATTTGTTCTTAGTTTCACTGTCCAGTCTCCTGTTTGGTATACTGTACATGGCCACACAAAGTGACATCACTATGTAACAATCAAGCTATTAGCTAGCGCTCCTACACATTGTACATGATAGGCTAAGGGGGTGGGACATCTCTAAGCGGTTGACCAATCACAACAGAGCCGGGCCAGCCAACCAATCAGAGCAGACTGGGCTCTGGTTTCAGACAGAGGGTGAAAAGAGGTGGTGCAGCACAGGCAGTATGAGAAAAATAAAGAGCTTTTTGAACATTAAAGCCTGGAGACATGTCACAGTAGAGACACTACATACAAATATAAACCTGAACATCAGCATAAAAAGGCCTCTTTAATATAATTTAACATATGCACACAGCGCAAAACAGTTTCAAAAACTCAACAGCAATTTCTTCCTGGAAATCTGGGTTACTCAAGATAATTCAAGTACTTACATTCAATAGCGCCATTATTGCTTACATCCCTTCAACTCAGCCTTCCTTTTGTGTGGTAAAAAAGTTGTTGGGAGTAAATGAGTAGAAAGAAAATAGGTCATATACTGTATGAAACTGCAGAAATAACATGCTTTAGGATACATACAACAAAGTAGCCTACAGTCTCTGCAGCACATTTATAGCACCAGAGTCTACAAATCCTTGTAGAGAGAAGTGCTATTTGGGGTGATAGCTGTTAATTAACACCCGTTGTTGTGAAGAGTCTAAATAAAGATTTTTCCACAAAGAAAGACTATAAATAGTGAAGAAACACTTGAGCATTCCTCTTATTACAGAATACCCTATTTATGATCTTTTGCATTTTAGATTTCCTTTATTAGTTTGTAGCAGTGGTGGAAAATAAGTCAATTTACCAAAGACTTTAAAGGTGGGGTATGTAATTTATTTCAGAAACACTTTTTGTTATATTCCATGGAATGCTCTTAACATCCCGATAGCAATGAATACATTAAATGCTTTGACAATAAATCCATAAAAAACCTTCATCTGTGGAAGCCGTGGCGCTGTAAAAAGCACGACCAATCATCTGAGCCGGCCCGGCTAAAATAACTGGATGGCCTACCTGCCTGTCAGCCTTCCATCTGTGCACAAACTTATCTCGTGCCCTCATTGGTCATGTGCACGTTCGTGTGCGTTGGAGGAGGGGCTCTGTAAGGAAGTCTGAAGGAAGGGGCAGATTTTTTCCGGTTGTGTACTTTCAAATTCTAGCACACTCGAGCTGGTTTCTCCAAAATGACATACCCCACCTTTAAGTGTTGACAGAGTATTTCTACACTGTGGTTTTGTATTGCATAGTTTACAGTGACTTGCAGTTAGACTTGTCATTGACTTATCCATTGTAGCTGTCAGTCACACATTAAATCTAGCTATCATCTCTTTAATAAAAAAAGAATGCTTTATTTTTAAGAATAATTGACTTTTTTCCTGTAGATGTCAGGTGATTGACATGAAGCAGATCGTTTTCTCACTGATGTTCGCCTCACATTAATGACGTAATGCATGAAGGCTGATGTTCAGTGTGCTGGATTATCTCACTCTGCGGAAGTTATTCTTTTATTAAATAAAACTTCCTTCAGCGGTAGGAATGTCCCAATGTCCTTATCTTGGCAGAATCATATGTTAGTTGTAATGTTTAAGTGTCAAATACATGTAGTGAAGTTAAAAGAAAACAATGTCTGCCTCCACAAAAGTTGGAATAAAAGTATAAAATTGTATTTCATGGAAATAGTAAAGTACAAGAATGTCAATATAGCACTTTACTAAATGAACTTAGTTACTTTCAGCCACTGTAAGCTTAAATAACTCTGCAGTCTTCAGTGAAGTGGCCTTGGCAGATATATTTATTCCAAGATTTACTTGCAAAGTGACCTCAACTTTCATTATTACTTCCTAATCCCTTCTGTCTTTTAAACCTTCTTTCTGTCTCTGTCTCTCTCCCTCAGGATCAATGTATCTTTGGAGGGTCAGTTCCTGCACTACATCCACCGCCACCAGTTCCTCGACTCTCCAGAGTGGGAGTCTCTCAGACCAAACGAGGAGGGAAAGTTTCAGGTACAGGAAGTTTACTTTACTTGAGGGTTTGTAAATCTAGAATGTGGCAGTAATTGAAGGATTTGGAACAAGAAACAAAGACGTGGATATCAAGTTGTCTTTTGTTATATCGGACTCAGTGTATGACTGATAAGATGAACAAAGCAATTGTCTTCTACCATTCACATATCCTGTTGCTTGAGGTTCTTCGAGGGTTAGTTGTCAGGGTTTTCAAACAGAAAGGCTATGCTTATTTTTAATTAATGAGGTGTAGGCTACAACTGGAAACATGGCTGCATTTAACTGTTATCGGCCTTATCAATAAATCAGCTGTTTACTCTCTAGTCTTTAATCAGATAAACAGTCTAAAAAACCCAAACATACTTATATTACCACTAAATTACAAAGAAAAGCTTAAAAAACACACATTTGAGATTCTGAAAATAGTTAATTGCTTGGCTTTTTTATTTTTTGGCTGGGAATATTCTGTGTTGTTGGTACAGCATGAATGAACCCTAACAATTAATTGAGTGTGGCCTTAAGGTCTTTTTCGTGTTAACATTTTTTGTTAATAAGGGCTGTTAGCTAGTTTACTATTTAAATTCTAGTACACTTAAACAGGTCTAAAGTTTGGACTAAACCTAGCAGCTTTCAGTCTTCATGCTAAGCTAAGCTAACCAACTGTTGGCTCTAGTTTTATCTAGTAAATGACAGTTAAGTAGTATCAACCTTTGGAGCTAACTCTCCACAAGGGTGCAAATTTGTGTTAAATTCGCTTTTTAAAACATAGGTTAATCAAAATTTGACAATGTTAACGTCCATGTTTGCTAGCTTAACATGCTGCTCAATCCAGCTGCTAGTAGTCAAAAACCCCACTAGGTGCCTTTAACTCTTTGATATTAATGTCTTTCATTAATGCTCCCCAGGTGACGATGACAGCAGAAGAAGACTCTCGCTACATATCGTGGCGTCGCCGTCGCCTCTACCTCTTGATGTCGAAGCATCGCTATATCTCCCGCGTGTTCTCCGTCATGCTGGGCCACGACATCGCCGAGAAGCTCTACAACCTCAACGACAAGCTATACATCAAGTGCGGCGTGCTGCTGGACATCCGCCTGCCCAGCCTCTACCACGTGTTGGCCCCTTCCTCTCAGAGCAGCGAGGGCAGCGAGGTCAAAGAGCATCTTCATCATCAGGGAGAAGACCCAGCACCGACCTATCAGACCTCAGAGACCTCAGATCCAGACGAGTTTCAGCCCAGCCTGCAGGGACCAAGAACCCCCCACCTGGAAGACCCCCAGAACCCCCTGAACGACCGCCATCACATCCCCTGGGCGTCAGACCCCGAGCTGCCCACCGGTGAGGACTCCACCAGCCTGGTCCTGGAGGATTTTGCCGATGTGGCAGGCTCCTTAACGGATTATGGCAGTGAGAGGGATTATTTGAGGTAGAGGGGCATGGAGGGGGCTGCGGCTAACACACTGGGTCACCACTTAAGCTACATGTAAGTACCTCACCTGCACGGAGACATGGGGTGCATGCTTAGTGTGTGCGTGGGGGGTTTGCAGTGCACATTTCTTACTAACCCGGCTTCAAAGTGAAACGAACACTAGTAAAAAAGAACAGTAGTAATATGGGTACTTTACAGAAATAACCCTAAATGCAATAGCGGAGAATGGCTAAATTCATTCAAGTATTAAACTGCTGGAATTTTTTTTCCTAAAACAGGGCCGTATGTTTATTAGAAACCATTTGTAAAATTGGGAATGCACATCCAGAAGAGTAGAAAAGAGCTACGTTTAAAGTTTAGTTAAAAAACTACAACAACCACAATGCACTGGGCTTGTTGCACTGATATCGGCCCAATTCCAAATCACACCCTACCCACTCCCACTCCGTGACGGAGTGACAGTCGCAGCTCAATGAGGCTCCCTCCTGTCAGATGGAGGGAGTAAATACAGCGGCAAGCTTTGGGACAAACTCCCCTCTCTCTGGCAGAAACAGGAAATGCCGTAACTGTATGTAACAACGGTTTCAAATCAGCATCTCTTTGACAAAAAAATGTAAATTAATAACTCAAATAAAACTCCAAACATCTTTAATTGTGTTACTTTTTTGTAAAGCTCTTTTAGTTTTAAACCTGATGTTTCTAAGCTTCTTAGTTTTTGCAACAATCTGTAAATATACACAACTTTATAATAAAATGCATAGGTATGACTAAACACAGGTATGATCCTAAGTTTAAAAAATATGAGGTTATCATGAGGTTGTTAACATCGCAATTTATCAGTGAATGTTTGCAGGAACTGTTAGTAAACAGCTTGTTTCCTGACGGGCACGCACAGCATTGAGTCCGGTCAGGTAGGGCAGCACGTGAAGTCAGCACCGATGCAGACCATGGGTGTTTCTCAATGTCGAGTACGCTTGCTTGGTAGCACATGTCTTCCGAGTCACTTGCTTCAGAAGTGAGGCAAGAATACTTCCTGGCATTCGGAAAACAAAGAGTGGAACAGGCTAGCAAGTGTGCAGGTGTGCGTCATATGAGAGGCCCCGTCTTACATTTTCCGCCACAGATTTGGGGAAATTGGTCCGTGCGCAAAGCATTGTGGGGATTTTAAGACCGCGGAGTCTACACATGTGCAGCCTCGAAATTTCTCGCTACGAAGTACGCCGGGCTCGGTAGAATTCCAAGTATGCTGGACATTGGAACAGTCCTTCGGCGGCACTCGATGACGTAGTATGCTTGAAATAGTGGCTCTGGAGCAGCTTTACTCGAGATTGAGAAACACCCCATGGATGTATAATAAGAACTGGATAGAGAGGCGAAGTCCCTCCCTTCTACTTTCGACCCATGGGACCTTATTTCGGAAAAATTATGTATTGAAGTCAACGGGGAGAGAAAGATTATCTTTCGATCCCGTTTGAATTGTGCCACGAATTACACATATGATGTTTGTCAATCTTAAAAAATAATTTCCATGTAAAAAAAAGTCACAGTTTGTCGTAAAACTGTTGAAATATAAGACTATGAAAAATACGCAACTAGAAAGACTACAAATCCCAGAGTCGCGTAAGTGATGTCATTAACGTTACACATTACACTCGTGTTACTCACCGAAACCTTGTAAAGCCGGTCTTTTGCTGGCTCTTACGGAACCGACTAACTCCCCTTGTGTGTATGTACAGCTCTCAACAGGCCCAGACTTGAAGTGATTTTCACCTCTTTTAATACTTTTCGCCTTATTCTGAAAGAAAGAGGTGAAATATGCCAACGTGACGGCCGTCTTGGTGTTGGTGACGTGTGCGAGACCAGAGATGTAGTTCATTGAGCGTTTCACACAAAAAAATGTGTTACTTCACAGTTTTACGACACATTTTATTTTTTTTGACTTTCAAAATTATCTTTTAAATTCACTCTGATGAAAATATCTGTTGTGTCCAAACGGCGGTACTACTACGTCCGTGACGTCACTGGGCCCAGAAAGACTTTTCCCCATTGACTAACATTGGGAAAGAGACGTCTGTAAATCAGCGGATACTTTTTTAAAAACTAAATAAACTACCCAGTATGAACTATTTTATAGCACTTATTATAATCATTAGGTCCTTAAAGTTGTAAAATGCACTAAAAGCCGAATCTAGTTTTCTGTCTCCATTCATTCTACTGAGCCGAGAGTGGGAGCTCGGGGGGCGGGGCTCAAGGGGTGTATGCTCTGTGAGCGCACATACCATGGATGTATAATAAGAACTGGATACAGCGTGGGAGGCGGGGCCTCATTCATTCCTATGAGAGTTGCTCATTCGCGCATGATGATAAAATGGCCCAACTTTTGAGAGAGCGAAACGTCACAGATTACCCAGCATGCCTGAGAAGTACCCGTATGTGCGCTCATAGCGCATGCGCAACTTTAACCATGCCCCCCAAAATGCTCGTTCACATCAAGCACGTCAATTTGCGTACACGTAACAGCACCGCACGTTCATGACAGCATGGTAATGGTTTGTTATTATGATAGATTTGATATTAACGAGGCGGCAGTTAGCAGCTAGCGGTTAGCTAGTAATTATGCTAATTTACACATCAATCGTTATGTACTTTTATATTACGCTGTAACAGGATCTAGTGATATCCAAGCAACAGAGCTTCATTTAGCATGAAAGAATTATTGCACTGTATATATATATATATATATATGTATATATATATACAGTGCAATAAGCTTCTTAGTGCAATAAGAAGCTACAGGGACGTTAATCTACGTCGGTAATATTAACTTTATTTAATACAATATTTACGGTACAAGATTTAATCATACAGCCCATGTAGTATAATATTTTACAAATGATGAATTACAGCAAACATGTGCAATATATCCATTATTACAGCTCCGTGGGCTGGCAGTAAGGCGATATGGGTCCGTTCTTATTGTGCATCCATGGGTAAAGATAAACGCATGTAGTGCTGAACACGTAACATGAACGTGCCGGGCGGCGCGGTCCCGTGGGTTAGATGCGCGTTCATAATGCAGAGGGAAATAACTCACAGAATAACGTTATTAGCACATTTTTACAACTTGAGGAACGAATGTTTTTAATAAGGGCTATACAAGTGTTCATACTGGGTAGTTTATTTAGTTTAAAAAAAATTATCCAACGATTTACAGACCACTCTTTCCCCATGTAAGTCAATGGGAAAAAGTGTTTCCGGGCCTGGCAACCAAAAGGAAGTGTAGTACCGCCGTTTGGCCAGCACGAATATTTTCATCTGAGTCCGGCGCACTTCCTGGGGGCTTGGCACATACGGGTTCTTCTGCTCTGACAGCTAGGCATGATGGGTAATCTGTGACGTTTCGCTCTCTCAAAAGTTGGGCCATTTTGTCCTCATGCGCCAATGAGCAGCTCTCATAGGAAAGAACGAGACCCCGCCTCCGACGCTGTATCCAGTTCTTATTATACATCCATGCTCCACACTCGTTGGTTTGGAACAGCACTTAATGTGGCGGACCCTCCACGCGAACGGAGGGGTAGTGTGTAGGGGGTGGATTGGAATTGGGCCATCCTCACCAGCTAGCGGTGCTTCACTCTTGGCTTTGGCAACCTCTTCGCCCAATCAACTCATTTGGGGATACTTGATTTGTACTGGAAATCAAGGGCATGAAAATGTATTATCTGAAGTAACAAAATGTGTGTGTGTGTGTGTGTGTGTGTGTGTGTGTGTGTGTGTGTGTGTGTGTGTCTGTGTGTGTGTGTGTGTGTGCGTTAAAAGGTACAATTTATTAGGTTGTAAGAGCAGAGAGGTCGACAGGTCAGCAGCTGTGTTCTTATCAGAAGGATTACAGCTGGGAAATGTCCAAAAGAAAGCTATTAATCCAGTGTGCCCGGCCGCAATTTGGCTGTCTGTCTGCTCATCTGTTCACCCCGCTTCACCCCCCCCCCCCCCTGCCGGCCCACTATCCCAAAAACAGCCCTCGTCCAATCACAGGTGGAGAATCACATTTCAGAGCTGGGGGGTCAGAGAAGGGTTTGGTTTGTTGGGCGGCTTTAATGAAGGAGGGACAGCTTGAGATGTAGCGGGACAAGTAGTCATATGTTTAACTTTAGTGAAATCTCTTATTGAAAGTGTTTACAAATGTACAGTAGTAACAGCAACATGCACTCCAAGTAACATTAATTGGTAGGGTTTGATAAGTCTCTGAAAGTGACTATTCTGCCTATATATTGTAGCTAGAGGTCAAGCACAATAGTACTGTTGGATAGTTTAAATTGCAGTACAGTATCACGTTTTATAAATGTATACAATGCCTTGTTTTTTAACATTTGAAGCTGCAAATTAACTCCAGCTGTCAGATAAATGTAGTGGAGTAAAAAGTATATTTTTACCTCTGCAATAAAAATGAAGTGGAGTGGAAAGTGGAGTAATCAACAACAGTTAAAGTGGACCTATCATGCTATATTTGAATAATATAGTGTAGGACCATACCTATATAAGGCATATTTATATATATTTTTTTTCAAAATACCAAACAGATCATGCATTTTAGCCATGCCTCATTTCGCTCAATTTGCACTTTTTTAGCCCTGTTTCTGCAAGGGCTGATTCTGTGAGAACAGCACCACCTACAGGCCTGGCATATGTACTACAGCGTCTCCAGCGCTTTCGAACGGCAATGGCCGTGGCTGTCTCCTCCTGATTGGTGGAGTTGGCCCAATAGCCGTAGCGCCACCGTCCTGACGTCAGGACAGTGTTCAAATCTGGATCAGTTTTTATCAGATCCATTGCAGCCCCTTTTTTAGAGATTTGGGTATGGAGGAAAATAGAGAGGGTTGTGTTTTCTGACACTTGGTGAGTTCCCTGGAACACCGGGGACACATATTCATGTATAAAAGACGTACAAAAGTGCATTTTGCATGATAGGTCCCCTTTAAAGTACCTCAAAATGGTAATGAATGAATGGTATTAAATGTACATGTATTTAGTAGAAGATGAAGACACTGATTGCAATTTGCCATGTTTTGAAGTTTCTATCTAGTTTTGAAGTGACACCGCAGCACATCTTCATGGTTGATCCAACTTATTTGAAGTCGCTTTGGATAGAAGTGTCAGCTAAATGAAATGTAAAGTTTGTTTTGTGACCATGAGATCCTAACAGAAGCTTGGATGTTGTCTCTGCAGGCGGGGATGGTAACGGGAAACTTCCACCTCGATTCCTGAGGGGCAGAGCGCCGCTGGCTCCCACCGAGACTCCCAAACTGTGAGAGCAGTTTCTCCTGGAAACACTTTATCATCATCAGCAGTGAGTCTCCTCCTCCCTCACCTCAGTTCACATCATCAGGCCTGAGCACAGAGAAGACCTTCCTTCTCTCTATTTCATTTACAGCCTGAGTGATAAGGATAATATTGATATCTTTTACCAATCAATACTTGTGGAAAGCTGATATTCATCACCATAATAACTTAAATGTATGTTATGTCCACAATTTGTAAGTTCTTTGTGTCATCTGGTCATGATTTAAAGCCTCTGAAGAAGCATTAATGCCACCAAATCTGCCTTAAAATCTTAGAAGCAGGGGGACCCACCACATGTATTCAATTAGAAAATATAGATATTTCAGCATTTCAATGAGCAAAGATGTTATTATAGATTTTTGTAAACACCAAGTGAACCAATACACTTGTCACAGTTCTCAACAAAAAAAAGAAGAGACATGCTGACATTTAATACATCTTAATGACACTTTCATATATGTACCTGAGGACAGAGGGATGGCTTTCACGTTACCAGCATATGAAATGTATTCTGTGATAATTCAACAGATGTATTAAGTGTTCATCTTACCAACAATAAAGGTAAGACATTGACTTCATGTGATTACATTTGACTGTTCATGTTTTTTTATTTCTTCCCACAACTTATATTCAGTGTTACAGAGAATACTATAACTTTGTTACGTCACATTTTCTGGATCTGACCCGTTACAACAGTTTAGAAATAGTCAGCATGCATTTCTCAACTCTTTGTCCTTTTAAATTGTCTGGAAAATGTTTTGCATACTTCACAGGAACTTTTCAGACACGAAACGTCTTCGCAGTTTAGATTTTTTTCCACTTTTAGTTTATTTATCTGATGCCAAATTCATCTAGAGGAAAACCCTCTTATATTACAATGCTTGTAGACCATGTTTTGTGTTTTCTGTAACTGAGTATTTAATACACACATGTAAACTGTGAATCATATAATTTGTCCTGTTATTGACTACAAAAAAACAAACAGATGGGACTAAAATGAAAACGTTTTTTAAAAGTATTTTCATGGGGCCACGATTTCTCCATAAAGCCCTGCGTGTGCAGTGAAAGTGTAGTTTGTTTTCTGTGACTGTCTGCTGTGAGTTATATCGGTTTTTGTGCATGTAAAGCAGGGGTGTCAAACTCAATTTCATCTCGGGCCACATCAGCATTATGGTTGCACTCAAAGGGCCAGTTTTATATATAAGATTATATAAATATATATAAAATAATGTATTATATAACATTATTGCCTCTGCATTGGATTATTATCGGATAGGGTAATAACTTCATAATTATCTTTGTCTGAAAGCAGAAGTCTAGGGCAAATAATTGCAAGTCTCTTCAGTGTGCATGTCACAAAATGATTTAAAAAGAAAAGCCACATTCTGGAGAAAGTCAAAAAAAAGAAGTGACATTTTGTAAAAAAAGTCAGATTCTGAGAAAAAGTCAAATTCTAAGGGAAAAAAAAGGCATAATTTGAGATGCATTGTGGGACATGTAGTTTATGGGCAACGTGCCTCTGTAAATCGACATGTAACCGTATAATAAACATATTATAATCTTTGCAAGCTCTTGTGGGGCCGCATAAAATGAAGTCACGGGCCGGATTTGGCCCCCGGGCCTTGAGTTTGACACCCCTGATGTAAAGGGTTTGCAAAGGCCAAAAATCGCTAAGGTTCCCCCATAGGAAGTTCCTCGAAGCACCATTAAAACTGTAAGTCAGAAAAGATATCAGAAACCTTGAACATCCCAATACCTGATTAGATATTGTAACTAACCAGATAACATTTCAGAGCTGCTTTGGCTGATCATTAACTAAGGTGGAGAAAATGTGAAACAGATGGGAGTCTTTTTTATTAAAAGCATATTTCAAGAGAAGGTCTAATTTCTTCAGGAGGAGCCACACACCTGCACGAAGTCATGTGACCACGGAGCTCCTCGTCTGATGTCGATGTTGTTCACACACAGCGGCTCCTCTCGGCTGAAACAGAGATATAGTTTACATTTCTAACCTTTTCTTTAAAGCAGAAAACAATTATAATGTTAAAACAGATGAGGAAGTATTCGACAACACATCTTCAGTCAAAATAGAACATCACCAGCATGGTTCACAAGTATTGCATTTGTTTTTATTTTCAAACTTCAACAAAAAAGGGTCTATTATGCTTTTTGGAGTCGTCTCTTTCCTGTAGTGTGTTGTATAGGTTTTAGTGCTGCAGCACAGGCAGAGGGACACAAATAAAGCACTTTCTGAACATAAAAGCATGTACACATGTATCAGTAGAGACACTAAATACAATTATCAAACCAGAAAATGAGCACAATAGGGCCCTTATAGAGAACACATCTGGAGATACCTGCTTTCACAGGACAAGAATATACAAAAAAAAATTGTGATCTAAAAATTACTAAAACAAATGTTGACATATAAAAATCCAATATATGCCTCTGAAATGTAGTGGAGTTTATGTATAAAGTTATATAAAATGGAATTACTCGTGTCAAGTAGCTTAATGTTGTACCTATGGTTACAATCCACCACTGGTTGGTGTGTGTGTGTTAGCATTACTATACTTTTGGGGACTTACATCTGTTTACATAGTCACGTGTGGGGACTCGCCTCCCTTATGGGGACAACATGGAGGTCAACTTTAGGGTGAAGACTTGGTGAGGGTTAGGGTAAGGCATGTGTTGGTTATGGTTAAGGTTAGGATAAGCCTCCAGGAAATGCATGCAAGTCAATGTAATGTCCCCTGAAGTGATGTATACATGGTGTGTGTGTACCTTTGAGAGGGGATCTCTGAGAGGCAGACAGATTTCACGTGGATGTCTCCCTGCCTGTAGAAGCGATTTCCAGTGTTCTTTATCTTCATGGAGTTGATCTCACACAGAGCGACGGGGTGAGACAACACCACGCTGTACACAGTCGTGTCTTTCCGACTGAAACACACACGTAAACAATGTTGTCATAATCACACAAGGCCAGACTCACATTTTAAGATAATAAACATTCATCACTCAGGAGGACATTTATTTGCTACTGTGTTTATTGCTTAAATAAATAACTACAACTGACTGCGCTCTCACTCGTTTTGATTTAACAATGTGAAACACACTCAACAGTTTTTAGTATTGTTCCACTTTTTAATACAAACACATAAACCAGTGGTGAAAGAAGTATTTAGATCCTTTCCTTAAGTTAACTTTAAAAAGCAAATCACTCAATGTTGTAGAGAAGTAATGTACGAAGAGGTACTTATATTTTTAATAGTTCCACGTTATGCTACTTTATACATAGTTACCATGTATATAAGAAAAACATGTGTGTGCTGATATGATGCTACAGTACTATACTAGTAACTAAAACTGGCTCCATATTTTAAACGTCTACTTGTTTAATAACCCTAACATGACAAGGGTAAACCTTTAACTCAATAAATGCAATACATGCTTAATATAGGAAACAATCTGTAACATATTTACATAATATAGTATGATATGGATGGGAGATATAGTATAGGGTGAAAGCAAGGAAATATTATATTACAAATAAATAAATAACAGTATACAAAAACAATGCCTAAAATACATTGTGTAATATATTAAATATAAAATAACGATGTAACGAAATACTGAATAATATGATTTGCTAGCCTAATTTTACAATAGTCTTTTGTAAGTATCTATATCTAGGACTAATGTGAACCTACACACACGGTATGTTGAAAATGTTTCTGTTACACTATATGCAGCTGCACCTGCCGGGCCTCTTTACTGTGAGAAAGTAAAGAGGCCTTTACTTAAATAGATTTATTTTATCTCCTTAAAAATAAATCTGCCTGCTCAGCTTTTCTAGCAAAAAAATAAAAGTTACAGTACTGGTTTTTGGGTCACAGCATGTGCATGGAGTCACATGAGATAAGATGGACCTTTTATTAATCTCCGTGGGGAAATTCAGTCACATGCTGTAGGTTTGATTTAGTAATAGGGATTGTGGATGAAAACGAGTTGTTTTGCTACTGTGCAATCTGCAAAACCCTGAGCTGTGGTGCACTTGTATAAAAGTGAATAAAATAGTGTGGTTACTGTCGTGTCAAATTATCATATAATCATTTCAAACAGGGGTGTCAAACTCAAGGCCCGGGGGCCAAATCCGGCCCGTGACTTCATTTTCTGTGGCCCCACAAGAGCTTGCAAAGAATATTATATGTTTATTATACGGTTACATGATGATTTACAGAAGCACGTTGCCCATAAACTACATGTCCCACAATACATCTCAAATTAGACATTTTTCTCAGAATCTTTTTTTTTAAATGTTACTTCCTTTTTTTTTTGATTGTGACTTTTTTTCCAGCTTTTCTTTTTAAATCATTTTGTGACATACTCACTGAAGAGACTTGCAATTATTTGCCCCAGACTTCTGCTTTCAGACTTAGTTAATTATGAAGTTATTACCCTATCCAATAATAATCCAATGCAGAGGCAATAATGTAATATAATACATGATTTTATATATATATATATATTTATATATGTATTTTTATATAGTCTTAAAGTTACAACCGGCCCTTTGAGTGCAGCCTTAATGCTGTTGTGGCCCGCGATTAAATTGAGTTTGACACCCCTGATTTAAAACATATAGTCTTATACTCTGATTGCCTTTTACACTGTTAAATGGTATTTTTAGTCTTGTATGTTTTTAACAGAGACATATGTTAAGGATTTACATTTCAGGAGGGCAAAAGGAAGTGTAAAAGGGGGATATGCAAATGGTTAAGGACGAGGGGTTTTTATGGTTTAATGGTGGAGATGATGCTTAAGGGAATTTAAGGGTGGGACCAGTTGGCTATTCTCTACTTTATAGTGTGACTGTAAGCTGCGTTCTGGGTGCAGAACTTCTCTATCCTCTGAGGATGAAGTAGCTATGTTCCTACATTTGAGATCGATTTCACTTGTATATTGACTTTCTTTATTACTTTATTAAATATAAAAAAGACAAACTTTGTCCATGAATCATTTATCAGTTTCTCTTAAGAATTTCCTCCAAAGTTACAGATGTTGAACTCACAGCGGGAGCTTCTGCTCGGTCCCCTGGTTCTCCGTCACCAGCGTCACCTCCACCTCAGCGCTCTTATCCAGAGGAGAAACCTCCACCTGCAGCAGGATCTGATGAGCTGAGCACAGACAGAGACATGTAGTTAGTACTGAGCTTCAACATCTACCTACAAAATATAAACTCTAAAGTAGAACACAATATGAAACATGTACAGAGTATTAAAGCGGCCTTTAAAACTTAAAATAATGCTAAAATCTGCGTTTGAAGTGTATAATTACGGGGAAAAAAGACAGACATAAACCAAACTTACAACCACCTCTAGCCTTAGTATTGAGCAAGATAACAATTACAGAATTAATTTATCATTAAGATTGTTTGGCACTAAATTGGTTCAGATACTCACTGCAGAAAGGTGATGAAGAAGTCGTGAGGAGGAAAAGCTTCTGCTCTTTGGGTAACGGAGATATGGAGATCCCACTGTTTTCTGCCAAACCTGGAAACACACACACACATGATTTAGGGTCACATTATATGTCAGATTTAACGTCACACATTATTTTACAGGGCCCCATGTAGATAACTGTCTCTGTATCAGTGCGTGTGTGTGCGTGTGCCAGGGGGTTGTACGATAAGACGCTGACGTCATACCTGCTGGTGATACTGAGACTTAACAGAGGACGAAACGAACATAACCATTGTATATATTAAACTATACGATGTCCACGCTCTGATGGAAACATCTATTACAGACTCTTTTACCCCACGTGGAGTAGTACAGTAGAAAAACACATTATAAGAAACAATAAAACTAAACAAATGTCAGTGGTGGGAGAAGTGCTCAGATATTTTACCTAAGAAAAAGTAGCATTATAACAGTGTTAAAATACTCTGAGTAAAAGTCCAACATTCAAAATGGTAAACACTATATTTAAGTACCATTTGTAAAAATATGCAGTGTGGCTAATTTCAGAATCATATATGTTAAATGATTGTATTATAATTATTGACACATTACTAAGACTGCCAGGTAGCTCAACCTAAAAATAATATGTCATGATTTATAGTTATGTATAAATAACAATCTGCAAAGTAGAATATATGTCAAATTAAGTAAGAAGTACAACATTTGCCCACAAAATGAAATGGAGAAAAAGTGTAAAGTAGAATGATTCGAAAATAAAGTCAAGTACCTCTAAATGTTACTTAAATTCTTGAGTAAATGTACTTCAACATTCAACCTCTGACCATAATAATACTTAGTTACTTTCCATCTTGTCGAAAGCATCATGTTTGAAGAGTTCACGTCATATAAAAGCTGAATAAATATTAATAACAATGCAGAAAATAATAAAAAGCTATATAAAAGCAGCACTCCCTGCTTCCTCACCTATAGTGGGACATTTGCCCTTGAAGGCGTCACAGGTCAGGCAGCGTCCCTGCAGGAAGTCCTCGTAACTGAAGCACGGGACCCCCACCAGCGGGCACGAGCCGTTCAGCGCACTCATGTAGACGTAGATCGCCCTCATGTGGTCACACAGCACATAACCAAACACTGGGGGGGAGACAGGAAGTGACGAAACTCAAACACTCAGGCAGCTACATGTCTGCAGGAAGTAAGGGGTATTTAAATGTGTACAACTGGGATCCATTATTGCATTTTTAATCATGACTTCTTGATGATAAAAGGCACATTTCTGGTGTTAAAGCAACAATCAAAGCTTTCCTTTTCAGATACTCAACCTTGTAGGTTTTAAATCAATGGTGGAATAACTGCTTAGCTCCTTAAATAAAATAAAAATGGCAATAAATATGTTAAAATGATTTATAAACTAAGAGTCCGATATTACAACGAGTCAAATTGAAAAAGCATTAGCGATAAAATATATTTTAAATACAAAAGTGTATGAATGTCAATGTCCCATTTCAGATATGACTGGAGTATGACTATTGATCTATTGATGCATGATTACAATGTGGCGATAGGGCTCATTTGAATTATTTGAGAGACTGCTCAGTAACATGTGAATTCTCCCCTATCAATCAAGTTATCTTATTTCATAATTGTACAGCTAAATGTAGTTTTTGATTACATGAAGCTGAATCTACAAAGTATACAGTAGCAGAACATGTAAATATTTGAGTAAAGTACATTAAACCTGTACGCACGTTGAGTAAATGTACTTATTTACCTTCTACCTCTGGTTTAAGTGAGTGTCATCTTACGTGAGCTGAACCTGGAGCGAGCACATCCTGTCTGATCCTTCCCTCCGTTCAGGAAGAAATCCACATGACCGACAGAAATGGAAATCCCAAAATCTGATGATGCAGATAATCGTTGAAGCAATAAGTTATCTTTTTATTTACTTTGTCCATTACCATTGCTTTCCAAATGTACCCTCTAGGGCAGTGGTTCTCAACTGGTCAGGCCTCGGGACCCACTTTTTCCTTTGTCAATAAATCGTGACCCGAAATTTCGAACCACTCATATCTATTCAACAAAAAAATCGTGCTGTAATATATACGCTTTTCAACATACAATATTAATTAAAGTGAAGTACAGTGCATATATCCCTTCACAGAACTAAAGAATGCTTTAAATAAGGTTTAATGAGATGATGGACTCAAAGCTGAACTGTGTAACATAAAAAGGCACACATGCTGAAAACCCAACCCCAGAAGGAGATTTTTAGAAATACTAACATATAAACTACGCATTCTGGTACACTCTGAGAAGAAAATAAATACATCTATTACTACCCGACATATTAATAATATTTGATGCCATTGTTTGTTTTTCACTTAGTTCTGACAGCTGAACTTGCTGCTCCACACAGAGAAGAGCAAAGAGGAGATAGTCTGTGTGAATTACTTTAAATTGTGGGTAAGGGTAGTAGCCCCCATTGTTCTGTGACCTGTCAATCATCAAACCGGGGGTCATATTTTATTGTGTTCATTTTGATCTGAAGTTGTACCCATGGATGTATAAAGAGTAGTTCTACCGCAAAGTTATTCTCCGTGGGGACTTCCGGTGTTGTGTCAAATTATGCACCCCCATCATGAAATGCCCCCCTTGTCACGGGAACGCGCATTTCTAAATGACACGTTTACACCTTAAAACGATGTTTAAAAGGAAAAGTAAACGTTCAGGGTTTTTATTAAATGGTAATTTTCAGACTGTGAGTTGTTTAGTGGTAGCTCATATAGTCTTGATTCTTGTGGTTAAACTTTTCGCTCCGTATTTGATGGTAGTGGTGTCGAAATTCATTCCTCACTTCCTTTTCAGTTTTTTTTTTTTTTATCTTTTCTTATTATTGTTACGTCCTGTCTGTATACACGTGCTTTAAAATGTATTGTTTAATTTTACATATTTCTCATATAATCAAAATATATGTTTACAAATGTTACATAGTCTTTGTCAGCATATTTTTGCCACGTTATGCACCCCTTGCTATCTTACATAATAAAAGTGTCACATTCATGAAACTTGCTCCATTCATTGGTACTAGTCCTACAACTATACCCTGAAAAATGCTTGAGGGTGGGAATAATACAAACATCTTTTTGGGTGGGGTGCATTTTATGCACATTTTTTCACATCTGCGACCCACTCGAAAAGGGTCCGCGACCCACTTTTGGGTCGCGACCAACCAGTTGAGAACCACTGCTCTAGGGAACAATAACGGCTTATCTTTCCTCTTATTGAAAATGTACTGCATTCAATATTTAAATAAAAGAGATGCACTAGTCTTTTTGTTCTGCTTTGTTTTGTAATGTTTTTCTTGCTTACAATAAATAGACCAGGCTCCAATGATCCCTGCGTTGCAAAATGACAATAAACTATGCTTGAATCTCAAAAGTTGAACTGTATCACCCGTTGACCTTTCTGACATGGAGGAATCACATGACTTCCTCTATTGTAAACACACTTGGAGACATGATGGTACACGTGTACTTCAGTACTTTGGTTGGAGATTTAGCCTAATTCTATTTGGCTTTGTGTGATATAAGTGAAAGTTGTCTCACAGTCAGAGTCGGTGTGGATGGCCTCGACGAACAGAGCGTCAGACGGGTCGAGGCGGTCGTAGGTGTCGGCGCCTTTAAACAAAGGACCAGCCACGTCCAGACCTGCAGGACCAGAGAAGGAGATTAGAAACTAAAACATCACTGCATCTTTAGTTAACTAAATGGTTTGAATTACCACACTCAAATTTACACATCGTTCATTTTCAATACAAAGTCAGAAACATGAGAACTTCAGCTTCATTTTTTCTCCATGAGCCTTTTTTTCTAAAATTGTTTGCACTTATAAAGTATTATGTTGATGCTGACATGCAGAAACACCTGGATGTGTTTTTTATACGTCACTTTGTGAGAATAAAGAGGTTTAATTGAGCAGCAGTAGATGCATGAAAGCAGAAATAGAAATCTTTTATTCAAAATAAAGAAATTGGAGATATCTTATAGTGAATTATTTTGGATTCAGTCAGAAAACAAAATAAAGGAAATTACAGTCAGACATTACTGAATAGACTCCCTTACAAAACATTGACTTCATCTTCCTCATTTCTGCTAAATATATTTTCAGTGGAAGTCTTGTTGCATTCAGTAACGGTTCCCCTTTCCTGTCAATTCCTCTTCATTTACCCACTCTTCATGACAATCCCGGAAATAAACTAACAAAATGTCATTTAGAAACTCCCACTCTTTCAGCTTTACACGTAGACAAGATGCATCATTATTTATTTTTTAACTTTTGTCTTATTAATATTATAATTATTTGTGTATGACTGGCCTCCAGGCAGCAGCTGTGTCTCTGAATTTCACCTTCATTCAAACCTCCTCACTCAGACAAAAATACCTGTTATAAAGCAGAGAACAGTGGAGTTTTGTGTGTGCTGGTGTTTCCTAGAGAGATGAGTGTGTACGCAGAGTCAAAGAGGCTCTTATCAAAGTGCTGTTGTCCTTTGAAGAGCCCGGATTATCTTCCAAGGTCACAGTGAATCATATTCACAGCTGAGAGGCTCTGAGAGACTCTGTCTGCCCTGTTGTTCTGCAGCAGAGTGGCAGCTTTTAGTTTCATATTCACAGACAATATTCAAGAAGTTTTTCTTCATAGTTTGGGTATTTATGTAACAAAGAAGGGTGCTTCTTCACATTGAAGTGTGGAGCACAGGTAACAAAGAAGGGTGCTTCTTCAAATTGAAGTGTAGAGCACAGGTAACAAAGAAGGGTGCTTCTTCAAATTGAAGTGTAGAGCACAGGTGTACCAGGTCTCCAAAACCTTTAATTATGGCATCTTAAATGATTTTTTACCATTCCAGTACTGAAATGGTCACAGAACACTAGTATGTTGGTTTTTGGATCAAACTGGTTAGCTAATAAGGATATATTTAGGTTTGTTTCTTTGAGAATAAAGCAGTTTCTCTACATTGTGGGAGAATGGTTATTGAGGCAATTTTGTATCATTCTTGGATCAAGAGTCATATTTTGTACATGCATTCTTTAGCTGTGACTCCTTATGAAGCTGCTCACGTGGCACCAAGATTTTTTTATATATATATAAAGAACAACATGTTCCTTATGCACCAATTTGTGTCATGTATTTGGTGCAGACTCACCTGTGATTCGTCCTATCTTCCCCTCGAAAAGGGTCCCCACAAAACCAGCGACGTGCGCCCCCAGACTGATGCCGATGAAGTGGAAGGACTGCAGTTTGCATCCATGTTCCTGCAGCTGGTTGATGAGCACGGAGATCTGCAGAGCCGCCTCCTTGTAGTTCTCCACCACCTGGTTGTAGGCGAAGGAGGCGCCGTAGACCCAGTCCACCACCAGCACGTTCACATCCTGGGCCTCCAGCAGCGCGTGGGCCAGGAGCCGCACCCAGGTGGGCCTACTGCCCGTAATCCTGCAGGGGGGGGCGAATTCAAGTGAAGCTTGAATTCATGCTGTTAACTTTTGTCTGAACTTTTTCCACCCTAACTCTCCTGTCGTGTTTGTTTTCCACACCTTACTTTAGTGTTCCCGGTTAAATTTGACGACACAGGAAGTGAGGATACCCGGCCCGGAGGAAGTCCGGGGTCCCCTTCTGGAGCCAGGCCCAGAAGGAGGACTCGTCGGCGAGCGTCTGGTGGCCGGGTTTGCCACGGAGCCCGGCCGGGCACAGCCTGAAAAGGCAACGTGGGCAACACCTCCGCTTCTCCGTCCCGCGGGCCCACCACCTATGGGAAACAGCGATGGGGTCGGGTGCGCTGCCAGAAGGGTGGCAGTGAAAGCAGAGGGTCTCGACGGACCAGACCTGGGCGCCAGACGCTGGCTTTGGAGACGTGGAACGTCACTTCTCTGGGGGGGAAGGAGCCGGAGCTTGTGAGGGAGGTGGAGCGTTACCAGTTGGATCTGGTTGGGCTCACCTCTACGCACAGCGTCGGCTCTGGAACCTTACTTCTGGATAGGGGTTGGACTCTATTCTTCTCCGGAGTTGCTCAAGGTGTGAGGCGCCGGGCGGGTGTGAGGATACTCACAAGCTCCCGGTTGGGTGCTTCGTTGTTGGAGTGGACGAGAGGATCGCCTCCCTACGCCTGCGGGTTATGGGGGGGGAAAACTCTGACTGTTGTGTGTGCTTATGCACCAAACAGCAGTTCAGAGTATACGCCCTTCAAGGAGACCCTGGAAAGAGTCCTGTATGGGGCTCCTGAAGGGGACTTTTTAATCTTGCTGGGAGACTTCAACGCACATGTAGGCAATGATGGAGACACTTGGAGGGGCGTGATTGGGAGGAACGGCCCCCCTCATCTGAACTGGAGTGGTGGTTTGTTACTGGACTTCTGTGCTAGTCATGGATTGGCCATAACAAACACCATGTTCGAACATAAGGATGCTCATAAGTGTACGTGGTACCAGAGCACCCTAGGCAGAAGGTCCATGATCGATTTCGTTATCGTATCATCGGACCTGAGGCCGTATGTTTTGGACACTCGGGTAAAGAGAGGGGCGGAGTTGTCAACTGATCACCATCTGGTGGTGAGTTGGGTCGAGTGGCGGGGGAAGCCTCTGGACAGACCTGGTAAGCCCAAACGTGTAGTTCGGGTGAACTGGGAACGTCTGGAGGTGGCCCAAGTTCAGGAGGCCTTCAACTCACACCTCCGGCGGAGCTTTTCGGGCATTCCTGTGGAGGTTGGGGACATTGAACCAGAGTGGGCGGTGTTCAAAGCCTCTATTGCCGAAGCCGCGGCGGGGAGCTGTGTTCTCAAGGTCTTAGGTGCCTCAAGGGGCGGTAACCCTCGAACCTCCTGGTGAACACCGGTGGTCAGGGAAGCCGTCCGACTGAAGAAGGAGGCCTTCAGGGATTTGTTATCCCGGGGGACTCCCGAGGCAGTTGCAAGGTACCGACAGGCCCGAAGGGCAGCAGCCTCAGCCGTGGCCGAGGCAAAGCAGCGGGTGTGGGAGAAGTTCGGAGAAGACATGGAAAAGGACTTTCGGGCGGCACCAAAGTTGTTCTGGAAAACTGTCCGACACCTCAGGAGGGGGAAGCAGGGAACCATCTAAACTGTGTACAGTAAGGATGGGACGTTGTTGACCTCAACTGATGGAGTGTTAGAGCGTTGGAAGGAACACTTTGAGGAACTCCTGAATCCGACAACTCTGCCCTCTATGTTAGAAGCAGAGCTGGAGTATGACGGGGGATCAACACCAATCTCCCGGGGGGAGGTCACTGAGGTCGTCAAACAACTCCACAGTGGCAAAGCCCCGGGGGTGGATGAGATCTGCCCAGAAATGCTGAAGGCTCTGGGTGTTGAGGGGCTGTCATGGTTGACATGTCTCATCAACGTTGCGTGGAAGTCGGAAACAGTACCAAAGGAGTGGCAGACCGGGGTGGTGGTTCCCCTTTTCAAAAAGGGGGATCAGAGGGTGTGTGCCAATTACAGAGGCATCACACTACTCAGCCTCCCCGGGAAAGTTTACTCTAAGGTACTCGAAAGGAGGGTCAGGCCGATTGTCGAACCTCAGATTGAGGAGGAACAATGCGGATTCCGTCCTGGTCGTGGAACGAGGGGTCAGCTTTTTACTCTCGCAAGGATCCTGGAGGAGGCCTGGGAGTATGCTTATCCGGTCTACATGTGTTTTGTAGACTTGGAGAAGGCGTATGACCGAGTTCCCAGGGAGTTACTGTGGGAGGTGCTGCAGGAGTATGGGGTGAGGGGGTCTCTACTCAGGGCCATCCAATCTCTATACTCCCAAAGCGAGAGCTGTGTCCGGGTCCTCGGCAGTAAGTCGGACCCATTTCCGGTGAGGGTTGGCCTCTGCCAGGGCTGCGCTTTGTCACCAATCCTGTTTGTAATATACATGGATAGGATTTTGAGGCGTAGTCGTGGGGGAGGGGGTCTGCAGTTCGGTGGACTAAGGATTGCACCACTGCTTTTTGCAGATGATGTGGTTCTAATGGCTTCATCGGTCTGCGACCTTCAGCACTCACTGGATCGGTTCGCAACCGAGTGTGAAGCGGCTGGGATGAGGATCAGCACCTCCAAATCTGAGGCCATGGTTCTCAGCAGGAAACCGATGGACTGTCCACTCCAAGTAGGGAATGAGTCCTTACCCCAAGTGAAGGAGTTCAAGTATCTCAGGGTCTTGTTCTCGAGTGAGGGAACAATGGAGCGTGAGATCGGAGCAGCGGGAGCGGTACTGCAGTCGCTTTACCGCACCGCTGTGACGAAACGAGAGCTGAGCCAGAAGGCAAAGCTCTCTGTCTACTGGGCCATTTGCGTTCCTACCCTCACCTATGGTCATGAAGGATGGGTCATGACCGAAAGAACGAGATCGCGGATACAAGCGGCCGAGATGGGTTTTCTCCGCAGGGTGGCTGGAGTCTCCCTTAGGGATAAGGTTAGAAGTTCAGTCATCCGGGAGGGACTCAGAGTTGAACCGCTCCTCCTTCGCGTCGAAAGGAGCCAGTTGAGGTGGTTCGGGCACCTAGTAAGGATGCCATCTGGGCGCCTCCCTAGGGAGGTGTTCCAGGCACGTCCAGCTGGGAAGAGACCAAGGGGTAGACCTAGGACCAGGTGGAGGGATTATATCTCTTCGCTGGCCTGGGAGCGCCTTGGGATCCCCCAGTCAGAGCTGGTTGATGTGGCCAGGGAAAAGAAAGTCTGGGGCTCTCTGCTGGAACCGCTACCCTCGCGACCCGACCATGGATAAGCGGGAGAAGATGGATGGATGGATGGATGGTTAAATTTGACCAGTATGTTTCAAGTGCTCTTACATTAACACAAAAAACATTAAACATCATTAATTGTATGTGTCCAAATGCCCACTGTGGAGGATATCATAAGGCCTTGAGGCAATCAAATGTAAAACACAATATTTATGATTGAGGTCAGATTTTACCCGAACACGGCAGTAAGACCACAAACTAAACTTCAATATAGAAACACGTCAAGATAAATAACCCAACCATTGTAATCTAACCAAAAAGTTAAACATGCATGTATTGTGATGGATGAGTGCTAAGGGTCTTTAAGGTTTCCTCTCCTCACCTGAAGCCGTGGATGATGACCTTTGTTGGGCGGGAGATGTTGAAGTTAGTCGGCGGTTGCTGTGTTTCAGAGAGAGACTCGTGTCTGAAGCGCTCTGCACAGTCCATGTTCCTCCTGGTGAGCAGCAGGTACTGAACCTGCACCTTGCCTCTCTGCTGCCGGTACTCCAGGAAGGTGTAGCTGTTCAGGTCGGCACACTCATCGTCACTCTGAGCTTCATCTGTACCTGCTCAATGAAAAGCATATCATGTAGTTACTTTTTTATGTGTGAGTGTAGTACTGAGGGTTCCTTAATGTTGCATCACACAACAGCAAACTCAAGATTCGGACAATAAAACATACAATACGATGATACTTCAAGTCATTATGGCCACTGGAGACATCATGTTCAAGACCCTTGACTTACTCTACGTTTGATCTGAGATTTCACAACGTTTATTTATCACACGGCCTAGTTGAATACTCAAATCTGATTTGTCAATTTGGACATTGCAGAGGACAGATAATTTTTGCTAGCAGACAGTTGTTTAGTTTTTTCTGCATTGGATACTTTTTCATTAAATACTTGCTGATTATACGAACTTAGTTTTACTTAAGTAACATTTTCAATTTTTGTTACTAACTTGTAACAGAGTATTTTTACAGTGTAGTATTAGTACTTTTACTTCTATAAATGATCCAAATACTTCCTGCGGAACTTAAAACACGCACACACACAATTTTTTTTCATATGGTGAAAAGAAAACGGTGGATATTGAGCAAACAATTGTATGAATTATTTTCATAGCTAAACCGATAAATGTACTATGTATTTATAGGTTTATCCATGCTTTATAGTTGTAAGCATGATAGGAATTATGTAATGTCTGTCAATCGTTATGTGTGCCTACCAAGTACTACAGTTGGTTATTAGCCAATAGCTACTCAATCAATCTTATTTTGTTGAGAAACATGCTCTCTATGCATGATCTTTGTTTAGTAAAGACTTATAATAATATAATAAGTAAGTGTGTATTTGACTTCAGATGACAACACATATGAAATGTTGTGTGAAGGGAAAATCTTAAAGATATTCTTCCCATGTCTTATAATAAACAACACTACATTTAAATGCAGATGACAACAACCCAGACAAATTATGTTTTTGTGAGGAAAAATAGTTTTTAAATGGTAATAAGGTGTGATATATTGGTATTTATTCTTACAAATAGCCAGTGTATCATCGTGTATTTGCAAATATAAGAACTCATAACAAAACACCGCACTTAATGCATTTATTGTCCAGCATAAACAACAATAGTACTCAGTACGCAGTTCTAAATTATATTATTATTAAAGCTCAACCCCTTTCTCTACATGTATCCTGGAGCTATTGGATGAAAAAATACCAGATAAAGTGCTGAAGAAGGTAAACAAAGATGTCCATGACGAGCTTCTTCACTTACCCAGCACCAGAGATGTGATGCACACAGTGAGAACACAGAGGAGGACCGGTGTGTGTGTCCGAGACATTTTCTGCTGTGAGCGTGGAGAGAAGCTGCTGGGAGCTTTAATCAGTGCTTAACGGTGCTCAGCTGCTCTCTTTAGCCGCAGATTGGTTGATGGAAATCAGCTTTTGGCTTGAGAAAATCCCAGCTCTGTGCAGTGTTGTAACTCTGGAATCACTACACAGCTTTTATCTGGCACCAAGCGAAGCAGGAATCCATATAAAACTATCCAAATGTTTCTTAATATGGTTATTTTTCCTGTAAAGCTCCACTTATTTCATGAACGTCCTTTAGCTCGGTCATCACATTTGTCTGTGTATTTTTTTCTTCCCCAGACTGAGTTTGTACAGAGCTGTAAAGAAGTGGTGAAGCCATGACCTCATTGGCATTCAATGGACGTTTGTTTGAAATGCTGGACTCTGGCCTGACTGTTTGTTTGTGTGTGTGTGTGTGTGTGTGTGTGTGTGTGTGTGTGTGTGTGTGTGTGTGTGTGTGTGTGTGTGTGTGTGTGTGTGTCACTGGGAAATCAATCATTTGCTGATTGATTGTTCAGCTTTTAATGCTCTTTAATATGCTGCCAAATACTGGGAGTTCCAATGCTTGACCAGTAAAACTAGTAGACACTGTTTTTTTTTACTTAACTACAATTGTGGAATTTAATTATTTTGTTTAATAGTGTTTCTCTGGTATTTAAGTATTTTTAAAGGTAAAGTAATTGTACAATAAAAATGTAATCATTTTAAGAGAAAATAAGTGAGTATTGCAGTTGCCAGTCATTTTGTGTCCATTTCTGTATTTAGTCAATTTTTTATTGCATGAAGTGAGACAAGAATTTAGACAAGACATAAGTTATGCATTCATTGTCAGGACAGGATTTACACTGAAGGGAAAAAACACAAAAAAAAAACAACAAATATGATGGTGTCAGATGTGTGTATCAGCAATAGTGCAGGCAGTTTGATGTGTAGGTTTTGTGCAAGTGTGGTTAATGGAGGATTGTTTTTTAAAAGACAGAAAGAAAGAGAGAAAGGGATGAATAAATAAAGTATTCCTGGCATTTCTTAGATTATTACACAGTTATATTTTGCACTAAATTGCATATTCCTCCCAAAAATTAGCAGTTAATCAAACTAGAACTCATACAAGGATGTAACACAGGTACATGAATAAAAGTTACAGTGCAGTGTGAGATATATCAATTAAAAGCAGCGGCAAAAATAAAAGTCTTCAGCCTGGATTTAAAAGTAGTAAGAGTAGTTTCTGGTAGTTTGTTCCAGATATTTGGAGCTTAATAAACTTCTCCATGTTTAGTTCTGACTCTGGGGACATACAGTAAAGCAGACCAGAAGACCTGAGAGATCTGGATGGTTCATCATTTAGCAGTAGATCAGAAATGTATTTTGGGCCTAAACCATTCAGAAACCAGCAACAGTATTTTGAAATCAATTATTTGACAGATAGGAAGCCAGTGTAAAGACCTCAGGACTGGAGTAATGTGATCCAAGAAATAAACCAAACTTATTTTTCATAGATTACTTTGCCCTTATCCTCTCCCTCTCTCTGGGCAGCTCTGAGGCGAGCCACTCGACGGTGCGTTGGCGGGCCTCCTCCCACGTGAACCTGGGGGAGTATCCCAGGTCGTCCTTGGCCTTCTGGTAGGAGAAGCTGAAGGGCGTGTTCAACATGGTGACCAGCTGCCGGTTCAGCGGCGGCACGATGCGTACGACGGGTCGGACCATCAGGCACAGCATCTCCATCAGGAAGCACACCAGGTAGAGCAGGCACAGCGGGAACATCAGCTTCTCCTGGATGTTGAAGCCCAGAGGCGACATCACAACATAGTTAAAATCAGAGTAACTCATGTGTGGTGTGTCGTCGGAAATGAAGTAAAACTTTCCTCCGATAGCGTTTCTCTTCTGTGGATCTTTGAGGCTGCGAGCTGCTTGGAGGTGGGCCGTAGCCACGTTACCGACGTACACCGGATTCACTTTAGCTTCTGGTTTGGACATGCGGTAAAGAAGGTTTTTATTCTTTATGCCGTCGCCCATGTGGCCCAGCAGGAAGCGGCAGCCCTCCCCGTAGATGTACATGGGTCTGAGGGCGCAGGTGGCCAGGCGGCCCCCGTTGTGGAGCATCTCTCCGTGGGCCTGGAGCGTCCGCTGCTCCGCCTCCTGCTTCGTCCTGCTGTAGGCGAACTTCAGAGCGCAGGAGTACTCCATGTCCTCGCTGCCGTTGATTATTGGGTCACCTTGAGAGTTTGGTCCCATCACCTCGATGGTGCTCGTGTAGATGAAGGACACAACGTTCTCCTGAACACAAGCCTCCAGGAGCAGCTGCGTTCCTGCCAAAGAAATAGTGCATACACGTTAAAAGAGATTTTAAATCACGGTGTTCAGAAGAGGGCATACGATGGCCTTGAAGGTCAAATCACCACAACATTACGTAAAACACAAAAACATTTTACAAAATACAACAAGTTTTCAGAAAAGTGTGTCTGTTAGTTTGTATTGACATTTAGTTTGAGATTTTTGTATGTGTCAAATATTTTTGTGTTTTTCTTTTTTATTGTTATTGTGTTTTGACCTTCAGGGCCACCATACAATTCTTTCTTCTTTCGTCACATCAACAAAAAAGTTAAAGGTACTGTAGGGTAGGTAATTCACTTCAGAAACACTTTTTGTTATATTCCATGGAATGCTCTTAACATCCCGATAGCAATGAATATATTAAATGCTTTGACAATAAATACATTAAAAAAATTCATCTGTGGAAGCCGTGGCGCTGTAAAAAGCACGACCAATCATCTGAGCCGGCCCGGCTAAAATAACTGGATGGCCTACCTGCCTGTCAGCCTTCCATCTCGTGCACAAACTTATCTCGTGCCCTCATTGGTCATGTGCGCGTTCGTGTGTGTTGGAGGAGGGGCTCTGTAAGGAAGTCTGAAGGAAGGGGCAGATTTCTTTCGGCTGTGTACTTTCAAATTCTAGCGCACTCGAGCTGGTTTCTCCATTCTTACCTACCCTACCTTTAACAGATCAAGTAGACTAGAATTTAAAGGCAGATAATCTGTTGGTTGCTATAAAAATAGTTCTTCTCTATCTCTCAGTGCATTCAAGTGCTGTCCTTACCTTTGACATTGACCCCGTATATCTCACGGTACTCCACCGAGTCATTAACATCAATAATGGATGCGACGTGGAAGACGATCGATGCACCTCTACAGCTTTTTCTCAGGAAATCAGCGTCTCTGATGTCTCCCTCACAAACACTCAGCGTTGTTTCGCCTCTACAGTCTGACACACAAGACACTCATTGATTAACACTCATCTATAAATCACATTCTTTATTTAAACGGAATGCATTGAGGTGTAGACATAATACACAATATAGCAGAGTAAAAACAATATAAAACAATACATCTGAGGCATTAAGGACAAACAAAATGTAAGGCAATTGAATCAACTAAAGCAAGAAGAATTGGATCTGAAGTAGGATGACATTTAAGACGTTTAAATTGCACTAAGGATCATAGCTTAAGATTGTGCTAACGTTACTTAGTTTGTAAAACAAAACCATCTACAGAATTATCTTCGGTATTTATTTTAAAGTAGTTGCATATACAGACATTAACCAACTACGTAAACTCATTTGTTTTAGAAATAATCTCTGCTGGTTTAGTTGAGGTTAAGATAGAAGGAATACAAATCAATCACTTTTTTAATTTTAAAATTATTCATCGGTAATTGCTCCCTAAATTGGATCTTGGAAAAATAGATTTTCAAAAAAAATCAAAGAGCTGGTACTACAAAGCGTTGCCAAGTAATTGTTCTTCAGCCTCATAATATTAAGGGTATAAAAGAGTAAATCCAATAATTTTTACTTGCTGCCAGAGACACACTTCTCTCTATACTTTGAAGATTGCTGCAGAAGGAATAAAAACATTATATGTTGTCAGGTTTTACCCTCCAGAGACTGTAGAAGCTGTGGCTGTACGTGTTTGTCCAGCAGTCGGATCTCAGCCAGCTTCTCCTCCTCCAGCAGCAGCCTCACCAGCCTCTTCCCCAGAAACCCTCCAGCTCCCGTCACTACACACACCTCGCCTCTCAGAGACATCGCAGCTCAATCCTGTATTAGTATCAGGACACAAAACTCTTACAATGAAACCCCTTTTTGAAGCCTTCTCAAAAGAAAAACAACTCAAAAAAGGCTGGATGTTTCCGGTTCTGTTTGTGAGAGAACAACTCTTCTGCACTCCCTGCCTCAAGTATTTCACTTTTTGTAAACTCACAAACTTCACCAGAAAAAGTCATTAGTTGCTCCAGGGCAGTGTTAAAAAAAAAAGGGATGGGCTCTGATTTTACAGGATGGATTGTGATGCTAGACAAAATAATGGGATGGGACGTTTTAAATGCCAAGGACATCTGCTGGTATAATCTTTGGAAATAACACTGACTCACAATCAGCATGTGATGCAGAGTAAAACATGATAATTGGTATGATAATAATCAACATGCATTGATTTTCTTTGTAGAAGTAGTAACAGTTAGCAGTGCTTTGTGTATAACAAGTCAAAGACAATCTATAACAAAGCATCTTTTAAGATATGTATTAATCAGGTAAACATATTCAGTCCGCTAAAAAGGATAGTTGTTGTCTCTGAGATGTAGTGCAGTAAATGTGATCATAATATATGGAAAACAGAGTGGCAACTTTGGAGAAACCAGCAAGTGTGTAAGCTAGGCTTTTATCCAGGTGTGCAGAGGAAGAGGAGCCACATCTTATCCAGGTGTGCAGAGGAAGAGGAGCCACATCTTAATGGCTTCTTTTATCCATGTTTTCTGACTGGGTTTGTCTGATTTCACAGTTTATGGGTTAAGCTCACCAGATATCAAAATGCTCACCAGATATCAAAATGTATGTGCACAAGCACTGAAAAAGTGGGTCTTTCATAATATGTCACCGATAACATTACATTACATAACATGTCACTTGTTAGACGCTTTTATCCAAAGCGACTTACATACTCAATACTGTGGGCAATCCCCACAGGAGCAATTTGGGGTGACATTGAGGGTGTTTCTCAATCGCAAGTAAAGCTGCTGCAGAGCCACTATTTCAAGCATACTACGTCATCGAGTGCCGCCGAAGTACTGTTCCAATCTCCAGCATACTTGGAATTCTACCGAGCCCGGCGTACTCCGTTTGGAGAAATATCGAGGCTGCATGAGTAGACTCCGCGGTCTTAAAATCCCCACAATGCTTTGCGCACGGACCAATTTCCCCAAATCTGGGGCGGAAGATGTAAGGCGGGGCCTCTCATATGACGCACACTTGCTAGCCTGTTCCACTCTTTGTTTTCCAAATGTCAGGAAGTATTCTTGCCTCGCTTCTGAAGCAAGATGCTCGGCAGACATGTGCTACCAAGCAAGCGTACTCGCGATTGAGAAACACCCACTGACTGCAGTGGGGTTTGAACCTGTGACCCCCTGATCCGAACACCAACGCACAACCCACTGCACGACACGCCACCGTAATTCAAATATAATTATCCAAGCATTGCTCCTACTGTATGTCTCAGTATGGATTTCCCTTTCTGCACATACACACGCCTGCTCTGAATCAGCCTCATTAGTCCTAGAGTTTTCTACTTATTAGCTCATACTCCTCCCCCTCAGGTTGCAAATGAGTCCTGTGCTGTGATTCATTTTGCACGCTTTTGTACCCACCTTTGCAGAATCAGAATATCTTTATCGTCTTTATACATACGTACAGTATAATGAACTTAAGTTTGTAGATTGAGCCCACACAATAGCCATGTTTGAACAACACTTTATATCACATTGCTGAATCATTTTCCTCTCTGTTTTGTCAAAACACTTTGAGGGACATTTTGCCAAGGTTCATTTTGAAGGGAAGATGAGTAGATCTGTTCTCCAGTATATTATTCAAATACTTTTCACTCCCGAAGAACGTACAAGGCTAGATCAGCCAAATACAATAATATTCAACGTTTCAAGGTGACATCTGTCGGCCAGAAGGCCAGAAGTAGTTTTCCCTCGCACAGTGATGAATTATAGTTTATCATTGGCCATGGTTTGCTCTGGGAATTGTAAACTGGGTCATGTGGCTGTGGAGGAAACTCCACTGCTGCAGGGTTTCTGTGGTGATTATCAGTATTATCATGTCCATGAACATCAAGGATAACATTCCTACACTGGTGGGAAACTAATAAGAACATTTACTCAAGTATTAAACTAAAGTACAACTCTGGAGGACTTTTATTTTAGATATTTCAATGTACTTCTACCTTATACTTCAGCTCCACTTAATCTAAGAGGGAAATGTTGTACTTTTGGGTCCACTGCATTTATTTTACAATTTTAATTACTTTGCAGATTCAGATTAATAATACAATCTTTAATCAACAAAAATATTTAGATTTATTTTCATAGATTCATAAACCACGAATACACGAAAAGTCATACAAATGTTAACCAGGTCTAACGTTGAAGTGATGAAAAAAAGAATGCATTAATGTTTATAATCCAATGTTTAAAGGTGGGGTAGGTAATTTTGGAGAAACCAGCTCGAGTGCGCTAGAATTTGAAAATACACAGCTGGAAAAAATCTGCCACTTCCTTACAGAGCCCCTCCTCCAACACACACGAACGCGCACATGACCAATGAGGGCACGAGATAAGTTTGTGCACAGATGGAAGGCTGACAGGCAGGTAGGCCATCCAGTTATTTTAGCCGGGCCGGCTCAAATGATTGGTCGTGCTTTTTACAGTACTACGGCTTCCACAGATGAATTTTTTTAATGGATTTTTTGTCAAAGCACTTCAGATATTCATTGCTATCGGGATGTTAAGAGCATTCCATGGAATATAACAAAAAGTGTATCTCGAACCGGTTTCTCAAACTTACCTACCCCACCTTTAATTGTTTCAAAAATATATCTTATTCTGAGATTGATCATTGAATGAGTACTTTTACTTTTGGTAATTTGGTCTCTTTTGATACTTATACTTGTTTACTTTAAAGACTCACACTGTGGTGTTACTACTTTTATGTATGGAAAATATACTTCTCCACTCACTGACTACACTTCAGTTTTTAATCAGGAGTCGAAAATAGACTCTTTAGTCTCTTGACGTTAGATACGTAAGTTCATTTGAAGTTATTTCCGATGTGGCTGATTGGTTTTAATTAGCTAGAGTATGCATAATATAGATAAATTAGGTCGAGTCTCTTCTTATTATAGAGTCTATGTATAGTAGCTGCCTGATTTCCAGTATTTGTAGTCCTTGGGGCTGCAGTTGATATCACAGCTGTCTGTTGTCTTATCTGCAGGGTGAAGGATGAAGTCTCAAGGATAGTTTCATCGTCATCAGATCCACTGAAGAGTGTGTGTTTCTGTGAGTTAATATGTTTGTGCAGAGCTGCAGGTTCTCTTGTTGTCTTACGGCCCATCCACACGGCGGCGTGCGTTGAAGCTTCAACGCTTTGCCCATTCACTTTGAATGGGGTGACGTCACGCTTTGCCGAACTGCATTGTGGTTCCGTTGTTTTGCTTTGCCCGCGTTGCTCGCTTCAAAAGTTGAGCAATGTTCAACTTTTGAAGCTTCGACGGAAGCGTCAGCCAATCAAATCATATGCCAGTACAAGCTCTAGCCAATCAAACCGCGTGCTTGTGTGTCCGGGGCGGGAGATTCATGTGATTGGTTGTTGGTCGAGTTTCAGACACGCCCACCGGCAAGCTTCGACGCTTGGCATTATTCACTGACAGTGATTAATGTGACATAAGGAGTATCATTAAAACTTTATTTTCATTTAAAAACATTGCATAAATATACAAAACCATTTTTACATGTCTGAATCTGTGCGTAAACTAAGTTATATTTCGAAAATGTGTCTTTCTGATTGAACTACATGGTTAAGGAACATCAGGAATTTCCAATTGAACATCTCAATCATAATAAAAACATGTTTCCTTCTGGCTTACATCTCATGACTCTGAGCTAGCTGAAACACATAAATGAGCCACATTGTGCTTTTGACACACTTCATTATGAGTTACGCTGATCCCCCGTTTGATCGTGTGCCATTGAGTAACAAAGAAAGTATTTGTTAGTGGGATAAGGACAACATTGTTTTCATGACATTATTAGAGAGTGACTAATGCTATCCCTGAATTTGGAAACTCCTGTTAATTCCAAGGTTATAGAGGTTCATGTGATTGATTTCAATGTCTTTGACCTGTGAAACATCAATAGTAAATGTCATTTGAGGGGGAGGTTTGACCTTACATTAAAGATGGAAGGTGTGTTTAACATGTGGAAACTGCATAGCTAAAAACACAAGCAGGGGACTTTGGCTGACAATAAAATGCAAGGACAGGAAATGGCACTAAAGATAGCAAAGTGTTATAGAGGGACGTGGCATTTTCAAACACTTGAATGTCGTAATAGCTTGCCACGCTTGCACCTGCTTGTCTTTGCAACCCACACTGCTTCCTGTTTTGCCTTCTTCACACTCAAGGCTAAAGACATCCATAACATTCATCTGTTTGCAACTTATATATATCAATATTCCAATTACTTGTATATAGACTATTCTGCACTATTTATATTATATTATATTCTATTGTATTTACTTGCACTATTATCTGTTTTATTGTGTTGCACTGTTGGAGGAGCCTGTGACCTAAGATTTTCGTTGTCATAGCTACACTGTAGCTATTGTACAAATGACAACAAAAGCCTTGAATCTAAATCGGAAACTTCTTTGGTGCATGATCAGCTCTTGTCTGTGGGCAGAGGGCACTCCTGAATCTGAGCCTCGTCCACCGACCCCTCGGGCAGATGAACGGTCATCGTGCAGGCTCTGATCCCCCCCAGAGGCTCCAACACGTTGAACACCCGGTCCCAGACGTCCTTCTCCGGGTCGTACCGCTGCACAATGTCCACCATGCACCTGCTGTTCCAGGAGTACCCCCCCACCACGTAGATCTGCCCGCCAAACACCGTCACCCCTACATCGCTCTGGCCCCGAGGCATCGGAGCCACCACGCTCCACTGGTCGGTGTCCGGGCTGTAGAACTCGCAGCCCAGCACGTCGTCGTAGTCGCTGCTGCCTCTGAAGTGATTCCCTCCCATCACGTAGAGTCTTTCTCCCGCCGTGCACATGCAGTGAAGGCCGCGCAGCTCCATCATGTCGGAGCGGCGACTCCACGTGTCGGCGGCGGGGTCGTAGCACCAGAGCTCCTTCTGGAAGGTGTCGCGGGTGATGCCACCTGCGTGACAAAAGAGAATTAAACTAATGTTACTGTATGTTTCAAAACGATAAATACCCTAGGTGTTTCATTATAACAGGGGTCTTCAACCAAGGACCCTTAGATGAAATACAGACAAAGCAGATGGCCCAATCCCAAACCGCCCCCTACACCCTACCCCTACCCCTCCGTTTGCGCGTTCGCGCGGAGGGTCCCCCACATTAAGTGCTGTTCCAAACCAACGAGTGTGGAGCGGGGTGGAGGGGGAGTGGGCTATCAAGCCCTCAAACAGCGAGTCTGCATCGGTGCTGACTTCACCTGCTGCCCTACCTGACCGGTGTCAATGCTGTGTGTGTCCGTCAGGAAACACGCTGTTTACAAACAGTTCCAGCAAACATCCACTGATAAATTGCGATGTTAACAACCTCATGATAACCTCATATTTTTTTTACTTAGGATCGTATACCTGTGTTTAGTCTAGAAAAAGGTAAATGTGTGCATTTTATTATAAAGTTGTGTATATTTACAGACTGTTGCAAAAACTAAGAAGCTTATAAACATCAGGTTTAAAACTAAAAGAGCTTTACAAAAAAGTAACACAATAAAAGATGTTTGGAGTTTTATTTGAGTTATTAATTTACATTTTTTGTCTAAGAGATGCTGATTTGAAACCGTTGTTACATACAGTTGCGGCATTTCCTGTTTCTCTGCCGGAGAGAGGGGAGTTTGTCCCAAAGCTTGCCGCTGTATTTACTCCCTCCATCTGACAGGAGGGAGCCTCGTTGAGCTGCGAGTGTGGCTACAGACGGAGTTCACTCCGTCACGGAGGGGTAGGGTCGAGGGAGTGGTTTGGGATTGGGCCGATATTTACCAAACATATTAAACAGGGCCTACAGTAACGTGTTAGTGTCATTTATAACACACTGTTTACTGTGCATACATACTAAGCCATTATCGCTACATGCCACACTGTGATTAAGCATATTTAGCTTACATTAGCTAGACTGCCGATTGATAGTGTTTTGTAAATGTAAAGTTTTCTTTTTTAAATCTTTGCTACATCTCATTTTTTGGATACTTGTGAATTTAATGTGTCCTATCCATGCTTTAATTGTTTTAACTTTCAAAGCATTGTCAGATAATCTTTTTCCGTCCCTCCTGGAGTAACTCTGAGGACCCTCTAGGGGTCACAGACCCCATGTAGAAGACCCAAGGAAGGAAAGGATGGTTACGGATAATGAGAATGTTTACACAATTCAAATGTATGTATGAATAAAGCTGAAATACTTGAATACAAAATTAGATGTATGCAAAGCTTCAAAAATCTAAATAATATTAGATATGCATAAATGAAGCACACAAGTCATTGAATACTGTTGCAATGGGTTTGATACAGAAGAGTGTTTTATCAACATAGTTGTAAATAATAATAATTCCAGTCAAGAACCCCCTTCAAATTAGACTTCCTAATAGATACCCAAGCAGAAAACCATGTAAAACAAACTTTAACCCCTTTAGTATTGTGTCTCTTGTTTAGTTTATACTGAGCATGAGTTTAAGAATGTGACTCACACACAGTATGTTGTGTATTCTGGTAAACATGACCTACGCTTTATAGCTTCTGAGAGCCGTGGGTTTTACATTTGTTGCGAGGTATTGAGACAGACCTTCGTGTGAAACTTATTTCTCTGCTCTCAATGTGAGAAACTGGTTTCCTGGCCAAAGTTGCTAAGAAACCCAGCGGTTGGCTGAGAGTAGCTCATGAGAGTCTGCGGCTAAACAGGAAGTGGTTTCAAATAGGATAGTCATGCAAGCCTCGGAAAAAAAACCATCTTATCAAAATATAAAAAAATGTTCTAGTACTATGGTCTCCCAATCTGATGCCAGGGCTGCCTTTAAAGCTGTTAGTGGGTCCCTCTTTGGTTTGTCTTGCACATAGCCAGAGAGTTAAAAGGAAGATTCCAGTTGCTTGGTATTAGTAAGGCAAACAAGTCTGGAATTATGGTTTCTATTTTAGATCCAATTCCCATCATGCCTGCAGCATTACACGCTCTTTAAGGCTTTTGAGCATCCACATGGTTCTCTTCTGTTTGTGTGAAATTTGATGTTGTTATTTATTATACAATTGTATCACTTTGGGGAGTGTGAAGTCTCTTTCAAAAGAGATGCTATCCGTCACAACTCTATATAGGCTGTCAATCTTATGAAGAAGTTGCATGATTTTGTTAGGCAGCTGTGAGAAAGCTTTAATAAGGAAGTGAAGTGAGATGCTGGGTGTTTGAAGCGTGTGGTCGACACAGGAGACGCTCTAAGTTGCGTCCCCCTGTGAACAGTCAGTGTTGGTTTCTTTTTACCACAAGCAGGTTTTCTGTAACTCCTACTATGAGCGTCACCTTTACCTAACAGTGATGTCTTTGCTAAACTTAACTAGAATATAATCATAGAGGTAACAGAACAGAACATGTCTATATGAGTCATTCCTGAAATGGTCATAAGAGAAGTTTAGGAAGACACTGACTTGTTTATTTTAGGGAATTCACACATTGGCTTATGATACATTATGCCTTTTTTTTTACACATTTTTAACAAGTATTAAAGCTGTGGTTTTATGCACTTTGAAAACATGGTTTCACTTCCGTATGTTAAACATTGTAACTTTACCTGAGATGTACATGAGGTTTCCATGCACTGTTCCAGCGTGGCCATAGTGAGGCTCCACCATGTTGGTCACAAATGTCCACTCATTTTTCCTCAGGTTGTAGCACTCCACCGTGTCTGATTAAAGAGGGATAAAGTTTGGAAAAGGAGAACATTTAATTAAGTCTATCTTTAGATACCTGCATTAAAATAATCCTAATTCCTGAGTTTTGTTTTTATTCAGAAAAACATCTCCAGTAGTTAACAGGAGCAACAGCTGTAGTCAGGAGTAGTATCAGAAGAGCAATATGTTTTCTTTCAGTACTGATTTCCAAAAGAAAATGTGTTAATATGCTAATTTAAAAAGGCTATAATCAATATTTTAAAACAACTAAACAATGACAGTCCTTCATCACCTGCATCTGCATTCCCCTCAGCTTTACATAGCTGTATAGTGAGTTTCAGTTCATTTACTGAAAGCACTGTTTTCAGACCCACCGTGCACTATTTCTAGAGAAAAAGCTCTAAACACCCAACTTTGCACAACCTACTAATCACCAAACAGTAGAGAAACCCAGTTAGCGGTTAGCTGCTGAACAAAGTGGAGCGTTTGGCAGCAAAAGAGATAGATATTTACCTACGGTATCGGTGGTAAAAGAGGGATAATATTGGACTTAAAGGTCTCCTATCATGCTATTTTTAGGCATATATTATGGGTCTCAGATATATACAAATATATAAAAAAACATGTCTATGATGTGTTTTGCTCAAAATACCAAACAGATGATGCATTTTAGACATCCCTCATATCCCTCTATTCCAGCCCTGTTACAGAAACGCTGATTATGGGTCCTTAGCTTTAAAAAGAGGAGGTGGAGCTAATGCCTGCTCAGAATTACCCGACAGATTCAGCTTAATGCTCCCGTCATTAAACGCCATATCATGTTCCGAACCACATCAAGGATTATTTCTGAAACAGTATGGAGCTCAAATGCTTTTTCTCTTGCGGGTTATACCACAAGGTGAGTTCCTTTTTTTTTTATATCCTGCTTTTTTACACATACTCTCTCCAGTACAGCTTAGCTCTGAGTGTTAGCGATGCTTGCTAATGTAAACACTGACCATATTACGTCCAAAACATTCGGGCATTGTTTCTGACAGCAACGTTTCTGATAGTGCCATGGGTCCACATTTCCGATATTACGTCATATCGGAAGCAAATCTGGATCAGCTCCGTTGAACCCCCGTTTTTAGAGATTTGGGTACGGAGGAAAAGAGAGAGGGTTTTGTTTCTGACACTTTGTGAGTTCCCTGACACACCGGGGACACATAGTTATGTATAAAAGACATAAAAAAGTGCATTTTGCGTGATAGGTCCCCTTTAAAATTGGTCAGCTACCAGTAGTAAAAGCAGTATTGACAGCAGTGAATTGTTTGCAGCTCACCGATCTCCCCTGATGTATTCCTTCCTCCCACTGCAAACAGTTTCCCCTTCAGAGCGCTCAGGTGGAAGAAGGTCCTCTTCTCGTTGAGTGAAGCGATCTGAAGCCATTTGTCGAAGCGCGGGTCGTAGCGGTAAGCGGTGTCTATGGCCGTCTTACCTTTGGTGTCATAAGTGCTCTGGCCTGAGAAGTCAACAAGAATAAAAAAGCTTCTGGATTATTTTGGTTATACTTGGAATGGTGATCATGCATGAGGAAGTGGTTTAATTTGTAAAACAAAATTGTGCAAGTCTGCAGTTCCTGTTCACCAGACCAACTAGTCTTGGGTTATGTGGCAGATTCTATGGGCAGACTTTTTATCCTTTTTTCACAGTATCGGTTAGGGTATTTGCATAATAAGGTTCAAGTTTCTCTGTGACACAATATGTCAACGCATATGCACATTTGGTCACTGGTGATGGATTGCCATAGAACTTCGATTCACTTCACATCAATGAGCAAATGTGCTTATTTTAAATTATTACTGGTCTACATTGTTTCCCTTATTTTTATTTATATAATATTGATATTTTGTACTAATTAATTTGTTCCTTTATTTTTGCACATCACTATCCTGTAGTTAGCATGGACCATGTTTGACATTTTAGCTGTTTGGTGTATATGTGTTTGCCCATAGTTAAAAACCAATGTTAAATCAACACATGCAGTTTGAACTTCCTGAAGAGTGTGCAGTGCAGTTGCTCTGACCTCCAACAATAAAGAGGAAACCTCCAAGCAGAGCCACGCCATGCTGGTACCGTGGGACCTCCATGGGCTTCAGGGCCCTCCAAATGCCGCTCTTCTCGTCATACAGCCTCAGCTCCCGGCTCACCACCAGCTGCTGTCGCATCACACCTCCGAGTGCCAGGATGTGTGTGTCGTCTGAACGTATCTGAGTCCGCTCGGTCTGCAGGGCTGGCTGCATGAAAGGCATCATCTGGTAGTTGCTGGCCTCCAGCAGCAGGTTCACACAGGCCGTGTCCGAGCGCATCATGGACTCTGCTCCTTCTTCATCATCCTGGGAGATCTGAATCAGCTCGCTGGGGCTCATCAGTGGGAAGCGAATGTGGCGCATCAAGCCGTAGACAGAGGAGCGGCGGTTGGGGTAGTCATACTCCAACCATCCTTTGGCGATGTGGTAAAGCTCCAACTCAGAGAAACCCTGCAGGGAGTTTTTGGCCAGAGCGTTGGCCATGCTGGTTTCAGATAGCTGGAGGTAGCGGTCGCACTCTACCAACGCCGAGAGGTTCTGTCGCACAAATTCACCTGGGTTTGATACAACAAAGAAAAGTTATTTATTATGTTATCAAACCAGAATGATGTCTAATCTTAAAGATAAGATAGGATAAGATAAACCCTTTATACATCCCTGTTGGGAAGTTCAGCATCAAAAAGAGTGAAACACAGGGTAGGATAGGTAAGAGTTCCCATCACACAAGGATAATAGGAATACAACATTAAAGTCAAATACACATGATCAAAATATGAACATATGAACATGATTAAATTAGTAATTCTAAAGAAGGTAAGTAGATACAAACAATGGAGTGGTTTTAGTGATTGCTGACTTTCTGTAGCTCAATGCTGATCATACCTTCCACCTGATCTATGTATTATGACAGATTTAAGAAAGATTATACATTAAGATTCGATTAGTTTTATGAAAACTCACCTATATTCAGCTGGAGGTCCTTCAGAAGCAGGTCTGTGGCGATGCGCTCCACCTCCCCACAGTTATCAATAGTGATCTGCATCGAATGACAACACAAGTGGGAAATAAAGTTAAACAAATTGTTGAAAAATGACAACTTTTCACTGCATAACGTAAGACATGTCATCAATACTTTGCCTAGTTTGCAGCTGCAACTATTTATAATCAATCACAAGTGGGCCCCCATGAAGATATGTAATTCTGCACTGATTCATTACAAAGAAAAGCAATGAATAAAACAATGAAAAGTCATGGAGCTGCAACTATTAACAATTACAATCAAAGGTCACTCATATTTATCTTTTATTCTGCACTGTTTAATTGCCACCAAGAGAGAGGGCATTCGGGGGACAGTGGAGCACTTGGAGCGATCTTGCAGTTTTAATGACCTGAATTTATGCATCATCATCATTTCTCTCACCTCGCTGCTCAGTAGCTGATTACAGAAGCTCAGGACGGGCATGACCTGCAAGAAGTTTGCCGCCTCCAGAGTCTCCTGGAGATTAACCATGTCGAGGTTGACTTTGGATGTGTAAATGAAGTCTATAATGTTCTTTAAGCCCAACTTAGTGACTCCATGCAGCTTGATCTCTCTCATCTCCTGCTCCCTCATGCCTCCTGAAGGACAGAACAAGTACAAAGAGGTGAATGTAGTATTTGAAAAAGATTTGTGCACAGTCATGAAGATACAGAAACAGACACTGTAAAGCCTGGCTGTATGATGTCAGACAAATACAGAGGTATAGCTGTTAAAAAGGTTGTAACAAAAATGTCTTCATATCCTCTGCAAAGCTGCAACTGAAATGCAGAAGTGAGTCAAGTTCTTCCTCTTTTCTTTTACTATAGTGAATGCTATTCGAGAAGTGTAAGTATGAGTAGTGGCACCTGGACTAAATAACATGTTTGGCATTTTATATTACCCTTCTTCACCACAACATCGACATTTACCATAGGGAAGAATCCTGTATGTATTCATGAATATTTTGCAAATCTAGTAATGTGACAGCACAGACTAACATTAGTGAAAGTAGGCCTATGCTAGCTAACAAACTTAGTCTGAGATGGCTACATAACATAGGATTAACACTTTTTAGTATGTGAGTACAATGGCTTTTGTGTTTGTTGATAATTAGCAAATGTTAGCATGTTATTAAATTATATATATATACCTGCCAAATATCCGAGTGTTAGCATTATAATCAGGAGCATGTTTTGTTTGCTATCGTTAGCATTTAGCACAAAGTACACCTTTCAGGATATCGGGTAGCCACGTGATAAAAGTGCATGTCATTCCCCAACACTATTACCCCCACTTTCCTGTCTCTCTCCACTACATCTATTATAAAGTCACAAAATGACCCTAAAATAATATTTATTTAAAAAATGAAATAGGCCAACAGCCTCACAGAGCTTGCTAGCATGTTGCTTGACTATTAGCCTTATTTGGACTGAGGTTTGTTGTGAATTCATGTATTTCTAATGGTTTATCCACCCAAATATTCCATGTAGTGTTACTCTAAAATGGAAATGTATTGTCCCTTATTGTACTTCACCATGTCTTTGACTCGAAAGCCCGAGTTTCCTACGTTGTCTGCTTTCAGCCTAATAAACCTGGATATCTCACCTGTAAACATCGCCTTGAAATAGTCACTGGATGAAGCCATGATGACTCTGTGCACTGGGAAAGTGTCTGTGCTGTCTCCAGGGACCAAGACGACATCACAGAGTGTCTCATCAGCCCGAAAAGCATCAAAGCCCTGCAGGAAATCACAATATTTGACATAATTAGCTGCAGTTTTACATCGAATGACATTTATTTAGAGAAACATTTGACTATTGTTCAGTTAAATGTGGTACCAAAAACATAAATATATGCAAAAGTAGTATGAATGCTTGTTGTTTGTATTTTGTCTTCTGAATGTTGTACGTCTCTTGTTTTTGTATTTTTGATGGCACCTTAATCTCATCTCATTGTACCTGTATAATGACAATAAAGGATTCTATTCTATATTCTAAAAAGATACAGGAAGTAAATTCAATGTTATTTTAGGTGCCAGTGTGCAACTCCCACATAAGATGAGAATTAAATGATGACTAGCTTTCTCCAGTAAGTGTGTCCCAAAAGGAATGTTTGTGTTTAAGTGACAAACCTGCAACACAGCAGATCCGTGCTCATTGCTGCTGAACACCTTGGACAGCGGTCTGGGGGGAAGTTTGGGCTTTGTGGCTTTATCTGGACGTTTAGGTGGTGCTGCAACAGGTAGAGGAGCTGGAGCAGGAGGAGGAGCAGGAGCTGGTTCAGGGTCTGGTGGAGGAGGTGGCCTGTCATCTATTGGACACAAATGGAGAACAGATACCTCGAAGGTGAGAAAAGTCATGATACATACTACGGGAGGCGTGTGGCGCAGTGGACTAGTGCGTTGGTGTTCGGATCAGGGGAGTACAGGTTCAAACCTCACTGCAGTCAGCATGTCGTTGTGTCCTTGGGCAAGACACTGAAGTTCACCCCAAATTGCTCCTGTGGGGATTGCCCACAGTATTGAGTATGTAAGTCGCTTTGGATAAAAGCGTCTAACAAGTAACATGTACTTCAGCTAGAGGTGCATGGACCTGCTAAGATGGTGATGGTGAGAACTAATGGAGATGAAGTATAGCAATATTAGCAACAAGATGCATGTCAAGTATCAAAAGTAAAAGTTCTTATCATGCAAAGAGACCCCTTAAATGTTATTTAGATGTAGTTAGTTGAGCTGTAAGAATTATTTCCTATTCATGTTTATCTATAATAATGCCTTGGATGATCACTTTGAATGTAAAGTGTATTTCCTCCCTGACATCATATGGGCTCAGTATTTAATAGTAATAATTAGCAGTAAAGGATGCACACACACACACACACACACACACACACACACACACACACACACACACACACACACACACACACACACACACACACACACACACACACACACACACACACACCTTGCTGAGCAGGAAGTCTCTCCGGCTGAGCTGGAGGTCTCGGAGGATCCCGGGAATGATGTCTGCTCAGACGAGAGAATGTACGGCTCAGCCTCGACGAACCGCTGTCATCTCCACTTCCCCTGGAGGAGGAGGAGGAGGAGGAGGAGGAGGAGGAGGAGGAGGAGGAGGAGGAGGAGGAGGAGGAGAAGCTTGAATTTTACTGTGTCATTTTCAATTCCTCAACAATAGACTCTTATCACAGGGCAATCTGATTATGTGACATCAATAACTATGCTGTCGTTCCTATAATCATATAAGCTTTATGAATTTGTATTTGATTATTGAGTGTTTGTATCCTGCATTTCTTGCACATTGGTCTTGCAGCATTGTTTATTATTGTATGTCTTACTGTATATGTTTCTCCCATGTTCCCCTTTAAACTGTGGGGTTTTTCTCTGGAAGTGTTTCCTTGTACGATGTGAGGGTCTAAGGACAGAGGGTGTCATATTGTCATACTGATATTCTGTACAAACTGTGAAGTCCACTGAGACAAATGTAACATTTGTGATATTGGGCTGGATAAATAAACATTGATTGATTGATGATTGATATATTTATGTTGTATTGTTGGAGGACTTAAGATGTATAATAACATTGCCATTACTACAGCTATGACAATAAAGCCTTTGAGTTTCAATCTTCAATCTCTGCTTCTTTATTTATTATGTTAGCCTTTATTTAGCTCCTGATTCTGAATCTGAAACCTGTCAACATGATTTATTTTAAAAGTGTCATTAACTGTAAGGGCAGTTTGACACTTAATTTAGTTTTGTATCCCAGCACTTCCTCTTATGTTGTGTACAAATACCACTTCCTTCAGTTATTTTGGCAGACCTTAAATACTTGCATGGCCTTAAACGGTCTCTAATGTGAATAATTTGATAAATGGAGATTCGTGCTGCAGACCAGCAGCTTACAGAAGTCCCTCATTGGTTTTGTGTTCAGTGTTTTGAAAAGGAGGAACCCGTAAAGTCGACCACTTCTCCTCTTTAAACTATTTCCTGACAAGCTACTCACATACAGTAAGGTACAAAACAACAACAATACTCTGAGAAAGAAAACATACACATATTAAAAGGTGTTAACCAAATTCAGGAAAGTGTATATTTTTTAATTAGTTAATACTCTTATCTTATTTTTTACTTTTTTAAATGGATAAGGAATTTAATTAAAATTATGAGGTGCCTTATTCGCCAAAATTGGAGCAGATAATGACATGTCTTGTAATTCACAAAGACCTCCTGGAAAACAATTAAATAATTAACAATTAAATATTTCATTTTTATTTAACACAATGTGAATAGAAAGCAGTTTGAATTGCTTTATTCTAACAACATTTCTTGGAATTACAAGTGTCCAAATGCTTAAATATTTATGTAAAACCTAAGTACTTACCTAAGTAAAAATATAATCCTTTAAAAACATATCATGTGTTCCTGTCCCTAAAAACATGAAACACATTGTGCAGAAGAAGAAATGCTCCAAAATGATTTAGGAAAGAAACAAAGAAATAGGAAACTCCAACTCTTTAATTTGAGTGTTTGTGTTTCAAACCTCATGACTGGGAACTCCTCAAATTCAACAAATCTACAAACCCTCAAATAATCCTGAAAATAAAATACAAGGGTTGAATGATGGCAAATATTTTAACAAGAGGAGAAATATTGAAATATAAAAACAGCTTACCCCATTTCATTAGCCTCTTGTGGTTGAGGACGCTGGTTACGCTGATGAGACTTCCTGGAGACACATAAAAGTTGAAGTGGATGGAAATAGATTTTATGAAATACAAAATAAAAGATTATGCTAAATGTGATGATTTTTCAGCCCAAAAGAAAACCATTACAGGAAAAAGTCATCCATGGTAAACAGAAATATCTCTTCCTCTGTGAAATGACCCATCTTTGACTATATGTATGTGACTCTCTGCATAGACTCTGTATAAGGTCATTCTTCCTGTTGTGATGTTCCCTTTTCTACACTGTGATCAATTCTGTGTTTGCTGTGGCCTCGCTCGTTGAAAGACAGACTCCAGACATTTTCTAAATACTTTTAGACCTTTCCCTTACAAACAGCATACACGTCATATCATATTTCTTTCCCCCAAAGGTTGTGGATCAAAGTGAATTTTGTGAGGTTTTATTTATAATGTCAGCATTCATTTACCACATCCTCGTGTGAAGTTAATCATTAGATGAAATCAGACATTTCACAGACATTGTGGTCATTCAGCTGCAGAATAATTCCTATCATTAACCCTTATGTTGTGTTCGGGTCTTCCGTGATCCGTTTCAAGTTAAAATGATATAATAACTACGCTCTAGTTTTTTTTTATCGGAACAAGGCTTCATGATATCCTCCACAACAGCTATATAAACTCTACAAAACTGATTTTGACAATTTTAGCCAAGTCTGAAGGTCTCTAAAAAAAAAAGTGTATCATTTGGTATTCGGGTCTGGGAAGACCCAGCAGCATTGGTGGGGGTGACTCGGGGTCAAATTTGGCCCAATCAAGATTAATCTTTGACTTTAGACACCCATCCCCCACCCCCTTCATCCACTGTAACAATCATTTTTCGCAACATGCACCTGGTCTCCCCTCCCTCTGCCCCCCTCCCCCCAAGGGAACTCGACCTTTCTCAAAGAATATGTACACTAACACTTGAACCTGAACACACATATGCACGTGTGCAATATGTGGTGTAATGAGTTTTGGGGCCATCAAATAAAATAACAACAGGATTGTACGGTTATGAATGCATAATAAGTTAGTTATGATGTAATTCAAACAATATTGGATGATAGTCATTCTTTTTGTGTGTTTTGGACTGAGATAAATCATGGGTCAAAATTGACCCGCGAACACCATGAACGGTAACAGCTTTCGAACACAACACAAGGGTTAAACAAATAAATGTGCATAATTGGACAAAAATAATGACCAATAATCTTTTTTATGCTCCCTAATTATTTTCATCTACCTACCACATTTTTTTAAGTATGTGATGAATCATTTAGTGACCTTAATCTATCAATGTATTGTTCTTATAGCAGTTTTTAATTGTTCAATTAGATCCCCCGTTCATCTTTGTACAGCTTCAGCGTTTCTGTGATAATATTTGTCATGTTATTGTGGTCTGAGAGACTTGCTTGTTTGAACGCAATTTTAAAAAAGGTGACAGTTTCTGCCGACCACACATAATTACTCAAGTGGAAAAAGTGCTGTTTTTGACAACACGTAACATAGCATCGTTACATCATAAAATGACTTTAATAGTATTACAGGCATCTACTTTGTATTTCCTGTTATTTTGTTTTCAGTGAGCTGCCAGGTTTCAGTGCACCTGTCTTTTGTTTTTTGGTGTTCTTTGTTTCATCTTGAAATGTCTTCATGTTATTAGGTTATGTTCATATGTGGACCCTGAGAAGTGCATCAGCTAATGGGATCCCACATCATGCAAATACCTTAAATCACCTCTTACAATAAACAATATGTCTCTTTTTTAATTCAAGAAGTGATTTAATTTAGGTGTATTTGTGTGACCGCACTCAAGTTTCTTTCAACGTATCATTATGATGTAAGTGATGATACAGTGTCAATATCCATTAACCTACAAATTATATATTTGCAGTTTTAAATACACATATTCCCTCTATAAATCCTGCACACTGTGTATATAGACATGTAGTACATACATTTATGTTTATGTATTCAAAATAATATACTAGCCTACTGTACGCATTTAATATTTATGCCTTTGCACTATTATATACACATTATGTAGACATTGTATGTTTGTACTAAAATACTTTGTATGTACATAGTTGTTTTTTTAACCTCATTCTTGTTGTCTTGTTTTTTCGCTGTGTGTATTTCCATCGTCCTGTAAATTGTTCAGTGAGTAGCACAGAGACCATTTGAAACTGGTGTCAAACCTTTCATGTTTGTGCACGTACTTGGCCAATAAAGCTGATCCTGTGACAGTTTAATAACACATGTCTACAAAACCTGATACAAATGTGTACAAGTATGTCCATCACTGCAGCCTGAATGTACCTCACTGCAGTTTAAACAGACAATTATGAACTTGAGGTACTTTATTGTCATGTACTGTTCCCTGCTGCAGGTGCGTCACATGGATCCAGATCTAAAACACACAGAATCACCTGTTGAGGACTTACCTGGAAGAAAGCTTCCTCAGCAGCCCGGACCCCAGGCCTCCCTCCAGCCTGTATGTCTTAACAGCCCGATCTGTGAGAGGAACTCAGCAGAGAAATGTCTGCTGCTCTGCACCAGCTGCTCGGAGAGTTGAAGCGTATGCGTGTGCATCAACTTTTTTTTGCCTAAACCGAGACCTCAGTCACTTCCTGTGCTACTTCTCTTTCTCAGGGTGCGCCTTCTTGCATCTCCCCACACCAGTGTGACACACTTGTGATACTGTTAGTGAAATCAGCAGCAAAAAGTATCACCAGCTGTTTCAAAGGTTTTGAATTGAACACAAAGGCACACTAGCAGGCCTTAAATATGGAGGAATGTTCTCAAAAATGATCATTGATTCTTATATTTTAAGGTATTTGCATGTCTTTTACTGGATGAAAGTTGAAAACATGTTACTCAACAGAATGCAAAGACAAAACCAAATGGTCTTTTTTTTTCTATCTTTAGCTGGGCCTTGACCTTTAGCTGATGTATGAATATAAGAGATTTAAAACAATACTGCATTTGAATCTTCTTAACATTTAAACAGATTGATTGCCCATGTTAATGTGATGAGTATTAAGTTGGGAAACAAAGATGAAAGACAGACATCTGCTAATCAGCCTGTCTGTTATCGCCATACAAATCCAGAAGAAAAACAACAAATCTTCATCAATTTCAGCTGGCGTTTATTTAACTACAATCACTGGCAGCGTCTTAAACTGTAGTATATGTCATGATCAGTTGCATTTGTTACAATAAAACCCCAAAACACTTGTAGGTTTCATGAGAAGTGCCTCTACTCCCCCTGAAAAACCCTCATTATTCACTTGTTGAATCTGCCTCAGACCCTTAACTTTCCGTTGCAGTCTCACTCTCACACCCTGGCATGAAGCTGTTTTGTATGTGTCCTGCCATGATAAAGTCATGACTCTGAGGTTAAGTCTTTCAGTTTCGTTGTCACCATGGAGTCTCAGGTACTTGTTCAATATTGGGTTCAGTCCTGTTCAGTGTGTGCTATTGTCCTCTGTGCTGCCCTCTGCTGGTCTGTCAGAGTTTAGATAACTGAATGAGGTTCCTGTTGATCTCTGCCACGTTCCTGCAACCTGGATCAGATACATGTAAAAACGTCAGACAGGATATTGCTTATTTTAAATAGTATATTGCAAGTTATATTTTTCAGTCGTAACCTCACATCTACACACACAAAGAGAACAACAATAGTAATACAAATTCAATCTTGTGTTTCCATCTTTTGAGATGTTGTACATATGCAATAACTGCAATTGAATTCTTTTTTTAATAATGAAATCAATTAATCAATCAATCTCTTACCTGATAAAGCCATGGAAAGACGGAACTCATCATTAAGGATTTGCAGCACTTCCCTCACTCCTTCCTCACCCTGAAATATCACACAGCACCATTATTACTTTTTGCACTGAAAAAATCTAATTTCACTTTGAGTTCAGAGAGCATAGCAGCTCTACGAGTTGAGAACGGTACAGGACACATTTTCTCTGTAAACTTTACACCGAGGTCCTGTAGCTCCAATAGTTTCAATGACTTTCAAGGATAAACTCTAGCTGCCAAGGACAATGGCTTAGTGTGTGGAGCCTTATCGTGGTGATAAGTAAAGCTGTCAGAAGAGTGGTGATCAGTGTTGCTGCTTGTACCTTGTATGCAAGGCCCCACACTGCTGGACGGCCAATGAACACACACTTGGCTCCCAAGGCCAGCGCTTTCAGAACATCACTTCCTGTCCTGATGCCTCCGTCCAGATAGACCTCGATCCTGCCCTGAACCGTGTCCACAATCTCCGTCAGTGCGTCAATCTGTGAGCAACACGGGACGGTGTAACATGGAAAATGTTTATTAAACAAACAAATGCAAAGTGTAGATGTGTTTCCAATTTGTTTTTGTACTACTCTTCAAAATTGGACCTTTTATTTCACTCTTTTATTCTGAAAGAAGGTTTGGGCGGCGAGTACATATACTGCCATTCACTCCTGACTCTATGAGCTACAAAGGATTAACAACTGCTTTAGTTTAGACTGTCCAGATTAACCCACCAAAGTAAGACAACTGTGGTTTGTATTCATTCAATTACACTTTTACTGATATGGTACTGTAGAGTCTAGACACACTTGGCAGAGATCTTACATGAAATTGGAAACAAAACTATCTTCAATGTAACTTAAGAAGTAAATGAGTGAATATGTACCGAAGCGGGGCCTCCGTCCAGCTGTCTCCCCCCGTGGTTCGACACGATGATGCCCTGCACGCCGTGCTCCACAGCCAGCTCGGCGTCCTCCTTGGTCAGGATCCCCTTGATGATGATGGGCAGGTGAGTGATGGACTGCAGCCAGTACACGTCCTTCCAGCTGATGGAGGGGTCCAAGGTGTTGGCTGGGATCCCATAATCCTCTGGGACTGAAGCCTCCTGCTTATGTTTTAAAAAGTATACAGTATATTAAAGGTCACCTATTATGGAAAATCCACTTTTTCATGTCTCTTCTACATCAACATGTGTCCCCTCTGTGTTAAGAGACTCTGGACGTTTCAGGAAAAAAGATTCGCTCTCTTTTTCTCCTGATCCATTTATATAAAAACCTGTCTGAAAATGAGCTGATCAGATTTTGGCCACTTCATGATGTCATAACGATTTTTTGGCTTGTGTAACCATTAGCCAATCACCTACCAAGGTAACCCCCCCCCCCCCCCCCTCCTTATCACCTGAATCTCCTCCTAGAGCACCATTGTGTTCTTTTTAACCAAATATCTCTCAGAGGGGCGTGGGGAGGGGCTCCTTATTTTCATCTAAAGTAACAGACAGAGAATCAGCACTTTTGAAACAGGGCTGAAACAGAGGGGATTATGGGATGCTGCAATGATCTGTTTGGTGTTTGGAGCCAAACACTTCAGAGACATGTTTTGTAGACTTATAATAAAGTAATGAAAAACAGTATAATAGGGGACCTTTAAGTTGCTTGTTATTACATGTTCTTGCTGTTACATCTTTAAGAGCATGTGGAATATTTTAATAAAACAGTTACCTGGAACACTCCATCAAAGTTCTTGACCTTGAGGTGTGGCGGCAGCTTGAACCGGTTGCGGATGTCGTTGCGGCGCTTCCCGGTGTAGGGGACGTCGACGGTGAGGACCAGGGCCTTGTAGCCGAGCCCCTCCACACGGTGCACAATCTGCTCAGACAGCTTCCGGTCCCGGTACACGTACAGCTGGAACCAGCGGTAACCGTTTGGTGCCGCTGCCACAATCTCCTCCACGGAGCAGGTGGAGTAAGTGCTGGTGATGTAGCAGGTGTTCAGAGCCTCTGTGCCTGTGAGACGGAAGTAGAGAAGTTATTAATGTGGTCAGCGAGGAGTGAATGCATCAGCTTGGTCCCCTAAAAATGTGCTTCCCAGACAATGCAAAGAAGTTGTCAATTGTCCGGTTTCCAGTGTTTTTACATATTACAGAATGTTTCTAGTCAGCGAAGGGAAGAATTTGAACAAACACCCGAAATGTACTCTGCTGTTTGTGTCCCATGTAAAACCAAAAGTCATTATAACTCATTTTAATTTACATCAAGTAACTTAAACAATGTAATAAATGTACTTATTTGAAAACAAACCTAAAAAACAGTTTTCCTTTTTTTCTGTTAAAAAGTGTTACAAAATGTAACAGGTATTGTGTGACAAAAAATGTTCCCTAAAATGTCATGGGGCATTCAGTTTAGTTGTATGTGAACAGGGTTGGAATGAAAACACGATCTGAGAAGTTTAGCGTCAAAGCAAACTACATAACACTTAGGGTCTCAGACTCTGAAAAATAGGAACAGTATAATTTGTCACATTATTATTCTTACAGACAAAAGAACAACCCAGTCTTTTCTTTACAACACAAGATTCATACAACGTTATTCTCCCATCTAGTGGTGGCAATCGTACCAACATTGTTATAGGATAAAAGAAAACCTGTGTCTCCAAAATTCTAACTTTTCAGGAACTTAAAAAACATATTGTGTGTTATGAAAAGGTCTCTCAATCCCTACTAACAAGCTCCATAAGAAAAAGGGTTTTTAAAAAGGTTTTGTACCTCTTGCTGTGGCCACCTCTCCTTCATGCCAGGCCAGGCAGTGGAAGGCAGTCGGTGCGATACCAACAGGGAAGCTGATCTCTGTTCCCTGCACTGTGGTCCGCGTGTCGCTCATCGACACATCCCGCAGGATACGAGGCCTCAGACGGATCCTGAGGGAGTGTGAGAAACAGATGAACATGTGGTCAATAACATCAAATGTAACAATAACGGGTAGTCGTCTTCCTCTTATTTATATTTATTCATATTTGCTAGTAGAAGCTGTACGTTAAATTGTATTGTTAAAAAATGGTTGTGACCCAGATTCATGAGAGGATGTCAAGTTTCCATGGAACCAAACCAACCTGTTGACAAAGCATTGCAAAATCGTACTATCCGGTATTGTCAAATACAGTTATCCTTGAGATGACAACATGCTGCTTTTGCTAGACAGGTCATATTTATTTTCTGGGATTCTGTTTTCCCAAAGCTATGACTTGAGAAAATGTTTCCAAGACAAGGTCCAACCTTTATTCCTGCAGGGGAAATGTTTAACCTGACCCCGAATGCACCTGCAAACAAATATGTACAGATCTATCACAGTGAGGACAAGCAGAACTTTCTGTCTTTACGGAGACATTAGGAAAGCTGAGGGGAATTCACAAAGAGAAAAGAAAAAAGATGGTCAATGGTTTAAAAACATTTATAAACCACAGGGAGTTGACTTGGCATCAACACTCAATGCAATGCAACTGCCTACTACTAATGCAAGTTATTATAAGGCACACATTTACACATACTTTAATATCTAATTAGAAATGAGTCAGTCTAAAGTCCACAAAACCTTTCCTTGTGTTACAAGCTTTATCCCTAATATGATCTCCACTTTTGGTATAAGAACTTTCCTAACATACATTATTTCAATCCCCAATGATGAATTTAGGACAGGTGAGCTAGCACCGCATAAATGTATATGGTGACCTTGAATGTCTGGGTAGACTTAATTGTTCCCACTGTACCTTTTGAAAGCCAGGATATTGTCGTCCCTGGTGCAGCACTCATCCGCTCCAGCTGCATAATAATCCCAGGTGGCCTTTGAGAGATGCTCCTTAGCATACTCCTCGAAGTCTGTCAGGCATACCATAGCCATTTCTGCACATTGGCCTCCCTCTCTGTGTGGAAACAGACACCATCAATTAGACATTGGGGGATTTAGGCATAAACAATACAACATATGTCAAGATAAGTCAATAAAACATAAGCATGTGGCATTCAAAATATCACTTTATTCAATGTCAAACACTGCTAGCTTTGTTAAACATCATTGGTCTTTTTTTCCCAGTCACTTCTCATATTTTGAACCATACAGTGTCATCTGGAAACTGGATATATGTTGCTTTAAATGTGAGACAAAAAGCTGTAGGGTACAACAGCAAACGGAGACATTTTGTTCACAATAAAACACTCTAAATGCAATAACTTTCCGTAGCAAGACTTACCACAAATATCAATCTTTCATAAAACACAATCCCCAGCTCTCACATGACACTGACTCCATGAAGGACTGAAGTTACAACATCGCTGCTCAAACTGAAACAGTCCTCGTATCGAGGCAAACAAGTAGTCAATAACTCACCAGGAAAGCTTCCACACTTTGACATCTGAGAGCAGGTAAATTAATGTTGTAATTTTTTGTTTCTCTTTTCTTGTTTAAACAGAGAAGAATCCTTGTGTCCACAGAGTTGCTTTAGTGTCAGTCAAAATCAAACTTTCATAGAGCCACTATGAAAGCCACTGACACAGTGTTTGTGACCTGAGGGTGACCCTTGCTCTTATTGTGTTTACACAAGCTGAAAATGTGCTGATGGTGACTCCAACTATAGTGAGGACAAGAGGCGTCTGACACAGTGCTCTGGGGTCCAGATGGTACATACAGTAGTACATATGGCCATACACATGTACATGCTTTGTACACAGGCATGCCAACACGTGCATACAGGGATACGGGTGGTGACATGTGATAACTCTTCTTTCAGTAGGATTCACACTGTCAACTATGTCAAATAATAATTTTTTATACAGAAAATAGTTAAATCTAAATTATGTTGTCAGGAAGAAGTACTCAGATTTGTATTAAGGTAAACAATGAAATACCACAATGTATATTGTATAATACTCAGTGACAAATAAAGAATAACAATGTTTAAATAGAAATGTACACAAAGGTAGACTTGCTCAGTGTAAGTCAATTACAGTCCAAACAGTTGAATGCATACATAACTTCACTTTATAGTTTCCATATTCACCCTTATCTTAAGTAGTTTATCTAATGATAAATATTACAAGTTAACACCACAGATGTAGTTTTTATATGTTTTTGTTGAAGGAATTCTACCTAAAGTTTTAACAATTACTCAAATCTTGCAGCCATCAGATGTCTAAAAAAAAGGAAAACCGAATTTCCTGTAGTGTGATCAATTATATTAACAAAGTATTCTTAATTTGAACCCACAATTTACAAATAAAAGTGAAACACAGATTATATATTACTGCCTTTTACACTTTGATATATAATGTAGGCTATAGTTTAAAATGATCCCAGCGGTTTTTTTTTCTGGGGGAGGACTTTCCACACTCGCTTTATTTCTGTTTCCCTGTTTGCTAAACAACTACTCACCTTACAGGTACGTTTTCCTCAGTCAGCTGATACAAGCTAGAGTATATTCACAGGTGGGATAAGTAAGAGAAGAGGATGTTTCAGCGAAGGAAGACGGCTTTTAGTTCATCAAAATATGTCGTACTTAGGTAAGTAAAAGGAAGGGCTTAACTAGCAAACCAACAGGTGTATCTGGGTCACCTTACGCCCAAAACTATTAACTAGGTGAGGCTGAGTTTATGGTGTAATGCTACTAGCTTCCATTGGTAAGGGTGGAAAAGCCAGCAAGATGAAGCTAGATTTATAAAACCATCCAACCGAAAAAATGTTTGTAGGCTACTCACAAAAAGACGCGTGTGACGCAGACTGCGCAGGTAGGCAGACATTTTAGCTTCCAATTAATTCAGCCAGTCCATCCACTGGAACTGGCTTTTCAGAGCATATTGCTTTCGAGATGTAAAGAATATATCAACATTATACCAAACAGTGCAGTGTTTTAGTTTCTTAACAAGGCGTTATAGGAAAAGCTAATGACATATTTAAGCTAACGTTAGCTAACTGTTCTGTAAACGTTTCATTTGGGCAACGTCCTTTTTTTTTTTTTTACTGTCGGTTGCCTAGCAACCTCCGTCCACTATTTCACAAACAGGTTTTGCGAACTGCATTTTTTATTAAATTAGATACTTTTACTTTACTTTTTTTATGCTAATTCTACTCTTCTACTTATCTCAGAGGTAAACATTGTACATTTTAACTTATGATATGTTTAATATGATATGCAGTAGCCTACTTTTAGTAGCCTACTAATCCACCCAGTAGCCTACTACTGAAGAATACTCTTTCATGTATTTTATTAGTGATAAAAAAGAATAGGCCTTTGTTGTATACTGTAATACTATAAAGTAAAATAATAATTAAGTAGGTACACTTTTTGATGACTCATTCTGTATAATTAGCACTTTTACTTTGAAGCTCATTCTTTGTTAATTAAACTTCGATTATGAATACATTACTTTGTCAAAATGCAACACACAAATGCTACCAAAATAGCAATAATACTGTATATTAATATAATGAACATTTTCACTGTGTTCTTTTTTAGAAGACATGTTGATTAAGACAAATAATTATCTATTTTATTGTGTACTTACAGGACCTGACAGCCATCTACCGCCAACAGAACATTTGGGATAAAGAGTAAGTCCAATGTTTTTTTGAATTTTCCTTATGAATAGATGAATGCATTAACAGCCATATCCAGTCTATGTTTACTGTACTCTCAACAATTAATTTAACAAGCATTGTATATTTGATAAAATGTACTTATTTTGGTCAGTTTTCTTTTTTTAACATACTTATAGCCCAGTCAGAATTAAAACATTTCATAATATAGTATCACATCTTAAAGGCTGTATCAAATGTCGTAACTGACTGAATATACAACATGGACAGTGTGAGCTTGTTTATTACAATAATAATTCTAATAGTAACAAACAAAGCAACTTTTTGGGTAACATTTTACTCTCTTAGCAGATACAAAATAATTATCTGTAATTGCGATGGCCTGAGAAAGTGCTGACATTATTGTTTGACTGGTCAACTCGCAGAACATCAATCAACAAAAATGTGTTTATTAATTCATTTATAATTGAACTATTTAGCAGTAAACATTAATTTTCTGAAGTTGTTTATTTTTGAGTTAGATCATTTAAACTGCCAACTTTTAAGGTTACAATTGTAGCTGTATTCCTACCTATAAGTAATACTCTAAAAAATGACAGTTGTATTTATTTATGTAAGCTGTGCTGAGGATTTCCTGAGGAAGCACCTTATCTGTTATGAATGCATCAGTGACTTGAAAAACAACAAACATTGCTACAGTTGCTTTACAGTCATTTAAAGACAGTACAGGTTTTCTTTCTAAATGTAATTTAATTTAGTTTAGTGTGAGCATATGGACAGTTGGACGTGTTTACGATGACGGTTTATCTTCCTAAAGTTTACTCACCGATGACAAATGTTCATTCTTCTCAGTTGACCCTCTCTCCTGACTCATTACCTGTAAACAGTCCACAGAATGACAGTTACAATAACTCCTGCTACTATCATTTAAATGATACCATGATATTTATGCTGTTTTCAATAATATTCAACAAAGTAGTCTACAGTACCATAATACAGTACAGATACGGTCATCCTATAAAACACAATAGAAGCTTTCAACTTTGAACACTTGAGGGCAGTGCAATACTGAATGAGAGTCTGTTCTTACAGCTCCATTCAAGTTGTTGGGCAGGTTAACACAAGCAGACTTTTATTTAATAAGTGTGTCAGTACTGCACAGTACACGCTCAGCTTCTCAAAAACTGTGAATGATGTCTGTTGTCCCAACTTTGACTGATCATCAGTTTAGGGATATTCCTGTTCCCTGACTTGTGTGAGGTTTGTTATGTCAAATGACCCATGTGTTTGTGGTTCTAATTGCTCAGTTTCACTGTATTTCGTTAAAAAAAGAAGGGGACTCAGAGAGAGCAGACCTTCACCAAATCCAAATGACTTTATCTCGAAATGTTCACAAAACAAGGAAAAACAAATATTGTAGCCGACCAAATTAAATGTGTTCTTCTTTGTCCCATAATGCACCCTTCCACCAAGTCGAACGAAAATTGGGCCAGTAGTTTTTCCACAATCCTCCTGACTAATAGGCAAACAAATCAACAAACTGAACCAAAAACACAACATGAACATAACTATAATAAGGCACAAGTAAGTATTTTGAAAATAGATGTTATTTAAAAAGAGTTATCTTAGTTATTACTCATATTTATCATTTTGTGGGAAAGTTCTTTGTTGTCTTTCACTTTAAATTTGATAATATACTACATGTTTCTGATGTTTTGGTCTGTACTGCTATGATTCATTATTACTCTTACCGGAATATATTCTCTATTATTATCAGTAGCTTTATTGTCCTCTGTGTGGCTGTATGTGTGTGATGAATGTGAGCCTCTGTCTGTGTTGGCTGTGAAAGGTGTCGCTCATCTCACTGAATGGCTGCTGGGAGCACATTGTCCAGGTGAATTTCTAGAATACCTGTTGTATGCCATGTAGTGCGCCACACTGCTAAACAAGGTGAAGATTTAACAAGCTTCTGTTAGAGATTATTTTGTTTTTGTCCCACCGGTTAGGAGATAAACACATCCTGACGCCTTGTTGCCATTTGTAGTGTATGTATAAAAGCACAGCGTTGGGTAAACAGTTGTAAAAGTAGAATCCAATAAAGTACACACAGTGTGAATAAATACAGAGACTGAAGCGTATAAAATTAGTGTCTTACCTTCACCTGAGCTTTTTTTGGCAGACCTACGTGTTGGTTCCCCTCTCATTTGACAGGGTCGTGTCAGAGGGCAGTACAGCCCCCCCATCCTACCTCCCTCACCCCCTCTCCCCCCTCACAGCGCTCCGCCCACACTGGCTCAACACCAGCTAAGCCTCTCGTCAGCACTCTGAGCCCCGGCCTCTCTGTAAGGCCAAAAAACACCAAAAACAGGTCGATTGTTCTGAAGAGCAACACACTCTTCCCGTTATCCTCCCTTCTCTCATTTGTTCCATTCTTCCTAAATTCCCATCCTCGCTTCCTTTCTTTTCTCCCTTACTTGTTCCCCTCATCTTTCCTTTTTTTTTGTCCCGCTTCCTTTAAATTAAATTAAATTAAAATGTTCTTTATTGGTATCAGGAAACATGTTTCACATTGCCAAAATAAGTGAGAAATAAAAACAAAAAGATGTATGTAAGTAATAATCTACTAGAAATAAGAAGTGTGTTAACAGAGCCTTCCTGCTAACTTTCGCCCCCTTCCTCCCTGTGTTTTTAATATTTATGAATGTCTTTTTTTGTTGAATATTCTGTAAATTAAGGAGTAACTAGATCCAAATCTGATCAGATATAAGACACTAAGGCATAAAAACAAACAAAACCTGTGCGGCATGGCTTTTTCTGGAAATGTCAAACTTGTCAAGTGGAGTGTGGACTTTGACAGGTGTTTTGAGGGTCTTTACATATAAAACACAGATGTCCCAACCTTTGATATCTAGAGCTTGTTATGTTAGGGTCCCCACCCGTAAGTGATGGATCGATGGCAGGATGTGAGAGAGAAATGGTATGAATGCCACAGTGTCTCAGCTCACCGCGGACGAAACAAAACGCCTCGAGAAGTTGTTCAAGCGTTTTAAAACAGCAGTGTGGCCCAGTGATGTTAAATTAGATTCTCCCGCTCTTATTTCATTACGGTTTTAGAATTGAATTAACTCTCTGTGAATGTAATATCTTCGGTAACAAAACCTGGCTTCTTGAGAGACGTCTGTCTTTCTGTGTGTCTGAATGTATGCGTTTTATTTTGGCTCAAACACAAAAGGCTAGCAAAGGTGGAGCCAAAGGCTAAATCTGTCAAGTTGGACCTCCATGGGGAGGGTGTGGGTGTTACCTGCACTGAGAGGAGGTGCAAATTGTGTTAATCCACAGCTGGCCTCGATGCCTAATACCACAGTTAGATCTGGCTCCAGGGCCGCCGTAGTGGAGGTACTGGACGTTCAGCTGAGTGGAAAACCTCTTCCACATGCTGCTGAGGCTCTGCCCCGAGGCTGCGGCCCAGCACGCTGCGCCACATGTGTGTTGAATTGTCGAAGGTGTTATCATGCCCTGCGAGGCTCTCCGCTCCTCCACCTCTGTCTCTCCCAGGTTTATTATCAGACTAAATACAGCAGAGTCCACGGACACACTCTCAAGCAGCAAACTCCTTCAGCTCTGCAGCAAGGCCTCACCTGACGCCTGTCCATCATGGTTTAACTTTTCACATCAGGCCGGAGAAAGCGATTTTATTTTATTTGTTATTTTTTAGAGAAGGAAAAAGAACTAAGTAATTTAAAAGACATTATCTTGTGTGGGTCTGATTTTAATTATAGGCTGTTTTCCTGAAGTTATAGGACAAAGTAAAGGGTTTCAAAGCCTGGGATAAAGATTGTAGTTCATGAAAAAACATGCTTATGATTATAGTTTTGATTCTGAATTAAAAACAATAACATTAATTTCTTAACTCTATTAAAAAGATGACTTGTAATGTGTCCACATTGTATTTTTGCAGTTGTAATCATCAACCTCTAACCCTAAACAGAACAACAACTGCAGCACAAGTTATCAGTGCAGTTTTCCTTATTTTTTTATTTATTGAAATCATATTTTATTACTTATAACATGGTAGAATAAAGATTACTTTTAATTTCTATAATTTCTTTAAAAAGTAGTTGATTTGTTTTGTAATCTGTGTGAAATACTATCAAAACTTTCTAGTATTAAAATCAGAATAAATATTATAATTGTAAGGTTAAGAATTTCTCTTTACTCAAAATTGTATTTGTGTTTCAAATATATATATATATATATATATATACCTGAAATCTTAACATTATTAATCATAGGTTGTTAATTAGTCAAATTGAAAATATCTATATTTAGACACTCTTTACCGAGTACTTCAAACAATGGTCAAAGTAGACTTTTTAAAGCAAGAGGAGCTTGCTTCTTGAATGTGGGGCGGTATGTAGCTCCAGCGTTGTTCACAGTGCCAAAGAAAAGGCAAAGCAGTGAACACATCAGTGGCTTTAAATGTCATGTAGCGGCAGAGTGATGGATGTCCGGAGCATTTGATGTTTGGAGAGATCCCAGCATAACTCACAGTTTGTAGTCACGCCATTTCAGACTCTTATGATTCAATCCATACAGCAGCGGGCGACTTGCACACATCGAGTGGAGGTGGTCCTATTTGTGAGAGCGATTTATTCCTTACATAAGAGTGCTTGAAGCTATAGGAACTCTTCGGCGAGTGCATTAAGACTTTTACTTTGTGCACATGAACGCCATTTCCTCCCACTTACTGGACTTTTTTTTTTAAGATTTGAAAATGTATGTAATGTAAAGATTTGCTTTGAGTTTTTTCTTTATTTGTGTGACCGGGAATTGTTTGGGACTGAGTATGTGAAGTTGTGTAAAAGGAACCCGATGTCAAATGTAAAGTCAGAGTACAAGTCAGGGTTTTCGGGAAAGGGTTAGTTGGACATGACATGAAACAGGAAGTAAAACGGCTTGTTGAAAAGTAAGAGTGAGGGAGTCAATGTGACGAGAGGAAACATTTAACCTATTTC